ATCAGCTACTTGAAATGTTTTATCAAAAGTTGTAAAAGTAATTGCTAGTTTTCGTCGCTGCCGGTTTGGTGAGACTTGAGCTGCGCAAATCACAAATGACTACTTCTTTTTTCTGTTTCATTTCGTAATTTTTGAAATTTAAACCAGTCATAAGCTTGTCCTAGTCGCTTCCTCTTCCATTCGAATTCTATCAAAACGTCAAATCGATTTGAGGTGGGGAATCGCTTTGTTAACTCTTTGTGACACGATGCAACCATTACCAGCTAACGCTGCTTAAAATCCTGTTGAAATCTGCTTTTAAAGATTGATTTGCCTAACACAGAACACGCTGGTAATTAACTTGATCCATTAGAAACACACCTGAATACCATAGAAATTATGCACTGTACCTGAACTTGAAGAAAATGCTGGCCGGCCTTTTGATGTTGAAGACGCAGCGCAATTTGCCCAAGAATCGGATCTACAACACCAACGCGGAGAATTCAACACTCTTGCAGATAGATGAATGAATACTAGGCTTAAAACAGGAATTGAAATTGGCCTTTGTTGAGGTAAAGGAAATGTCTTTCACCACATTCCGGTCGACGGACTGCGAATTACTCACCTCTAATACTGGGATAACGACTTTCGTGATTTCTGTAATGGTAGGCGCCATTCAGTCACAAAAATCCTTCCGTCTTAGAAGGAAAAGGCGTTATTTTCTTTTTCTATTTTTTTTTCTTTTGAGTTTTTGGTGAGAATGTCTTTATCCTCCACCCAAGACAAAAAAAAATTGGTGAAAAGTTTATGAAAACGATAACAACGACGACACGATGATGTTAATGATGATGGTGATGATAATGATAATCATGATGATAATGATGATGATAATAATCATGATGATAATGATGATGATGATGATGATGATGATGATGATGATGATGATGGTGGTACAGTGGTGCTGGTGGTGGTGGTGAAAAAGATGACGATGACAAAAAATCCCCGTAAAGATGCTTAAGATAGACTTATTTAAGTATTTTGTTTTCCTTTTAGAAGTTTGTTTTCTTATAAGCGCTTGACGCGATTTTATTTGGCTTTGAATTTTGACCATGTTTTTGTAGGCCGACCAAGGAAATTAAAAGCTATTCAGTTATCGTGTAACTGTGGAGTCAATCTGTAGTTCATGTCAAGTAACAATTAACGGTTTCACAATAACTTCTTCTTTTGGTGCTTCGTGCAATTCTTAAAGAACGCTGTAATTTCGTCCTTTACTCTGAATGATAGAAATTTCCGCGATCAATTTTACATTGCCACAGTTTCTGCTTTGCGGAGCACCGAACGGGATAAGATCCCTAAACCTTCCCGGATCATACAGGAATGTCATGTGTGTTTACAAGATTAGACACTAACATTGACCCTTCTTTTCAGCCGTAATCCAAATCTGTTTCCACTGTGCTATCTAATAAGGTTTAAATAGTTATAAAAAGCGCCTACTCTGCTGTCACAATTCAGTACCGATTCTGCGCGTCCTTTTTATGCCTAACATTCTGGCGTACTTTCAGTTATGACCCAACAATACTATCGCGGTTGATAACCGAACCTTTACGTAGTAAAAAGCGGTAATGCAAGAAGGATCTGCAATATATGTTCCGATGTCGACAGAATTCAGTAACAATAAAAGGTATTGAGTCTATTAATTACGTACTGTTTTTATTTATTAGCCTCCTCGCTGAAGTATGATCATTCCTTTGGAAGCTAGTCACAAGCACTTTCCACTTCGAGGTTCTCAGCGTTTAGAATTGCTAAAGGTCATCGTTTTTGTAAAATGTCCTCAAAGGCTTCAGATGAAATAATCAAGTTTACCTTCACCAGATCAACCCACTATTATCGAGTCGAGGACTTACTGATTGATAATCAAAACAATATTTTTGCAAGTGCGTTCTGCATTGTATACTATTACCCGCACTGGCCTCTGTAGAGAACTGACAACGTGACCTCTCTGTTGCAGAAACTTTCCGAGACGGCGAGACTAGTCATTTCCCTTGCGTGCCCCAGACATTTTTATTTTTGAATTACGAGACCCTCGAGACTGAAAACAACTCTTTGATTAAAAGAAATAACAAAAACGCGACAGTGAGGAAGCGATACCCTTCAACTTGACAAGAACCTTCAGAGTCTGTTACATGAAGTTATAGAAAGACCCTTCAAACGCTCTATAAAACAAAACAGTGAAAGATTTTGAAAATATCCTCAAGTATGTTCAGACTGATTAAAGAAAAAGTTTTCAGTCCCTTTCAAGTAGTGTTTTTCCTTGGCGTTGCTTTGACTTGTGTAAAGTTCAACAGTTGAGGGAACATAAGTGGTTCAGAGATCCAGATCGGTGCTCGCGTGCAGATTACTTCCTGTCGACGACATTAAGAATCAATGTTGTTTATTTAAAAGCTTTTTACTAGGCTATGTTATTTTGAGCTTTTCTGTTTTATAAATAAAATTTGTCTACAAAAGTTATACAACCTAGACTGAAGTAAGTAGGAGACATCAAGCAACAAAAACAAAACAATAGAAAACATAACACAACACTAGCTAACACAGCACTAACACTAGCTATGGTTAATTTCGGAAATCAGGGCAAATTACAGATTAGTTAGTTATCTGCTAGCAGATAACTGGTTAATCTGTAGGTTGCGCGCGCAATGCATGATTTCCGAGAGCAGTGTCAAACTCTGTTCCAAGCGATCCTGTGTTTGTCAACAATGTTTTATGAAACAATTATTAGATTAGGCTTCTGTGATATCCAGAAAAATCAAGGTCTAGGTAAGCGTTATCAGACTCGGCCTTTAGCCTGTGTACAGACGTCTCTCTCCCTTCAGATAAAATCGGGGAGAGGGGAGGGGTGGGGGGCGTCTGTACACAGGCTACGGCCTCTCGGCTCTGCTGCTAACACTTACCTCGACATTGATTATTCTGGATATCACAAAACCCTCATCCAGTTACTATCGTTTTCAGGTACAAAACCTAACTATTTTTTAAGCATGTGGGAGAGCTACAATCATGCATGGACAAAAGTCTTCGGACACCTTTGTGTTTCTGGGGCATTTTCCAATTCACATAGGTCCAACCCCTCCCCTCACCCCACAAACAATGTTGGACGCGTGTATCCAGAATTTTTTTCCGAGTTTCAACTTTGTATAGGGTGGGGGGAGGGAGAACTGCAAGAAAATTTCGAAAAGGGTGCACTGTTTTGAAGGGAACCGAGAAATGACAGAAAAATATGAATATTGCACTACTGTTCCAATGACTTTTGTGACCAGGGGCCCGTTTCTCGAAAGTCCCGATAATTAACGGGCCCGGTAAGCTGTCTCTGTTTACATTAAAGATTGAGGTTTCAACAGTTTTACAGCTGACATAATAAAACTATCGGTTAATGAAACAAAATGGAGTAGCTTGCTAGCCAGGATCGGCGCTCTTATTCTTTATACTGTTTATATATCGATTTGAATATTTGATTTCGGACCCGAAAAGTTACCGGAACTTTCGAGAAACGGGCCCATGCCTCGTTCGATGCTCGTGCAGTTTGAAGGCCTTGTTGAGATAAACGTACCTCCCCTTGTAGCGGCGACATTGAAGGCCATCAAACTTTCATTTGACACTTTCAATTGAAATCAACCAAATATTAAGTTTGGCTACTGTCGAACTTCGCCTCGATCTCTTATGAGATCTTTGGAGAATAGAACAGCGATTTATCTTGATAATAACATCATAATTTTCGCTCCAGTTCAGGGGATTAATAAAAAATCTCCCTCTTGTACATTTTGATCTGAAAATGATAAAGAAATCCAGTTGGAAATTGAATGCTTTCTCATGGCTTTGTCCGCCATTTTATTTTTATGTGTACCGGAAGTGTGATGGTCACTTTCAGTTCCGGTCACATCGAAGCGAGGCAAAAAGACAAAACAGTAGGTTAATTTTCCCCTGATTTGATCAGCCGGGCGTAGTGGCGCACGCCTGTAATCCAGCTACTTGGAGGCTGGGGTCTCTGAACGGCTTGAGGGTGGGATTCCTGGGGGCGGTTGTCCTATGTAGATCGGGTGTCCGCGCTAAGTTTGGCGTCAATATGGGGAACACGGAGGAATCTGAGTTCTCCAGGTTGGTTAAAGAGGAGCGAACCGGCCCAGGGTGGAAACACAGCAGGCAAAAGCTCCCGCGTCAAACAGTAGTGGGATAGCACCTGTGAATAGGCGATCGTTCACAGCCCGTTCAACATAGTCGAACTCGACTCTGTTTTTTTTTTCTTCTTCTTCTTCTTCTTCTTCTTCTTCTTCTTCTTTTGAAATGACATACCATAGAAGTTAGAACTTTATTTAATTTTACAGTCAGTGTGGTCTTTTCCACAATGAGAATTTTGCGGGACTGGTTTACAAAGTCATTTTACAGTAGACCTTTTATAATTAACGGAAACTTGAACTACCTGTTTGCCTTTTTTTATTTTTTATTTTTATTTTTTCATATGAAGTCTTTAAGTAAACAGATAGAAAAGAAAGAAAAAATGTCCCAGCAAACTGAAAACTGCGACAACTAAGAGTTAGACTTTCCATGTAAGATAGCAAACTGAACACTTCACTGGCACTTTCAAGCATTCAGAAAACTAAAAAAAAAAGAAAATAATATTTTACTAAATGATAAATTAATTTGATCATGGGCCAGGCCACTTGACCGTTTGGCCGGAATTAAGTCCCTTTCGTCACCGATCGCATATCGCAACGAAAATCTGATGATGAATATATTCATGCCCTAATCAGTCGGCAAGCTTTTGTGATCGGAAAACATGTTCTTCTTCGCTGCGTTCATTGTTGTAAAATTTGCATTTGTTTGCTCCATCGTGGGCTCTTATTGATGGATCGTGTGAACCACCAACCGAACGCGAATTATAGAACTAACAAGGTCGCTGTGGTTCAATTCGAGCATCATCTACTCAGAAACGCGAACCGACAACTTGCACATTCGAGTATTTCCTCTATGGGATGAGTTCGATCGGGAAATCTGTAAGGGATAGGGCGCCGAAATGTTCTATTGTTCTTAACAATGTTTTGACAGTCGTATTTAGACCGACTTCAACAGCGGTGCAGGTCAAAAACCTTACTCAAGATGAAAACTGCGAGAAGGAAAATTCTAAACTGCCGCACCAACTCTCTGGGCTCGAGTTGTTCGATGCGTTTAAGGAAGCAAATCGATCGACGATGCTAACAAGGTTGACGGAAAGTTTGGACGAGATTCGGCTGAAAGGTTGGGTTTTTCCTTTTACATTGTTGATCAAAGGACCGAATGAAGATGTTGAAGTCATCAAGGAAGCATGGAGGCGACACTTTTTACGCAGTCCCGATAATTTTATCATCAAAGATATAGGTAAGCTCAATTAGTGCTCGCAATAGCCTTGAACGGTAGTCTCTTTAGATTTTATGATCACCGAGATAAGGGTTTCATTTAAGTATATCGAAGTATCGAGGTCAGTCAGTGCTGGAAGTCTGGTCTTCCAAATGAGATTATTTGAATCAAAAACCCTTAACACAATTTCCCTTTATGACGTAGAGACAATCTCGCGGTTTCATGTGTGATTTGACTGTGGTGGCCAAAATCATTTCAACTCTTTAAGTCCCTCGCGAGAATGACTCGCTGCTCCATCGAATTCGCAACGTTTACAACCATGAATTTTAAAAATAACCACTTGCTTTCTGGATACGATCGAAGGCTGTTTTATAGTTTTGGTTTTTGGTAAACAAGTTGATTTTTCAGACAGGTGTATTTTATATGACGCCATGAATGCTATTGGCAAAACAGAACAGAGGCCAGTTTTCTACAGCCAGCCTCCAGCAGCAAAGACCAGAATTTTCTCTGCTCTAGAAAACTCTTAAATCAATATTCAACTACCGGCATACCCAGACGATTTCGAGCGACTGATCGATTGATATGCGCGTGGGAACTTTTGTATCGTCTCTAACATTTCAACTTTTTTATTACAAAATGATTTACTTAAAGACCAACACAAGAAACATTCAAACATGAACTTTTATACAGTACCCAGAGTTAATCCTAAGTAATGATGCAAGTTTACTTTTATTTCCCTAATTTGAATTTTCCATTAAAACAGATTGTCAAAGGTCAGGGTTGGATGATAATGAATAGCCTTGCCTCAATTAGTAGATAATGTTTTATGTCCTCTAAATCTAACCAGATAGGACTTAAAAGAACTGAAAAAAGCGCTTATGCTAAACTACTGGCGTACTTTTGACAAGTGCAACATTCGCGGGCCAGATCTTGTGTCCATTTGTTCAACATAGCATCATCCCCTGAGGCCAAAATTATAGTTATTTTGTTCATTGTGATCCGTCTTTTGTTGCTGTCTTTTATTTTTTTAAAAGCGGCAGAGAATAAACCGTTTAAAACGTTCCCTTGCTGTGATAACCGGCTCCAAAAGGCAGCCACCAATCCCTAGAACAATAGACTCACACGACTTAATACAACCACTTTTTGTGTGTTTTTTGCTTGTGAATTTTGTGATAACACGCAATAGAGTTGTTCTTTTTCCTGGTTTTTTTATTACTCTTGGATTATAATGAATTGCCTTAGTGAAGTCTCGAGCTAGCTTTGTTATAAGGAGAGAACTGCAAGCTACTCAACTTGAAAAAAGCAGCTTAAGTACCGGATGTGCTTTTCAAATCGCTTTCTCGAAGGCTTAACATGGCTTTTTCTGTCAACCCAATCTTGTTGTTTTCGCACAAGGCATGTAAACGATAAGATTTCCCTTCCTCTTGAGTACACAAATCTTTTCAAAAAAGTACAAAGAAAAAATCCGCTACGTCATTGCTTATTCCTTCGAACATGACATGCATTTCAAATTAGTTTTGATGATTTCTTGACATAAGTTTCGTTGGTTCTATTTTCCATTGACAACGTGCTTCTTCTTACGCCGTGGCTATCAACGCGCTTTTTTCATATTAAGAGGATCAAGACTTTGAAAAACGTTAAACAGATGTGATTTGATAATTTTTAGCTCGGTGAGAAGGCACGGGCGGACCCTTTTGTTTTATAAAAAATAAATTGCCTTTTCAACTAGAACAAAAACAGCATTAAGTAAACTATCACTTATAAGCAACATCGTAAAGCAGAGAAACACAGTTGGAGAAAAAATCATTATAGCATGTCTGATGCAATAGTGATAACGATAAAGATAAATTGAAAAAAAAATAAAATAAAATAAGGTCTTTGATTTCCTACTCTTTTATGTAATCTGATTTTCCCTCTTTTTTTGTTTTGATTATTCTTTGATTTTTTAATTTGTGTTATTATTTCGATAGGGTTAACTTTACCAGACTGATTTGCGTTAATGAACATTTCATAAGACTAAGAAATAATACAAAGGAAGGTTTAGAAATAAATCTGATACACTGAAAGGATTTTTAGAACGAAGTTCAAACATTGTTAGCATTTTCCGAACGAATATTGAAATGCGACTGAACTGTTCAAATATCATTTTAGTTTTCCCAAGTGGCTAATTCCGAGATGCATATGTGACATTTATTACTGTTGTCATTTTCACTTAGTTCTTTCTTGAAAAAGGGCCGTCCGGAACACAGTTTTTTTTAAGGAAAAGTAGGATAGAAAGGCCGAATGACACGAACAGTGAAAATTACTTTTGCAAGAAACACTTGAACTGAGAGCTCTATTAAGAACACAAATCAGTTTTATCGTAACCTCTTGTTTGAACACATATTTATTTTCCAGCGTTGGGGTATATAAATCACCTTCAAGTTTATATTGGCAGAGAAGTGAACAACCTATATAGATTCCGTTTTACCTAAGAGAGAATGTAAGATATTTAGGTTATTCAAAAGGTTCTTAACTTAGTAAGAGGGGTCACTTCCTAATTGCGTATTTCAGCAAATACAAATCCTGTTAACCTCTGAGTTCAATTTTTTTCTGCCAACTACACTACCCTGCCTGCTTACAATTAAGGAGGCTTAAGCAACTACGACGGCAGCGAGAACGGCAAAAAAGCAACTGACAACAATCTTGCACGTTTACTTTTTTTGCCCATTTATTTGCCGTCGTTGTACGACCACCGTAAAACGGCCTAATTTCACGTTTTGTTTCTTCACGATTTTCTACTATAGCGCTAAATTCGTTTTTAAAACTTAGATGAGCCGAGGCAGTCCTTTAGAATTCAGCTCCAGAAACTAAAATTCACCAGCATTTGACAAACTGAACGCCAAGGAGCTTGAAGAGCAGTGAATTTTGAAACAGCGTGAATTGGCTACTAACGTAGAAATTCAAGTTCCACAGACAATGGATCCAGAATCCAGAACCTGGAATCCCGAATCCGCGACTTGGAGTCCGGGCCCCGGTTCTGAAAGGCCGATTAGAGCTAATCCAGGATAAAAAATTTAGTTTTCTTTTTTATTTACTTTCCCATGCATTATCTAGCGTAAAATTCTATGCTATCATCACTGAATCTCGGAGTAAAGAGACACAAAAGTATTTTGTAAGCTCGAGTAACATGTTCTTAGACAAGAAAACCTTGCTTAAAATTTGGCTTAACCCTGGATTAAACTTAACCATCTTTCGAGGAACCGGGCCCTGAATACAGGACTGGCTTGCATTCCCTTACATGGTGCGATGGTTACAATAATGTTACCAAAATAGGGTTGTTAGCGCTATAAATTTGTTGTATATTAGCGGCTTTTAAAGGAGCTGTGTATTTGTATTTTTGTATTTTATTTTTTACTCCATCTTATAGATAATACATCAGTGGTACAATATTAATTAGTATAAATTAGTACAAGGTTGTTTTAACTACGTGTACACAATGTTATCAAGAAAAAAATTTAGAATTTAGAAGGGCGCATTATAGTGAAACTAATTATGGCCCTTTAACAAGATTGACTTTATTCTATTATAGCTTTGTTATTCATTAAAACACAAACACGCACGCATGCACTGACAAACACGCACACAAGTCAATATTGAGCAAGATAATATTTTTTAAGTGCCTTTTTGAACACCAACAGGAACTCTTACACGAAAAACTAAATTATTTAAACACACAAAAAGGCAACAAATAACACTAAACTAGCCAGCTTCAAACTACGGACGCGGCCGTCATCATCGTTGACCGCTGTGTCATGTAATTTAGTAAAATTCAGCTCAGTGTTAGGGATTGCTGCAACGTGGAATTGCCTAAAACATATAAATAAAAAATTATAAAATATAACCGCTTAAAACTGATGAAGGAACATTAAGTCGGCATAGCAAATACAAATGAGGGCACGGATGGAACAAAATTAAAGAGGAAGATAAAACGGATTGTAAATGGGTTTAAAAATTCAGTGGGCAGCCTTTTACACTGAGTTGATCTCTGCAGTATTTTGTTTGTTTGTTTGCTAAGTCAGTTATTTTTTTGTGAATTTGAATGATACCGCTCGGGATATACCGTAGCCTGCGCGCAGACGAAATTAAACTCTGGTTAACTCCGTCTGCGAAACAGCGCCGAAATCCTTGTTCTGGACTTCCAGCTGTGTACCCAGATTTGAGTACGCGCCACGATTGGCCAGTTAAAAAAGGCCTTTGTTTTGTTTGTCGTGATCGCCAATCAGGTTGAAGGGGAATTCGAAACGCACTTCCGGTAATTCGTTGAGTCCGTTGGGGGTCCAGAACAAAGATCTCTGCACTGCTTCGCAGACGGTACTAATCGGAGTTTAGTTATCGTCTGCACGCAGGCTAGATATACCGTAAAATTCCGAAAATAAGCCCCGGGGCTTATATTTTTCAAAGGCCCTTTTTGAGGGGCTTATTTTTGGAGTGGCTTATGTTCGGAGGGGCTTATCTAGGGAGGGAAATTTGCGTTTCAAACTCGATAGAGTTAGCCTTATAGTTGGAAGTAAATTTGCCATTTTTTCTTTGTTCTACTTTTTATTTGAGGGCAATTTTCCAAGTACAAGCCCCTGGGGGGCTTATATTTGGAGGGCGATTTAACGAAGGGTTTTTGCGTTACCGGTTTGGGGGGCTTATATTTGGAGGGGCTTATACATGGAGGGGCTTATTTTCGGAATTTTACGGTATTCCTGATTTGATCAGTGGTTCTAAGAGCCATAATGGTGGTTCCTAATCTGCGATGTTGTTAGTTAAGGGGCGGATCTAGGGGAGGATTTGCAGGGGTCGTCACCAACGTTACAACTGTAAACTGGTGATTGATAAATCTAAACTAAAAAAAAAAAATGGAATAGTTAACTGCTGGTCAACACTGGTAAACTGGTGATTGATAAATCTAAACGAAATAATCTTAACTGCTGCAACACAGCCCCTTCAATCCTTAGCGGCCTTAAACTTTACTTGTGACCAGTATCTTATTTCTCCTTAAAACACCTTTGCTTTATCAAAAGCACAGGTTATGAGAATAAAATAAATGATTAGTAAAGAGACAAGGCGAAATTAACTTTATTTTTACTATGCATATATCAGAGCTAAATGAGTCAAACTTATTCTCCTCAATGAAAAAAAGAGGTCTGACTCTTTCATACATTATTGCCTGCAGGTGTGGTCAGTTCTGTCGGTATGGAGATTATTCAGCAAGCACCATTTCTGCCATTAACAAAGTCGTTAGTGGAAACCATCGCGGCGCTGAATGGAATGCAGCTGGTCGCGACACAGGAGTCGATTGCAGAATATCTGGCTAAAACCTATCAGTACGTTCACATGCCCAAAATGAACGTGATTCACGACTGCTTGGGGATTCTCATCAAAGAACGGAGGATTTATCACACAGGGAATGGATACTTTGTTTACACACAGAGTCCGTCTGAGAAAACTGCAGACTCTGCAAAGGAAAAACAGGAAAATGGTAAGATAAATGACCCAGAAGATTCCATTTGCAAGGACTCGAATTCTGCCACATGCGAGGCTACCTCCAAAAGGAAGACTGCTAAGACTGATAAGGCAGCAAAGAAGAGAGTGAAAGGAAAAGAGAATAGCAAGGCAAATAGAGCCGGGAAAGAGACTGAAAAAGCTGACAGAAAAGATTTAGTTGATAGTGAGAGGTTGAAACGTGCGGTAGATCAAATGGATGAAAAGTCCGCGATACTTGAGCTCCCTAGTAAAGGCGACAAAGCGAACAAGACTCCTAGTGAAACTACGAGCGAAAGCGGCGCCAGTGAAACCTCTACCAAAAAGGTTAAAAAGCAGAAAAAGGGCGTGCTTGAACAATTATCCTGCTTTATTAAAGGAAAGTCGTTTCCAAATTCAGACATCGAGGAAGTGAAAGAGGAGCAGACGCCAAAAGAACCCTCCCCTCCCCCTCAAAGCAAGCCTACCCAGAAAACCGCGCCTCTCGCAGTCCAAGAGGACGTGTCACCTACTCTTTTGAGAGGTGTACGGTTCCGACACCAACGGACTTTATCGGCTCCTGTAGGAAGCCCCTCCTTACCGTTGAGAACTTTTAAACAGGAGCTGCAGAACTGCAGTGAAAGCCAAATAAAAAATGATGTCCCTAATCCTAGGCAGCTTGCACGAAGCAAATCTTTCGTCGCCGCGGAAAGACGTCCCATTGCACCCGCACCTTTCTTGCGAAGTAACTCATTCTCTGCTCCGAGCACTAAAGCCGCGCGGCAGATTTCTACTGAAAGCGGCCCTTACGCGACATTGAACAGGCGCACGAGTATGAACTACGGAGACATTATACGAAATATACCGGCCAGGCAGACAATCCATGTTTCAAGGCCAATTTCGAGGAATATGGGAATTGCCAGGCCTATTCCTGGCATGCCTCAACAGCAAACTCTTGCACGCAACAATTCGATGAAAAATGAAGTAGCCCAGAGGAAAGGCAGCTCATTGTCACCTCCAAATACCCCTAGAAATCATCTCTCGCCATCCAGTACTCCTCGCTTAAAAGAAAAATCACAAGGACGTGTTCATCCTCCGGTGATGCGAAGCAAGTCTTTCACCGAGCCCAGGACGTTCAGGCCGGTAAATCGTTCGATTTCCCATCGCGCAACGATAGCCGGGCCTTATTTCGAATCTCCGCTGCAGCTGCTTTTGGCTCGGAGAACTAACGGGTATATATCACCTCCGAGTCTCGGAGTGCGTGTTACAATCCCCCCTAAAGGAAAGCATTTTACCCCAGGGAAACATACAGCAATCCCTATTAAAAGGACTCCGCCTAGTTGCCCCTCGCGGAAACAGCCTAACAGCTCACCGCAACCGCTCTTTCGGAAGCAAAACATAAATATTTCACCAGATAGAAAGGACTGCACCTCCCCCGTATGTTATGACACCAGTAAGATAAATAACAGAGTCGAAAACTGCAAATGCAATGGCGTCAATAGTGTAATTCAGAAACAGTTTACAGCCGTTTCCAATCCAAAACACGGCTATAAACATGAAGACGTCAGCAGCGAACATATCTGCATTGAAGAAATGACGTCATCAGGATCAGAAACAGAGGACAGTTACAGGGAGACTGTGGTTGAAAGCGACGGCAAGTCACTGGGTGTTTACAAGAAGATAACTGAAGATGGCGTCAACGATAGCCTGACATTTATTGGAATTATCTAATCAAGTAACAGGTTACCATGAAACAACGGGACTTTTGTTCGACCGCGGATAACATGGTCAACAAAGTTAGTTCTACCCTGTTGCACGTTATCAAAAACCTTAAGCTGCGGTGTCGGCAGCGGAAAGCTTAACTAATAAAGTTAATTTCGCGTTTTTTCAACCTCTGTCGGGTTTATCCGACTCCTTCAAGTTAATTGTTTGTAAAATATAAGTGACATATGATTATCTCGGAGTCAAACTCTTAAGGGTCGACCTGTGAACTGAGAAATTCGTCGACTTTTCTACACGCTAAGAGGAGCCGGCTCCTGACGCTGATAAATTTTAAGACTTTATTACTACTCTCTAAAAATCAAGCAAATGCTTATCTGCGATTGAGAGCAGCATTTGTTTACGAACTGCTAGCAGTAGTTGTTCATTAACGCGAGTGTTTATAGGAAAAATTCTACTGCTGTAAATTTGCCTTAAAAGCGAACGTACATGGAAACGTTGACAAAGCAAACGTTGCCCAGGATTGCCAAGTTTACATAGTGATTTCAATTGTTAACTGTAATTAGTGAACAGAAATATTTAGAGTTGAAATGAATTGATTAATTTTTTAGTACATAAATATGTATTTGGGGAAACGATATTTAGCTTTTTCAAGAAAAAGTTTGGAGCATTTATATTTTTGTTTTCATTTTAATCAAACTCCTCAAGTGTAATTCAGTTTTTCAGATATCAAGGAAATCAAGGCCTGACTTGATATCCGCCATCTTTGCACGCACTTTAGGATCAATATCACGTGGTATTTTAGGGGGCAAACAAGGGACAAAATTTGCCAATAAGGGAAATAGCGGTCGAGTTTAATCTTGCAAAATGTCAGTTGCTACTTTACCCAAAAAAGTAAGAATGATCACTTTCACTCGTAATTTACCATATGTCTTTACGATAAAAAGTTCTTCCTTTTCTGTTGTCTAGAATAAACAAACTCGACTGCGATTACATCACTTGTTTGCCCTTTGAGAAACTACGTGACATTGCTTTTATCCGCGTTCAAAGATGGCGGGTATCGTGAATAAGGTCTATTCTCCTATTTTCGAATTATTATAGGTGGCTGAGAAACTGCCCACCTACCCCTCCCCTAATCCAACATTTTGCCCTAAGTGAGAAATAAGTGTTAAAGTTGGCTTAGGGGAGGGGCAGGTGGGCAGTTTCACAAAAACGTTTAATGGTGGCAGGAAGGCAACCAACAGCGCCGAGTGTAACAAGGTGAATTTCGAGCGAATTACAGGAAACCAAACTCACGACCTGGCTTCAGACGGAAAGAGCGGCAATTTTTGGATTCGGCTTGAAATTCGTATGATTTGAAGAACTTTACGAAAACCGACATGCTAACTTCAAACGATGTTAACAGTTCCCGTCTTCATTTTCCTGTTCCTAGGAATTAGCCGACGGATCTGAGCCAATAGTTTCTTTCTTACTTGGAATTCTGGAACACCCCCGCAACAACCCAAATAACTGACGATAGGTAGAATGAAAATCACGAACTCTAGAAACTGTAATCTGTAAAATATTTTTCAAATGCTTTGTTTTTCTGTGAAAGGTTTAACCCTTTGTGTCATTTCATAAGTCGGCCGCGGGTTGCCATAATTGTCCGAGTGAACGTACAATAGTCCTGAATAGGACTGTTGTTGACAGTGACATTTGACATATTTCTAGCTGTTCCGGTGTTTTGGCGGCACATGCGGAAAAAATACATTTTGGTACTAATCCGCAAGAAGCAACGCTAATCGAGGAGGGCGATAATTAAACCGGCAATGATCAAGTAAGAAAGGATAAAATTTGTCTAAAAAAGACAGCTTGCCGATCCGGCAAGTAACACCCAGGGATTTCACCTCATCAGGAGCCCACGGGCCCCTGACGTCATTTAGCCGCGAGGCTTCCGGTCATTTTCTCATTTTATTCAATTACCGCTTTTTCAACATTAAAATTTATACTTTTTCAGTTTTGTCTAATTTCTAGACGCTGAACGATTTAATTTGGATTTTTGAAGCCAACTCACGAATTGGTTTAACTTGCAGTCCTTCAGGTTTCAAGACCCCGGGCGGCACATACATATCTGAAATTTATGGGTCTTGCAAACAACTTGCGGATTCACCCTTTCGACAAAAATTTTTACCTTTACGTGAAAAACTCCAAATCCCTCAATTAAAAAAATTTTCATCGTTCTTAGCAGGTGTGCCGCTTGGATACTAAATACGAACACGGCAATCAAAAGAAGGTTCAATCGGCAGCTTAGGTTTGACAAATTAACTGACACCTCCGTTCGCCACCTATGATTTTCTTCAACCTTTTCGTTTTGAAATTTTAAATTACATAGAAAACTAAGTATTGCTGAATGGGATGCACGTCCATGCAATCAATTTGCATTTTTGTAATTTGTAATTACTCGCGACAATATGAAAACGAGGAACTCCAACCAATATACCACCGGTGTTTTATAGTTTACTTGGCGAAAAATAAATTGACGTTTCCAAGGCAACTGTCAATTAACACGCCTTTTCAAATTAACTAAACTTAACATCTGCAATGGACGATACTGTGATATGTAAACTGCATTTTAAACTTTATTGAATCTTGCATTACGATCTGTATTGATCTTCCAAACACTCAACAAACCTGAAGTCGTGTGAAGAACAATGTGCCTGAGTCAGTGCGGAATAATCACAAAAAATTGGACCCTAACGGAACTAGTTTTGTCATCGTTCGCCCTCATTTCCATCAATTTATTGGCACTGTCTGGAAATTTGCTTGTCATATTCGTAATTTTGCTCACAAAGGAACTTCGTCGTAAAGAATCAAACTGGTTTGTGTTGAATCTAGCATTAGCCGATCTTTTGGTTTCTTTGACGGTAATTCCAGCCTCCTTAGACACTGTAATCAATGGCCATTTTCGTTTTGGAACCTCCTTCAAAGAGTTTATCGGCTTTGCCAATTTTTTGTTCTGTATCTGTAGTATCATGAACTTGCTTCTACTTTCTGTGGACCGCTGGTTTGCAATCGCTAAGCCATTTAGATACTTGCAAGTCATAACACCGAAAAAAGCCAGTGCTGCATGCTTATTTGTTTGGTTTTATTCAATGCTCTGTGCTTTACCACCCAAGTTTGGAATCAGCTCATATTACTGTTTTATTCCAAATATAGACAATTGCGATCTCGAAAAGGACTGGTCGGGATCAAAAAATGCTTTAATTTTTGCCATCGCAGTTCTTGGTTTATCGTACTGTCTCGCTTTGGCTGTCATGGTAGTGTTCTATTGGAGGATTTTTCGAATCACCCGATCACACATTCGGAGAATAAATGTACAACATTCCCTACGGAGCCGAGTGGAAACAAGCGAATATTCGGAACAAAAAGAACGTCCAGTTGATGATTTTAGTACTGTCATCTCAAACGTACTAGAAATCGAGGATACGGCAACAAAGCGCTCGCCTAGTAGAAAAATGCGATCGTCGAGAAAAAATCGCAAGTGGACTAACGAGAATCGGCAATTTCCACGCGCATCGGACATTCAAACTGCAAAGAGTTTTCTTATCGTTATTGGCGTCTATTTTCTTTGTTGGACACCGTTTTGTTTTATGTTGATGTTGGACATCATAATGAGTAAAAAGATGAATCAAACAGGAGCCTTAATCGGCTTGTGGATAGGATATGCAAACAGTTGCTTGAATCCTGTCATTTACACGTGGAAATATAAACAATTTCGACATGCTTTAGTGTCTAATGGGAAAAAATTACGCGAGAAATTTTTTGTTAAATAAGAAACGATAACAGTTGTCTCAATAACTAACATTAAGACAATCATTGTACGAGATGCAGAGATACCGGGTTTAAATAATTAATCAGACAAGTTTTTTTAAAACTCAGTGAGCATCAGTGACTATTATCCTTTTCTGTTTGTAAATGCCTGTCATTAACTTTTATACTACGTGCAACATCAAGCAAGGCTCAAGAAAGCGTTCTTGAAAACAGGGTTCAAAACCGCGCTTTTAAAATCGTTTCTCAATTTGTTCATAAACTGCCGGGCATCATCATCATCATCATCATCATCATCATCATCGTCATCATCATCATCATGATTGTAATCATCATCATTATCATTATCATAAACATCATCATCATCATCATCATAAACATCATCATCATCATCATCATCATTACCCACATTATCTCCTCATTAATAATAGTCGTCGTCATCATTATCATAATCACCACCACTACCACCACCGCCATCATCATTTAGGCCAAAGTAAAACTGTATTAATTATTAACTTCAATAATTGAATGTGGGTTGAAAAGTGAAAAAAAAAAGGCTGCCAAGTAAACACAAATTACTGGATTTTTAAGAGAAATAAACATGCCACGGAAACAATTAAAAATTTTTTCTCAAATTAACACCTCCGGTTTTTCTGAGGTCCTGAAGTAGACCTGAAGTCTTTTGACCCGAGACCAGGGTAAGTGATGGTTAGCCGATATGAATAGAACCTTCACATCCGTAGGTTACAGGAACAGTAGCCATGATTGCCCATACAAATCCTTATATGTCGAAGATTACGTAACAATGCCGATGCTAGGGCTCAGCTTGCGGTCGTTACGTAAAAGCAATCATTTTGAGTTCAATGTGGGCTTAACGAAACATCTGCGGATTCCCTGGAGTCCTAAAGTCTTCTTGAATTGTTTTGAGCCGGGACCAATTTGTAGCAGAATACAAGAAAACCCGCTCCCGCTGGCGATAGTGATAACATAAAGAGCATAAACAAGACATTTTGCACTGTAAACATGACCAGGAGTCTCCTGACATGACTATATGCCAGAAAAGACAAAAAAACAAACCAAACTTTTATTTATCTTGAAAGGTAAGCAATAAGTTCTTGGTTATGAAAGAAATAACGCAACTTATTGCAGATTAACTATTTCACAGTCACAAGAGGATAATGGAAAATCCCTTATCCTTTCTTGATTCGATTAAAAAAACTTGCCATGAATATTATATAGGCGTCTCAACACAGGTTTCTCAACGTTGGACGAAGATTGAGAGAGAGACCCCGGGAGAGAGACAAACCGGCTCCAATAAAATCGATAAAATTGCCATAAATTGGCTCGTGGACCACACAGCAAAGAATAAACACCCATCGTAAGTGATAGTTAGCCGATATTTAATGAAAAGACCCTTCACATTCGATTCGTAGGTTACAGGAACAATCGCTTTTCTCCATAATCCTTATATGTGTTTCGAGCCGGTTACGTAACTTTGGAGCTGAGGCGTGACTGTGGTCCTACCTAAAAGCAATTATCATTTTGAGTTCCCAGCGTACCAAGAAAACGTAATAACTCCACAATGAATCAGCTATAGCAACTGTGAAATTCTCAGATACCATCGCCACCACCAACATTTTAATGTGCTTGCAGTCGATCGGCATGCAATCCTCTTTTCCCCAACCCACCCCCCGCTCCTGCGGTCAACAATTCCCCCCGCGGTTTTTATTTCCATACACGCGCTCGACGATCTCTAAAAAGGAAATAGAGGAACAAGCTAGTGCATCCAAACCCCGCTCTACAGACACCCGCTTATAATGCGGACACCTCATTATTACGAACAGTTTGCTTTGCCCCTGGGAAGAGAAAACCCCTAACATTTTTCTCTAAATCCGCTTGATACAGACACTCCGTTATTACGGACACTTCTTATGGCTCCTTCAGAGTCCGTATCAAGGGGGTTTGACAGTATTAATTTCCCCCTCCCCTCCCCCTTTGCATGTGCTGTCAATAAATCCCCCCACCCACCCCCGCAGTTTTTATTTCCATAATGACGCGTTTGACAGCTGTGAACTCAAGCTGTGAACAGGCTAGCAATCCTCTAACAGGCTGGTTAGCAATGCTCAAACGGGTAAAAATTGACAGAGAAAGCCTGGTTCACACTGCTAAGAGCCAGCCTGGTTCAAATAAAAACCAAAAGGCCGAACTCACTTCCTTCCCTTTCCCGCGGTGGGGGTGGGGGGGCGCGGGGAAGTGGTTTTCCCCCATGAAAAGGCGGGATGTTCGTCGTCTTTGGTCTCACTTTAATAGGGGGTTCAGGACGGAGTGCCGAGGGGTTGAAATAAAGCCTGAGTTTCGTCCAGATTTGCCTCCTTTAGGACTTTTTAATTTCTTTTCCGACTTTTACATGGGAGTTCCCCTGTCCCCCGAGGGGAAAAAATTCTCTTCTGCCGAGCCCACATTAGTTCTTATAGAGACAGCGGTTAATCCCCCATATTTGGAAATGGTAACATTCGATACCCCATGTCTGTCTATGCGGCTTCGGAGATGTTTTTATGCAACAAAAATTGTCTATACTTTACATAATTTGGTTGTCCAGTTCTCCATTACCGTCCATCAGCATTTAAAAGCCAATATAGTTGAACATAGTTGATGGAAATTTTCTTTATTTTTTGCTGTAACTCCTCGACAAGCGTCCAACTGCATTCTTGACACGGGCTTTGCGATTTCTCGTCCTTTCAACTAAAAATCTTAAAGTTATCTTCGATTCTGTCATGTTTTATGATAAAGAAGAGGACGATGGCGAACGTGAAGCAACTGAGCAAGTTTTCAAGATCATAATTATCGGCGACAGCGGAGTTGGAAAGACTTGCTTAGCTCACAGGTTTGCCACGGGAAAGTTCCCAGAACAGACGGAGGCCACGATAGGAGTCGATTTCTGGGAAAGAAGGCTGAATTTAAACGGAGCCAAAATTCGGGTAAGCCGTTATATTTTTAAAGAACCTAATGAATTGAAGAGATATATTATCTGATGGGAAGTTTGCCGCCCAGCTCCATACTGTTCAAATAAAATCACGACTAATATTTATACTTCTAATTAATAATAATAATATTTTGAAATGCATCATAAGCTCTATAATAATCGTATTTCATTTGATAACACCTTATGGAAAAATGTCAAAAGATAGTACAGTAAGATATAAATAGAGAAAAGCCAAAATAGCCAGACAATACTATGCACATAAAGTGCCTATAGTGCGTTATTTCATTCGGAGCTGCAAATAACAGTCGGTCATCTGACACTGTCCAACAAAAATTTGCCTATCTCTGGTGAAATCCTACCTCGAAACAATAACTGAACAAACCAAATGGAAAAAACTTTCATTTTGTACCTGAAGATTTTACATACATGTAGTAAAAGAGAAAAAAGTAAAAGCAACCCTGGTGACAGCCTTTCTGGTTTTTCCAAGTACGTGTAAAATGGTGACATCATGGTTTAGCCTGCATAAGAAGCGTTAGGGAGGGAAAATGGGGGAGGGGATTGGTGAGGAAAGAGAAGGAATGCTGATATTTAATAACTCTCTATTTTTCACTTCTGCGGTGGCTGGTGTCTGCAAATATTTCTGATTGGCTAAGCTGTAATAAGACAGTATTTTATGATGTAAGAAACAACTATGATGTAGGTATCAGTGGAAATGTGTTCTGTTGGCATAAGCTTTGGAAGATCAAAATTATGCCAATCAAGTAGTGACTTCATGTTGAAACCCAAATTAAAACCTGCAGCTGTAACAGCTTGTTTAGCAGGCAGACATGCTCTGGTTTTGTATATACTGGATTTGTCCAAACACAAGTGGCAATTCGTGCCATGCATTGTCATGCAATGCCAATATCCTCAAGAGCGCCAGTTACTAGAATACATTTCAGAGAATTTTAGAAGCTGGACAAGTAACTTTTCAGTAGAATCATATAAACCATGAACTTCTGTAGTATATGATTTGTGAGGAAAGGGCTAAAGCTTTGCTAAATACTACCATGAAATATGTCTTAGATTGGCATTCATAGGACATTCACTGGTGTCTGTTGAATAGAGGTGACCATTAACACAGGTTTGTTTTAATAAATTTTGGAAGGAAATGTTTGAAACACACTGAGCTACTCATTTGCTTAGTATAGGGTTTCCACTTAATATGGTGTCCAATTAATACAGGTTTCACAGGTATCTTTGAGCTTTTTACATTTTAGTATTTACATTTCTCCTGTCATAAATTATTAGTGTCTCAGGCCCATAACTGTTCTGTTTTTAGCCACTGTTATTTGATGAGGCAAGACCAAAAGTTTTGTTTATCCTCTTGTGCTTTTCTTCGCTTCCCCTTCTCCTTTTTACACAGGTCTGCTACGCAGGCCATAACCTCTTCGGTTATATATCCTTTGATTTTTAAAACAAAAAGGATTTGTAGGCCTGAAATAGTATTTTAGCAGCCAGTCTTGATTTTCACAGCAGGTTCAAATGGAAACTTATAATTATAATGGCCTTGTACTTCATATGAGTGGTAAGATGTATATACTGTGGATGCCTTTCGTGGAAGCACACGGTTAATATAACTAATTCAGGGGTATCAAAAAGCCCTGAATACCAACAAAATGCGTCAGTAGCTACTTTATCCACTTAAGTTGGCTACTTCCTCCCCCCCCCCCCCGCCATGGGAAGCTTGGAATGGACTGCATTGAGTTCAGTTTTCAATTTGATGGACTTGAACATACTTTTTGCCCCAATTTTAAAATATTTATCTTCTTAATTTTGTGCCCGAAATGCTAGGAATTGCATTGAAGGGCTTCAAAATTTCAAAATTTCCTGGGGAAGCCAGTATCCCCAGACTAAAGGCTCATTGTTGATAAAGCCAATCCTACTGGCTTCTTTAATTTTTATTTAAACCCCTGCAATCTTGTTGTTATGACAACTTTTTTCTGGCCCAAAAAAAGCTTGCCAGTCATTCCCTCCCATAAAAAAAATGACCTTCAGTTGTTAACACAACCAATCTGTTGCTGCAACCTAAGACCAGGGATGAAGCTAAGGAAAAGTTTATTATTCATCCTGGCTATCACCTTCAAAATTACTCATTCCATAATAGTTTCTATGTGTGCATTCCATTAGCTAAAATCAACCCACATAATCATGACAGACATGACAGTTTGGGCAAATATATTGAATTTAGCACGGACGAAAGAGTCAAAGCGTGTACAATAAACTAACTAAAACTGAGGGAGGGAGGGATGGGTAAGAGCTTACGTCTCCGGTCCACATCTGAACAAAGATGACTCGCTTGAGCTTCGCGCTTGGTTAATATAGATCACTGATGCTAATAGCTAACCTTACTAGTTAATTAATTATCATTAACAAAAGATATCTTGATGATAGGATCAGTTATCCAAGATCCCTCAGCTCATAACAAATTAAAAGAACTGATAAATCTACCCTGGGAAAGGATTTGTCCGTTCAGTTGATGTACCATGATGCATTTAAAGTGATCTCAGAATACTGATCCTAATCATCCCAAAGGAATGCACCCTAACATCCATTTTTGGTGAAGTTTCTTGGAAAAATCATAATCATAACTTAATAGTATATGAAGAACTGTTTACCATGATTTGTTAGATTTAGGACATGAATTTTTAGTATCAATTAATGTCTAAATTATTTTATTTTTACTTTGTACAGCTGCAGATCTGGGATACTGCTGGCCAAGAAAGGTTCCGCAAAAGTATGGTAGTGCATTACTATAGAAATGTGAGTGCTGTAATCTTTATGTATGACATCACAAGGGAAAGTTCTTTTAGAGCGCTCGCAACATGGCTGCAAGAGTATGATCACTATGGAATCTCTGATGAAGGAGAAGTTCCAAAACTTATGATTGGCAACAAATGTGACCTTATTCATGAGAGAATAGTCAGTTCAAATCAAGCTAGAAAATTTGCTGATCTTCATAGTATGCCAGTGTGGGAAATTTCAACCAAAAATGATGAAGAACTGGAGACTATTGAGTCTATTTTTCTGACTCTTTCACATAAACTTTTGAAGTCAAGATCGTCTTTCATGGACCGGCCAACAAATTATTCCAGCATTGATTCCTTCAGTGACAGCACTAGGTCAGCATCAAGAAGATCAAAAAAGGGAAGAAACTCAAAGAGGATTAAACTCAAACATGAAGAGAGGCAGAAAAAGAAATGTTGTGAGTCGTCATGAAGTTGTTAAAATTTTTAATTTTTATTGATGAGCAGTAGGATGCCTATACCGGTAGTTGTTAGTACGAGTAAATGTATTCAGAAGTATCTATCACTAGTTACTAAAAAGGAGAGAAAATGAGTATCTACTGTGTAGAACTTAATGTTTTTGGTAACAATTTATAACAAATTCCTTTAAGAGTGATTTTACAAAACTCCTATATCTAACAATAATAGTTATTGTCAAATAGTTGCAAGTAAATGGAAGAAAATAATGAAATTGGCTAAGGGACAAGCACTGTGTACCACTATATAGCTATTTTGCAGGTGAAGTAAAATTACTCTACAGTAGTAACACAATAGCTTAGGGCAAATTGAGTATTTATCTGTCAAAATTGCAAGACTCTCCTGTCAGATCTCACAGCATAAGAATCACACTGATACACTGGGCCAAGTTGTTCAATGCTGGGTTAAGATAACTTAGGGTTAGTGTGAGATTTGAATTCAGATTTGAAAGCATAAAAAGCATTTCAGTTTTAATTCTTTTTGTCTACAAGTTGATGCTTGGAAGCTCTAAGAATGCTAGAAAATGCCAAGAAAATGCTTTTGAACACAAGAAAAGAAATCCAGGTTAAGCGCTAATCGGCCTTCAAACAACTGGGCCCAGACTGCTATTTTGTGGGAACTGACAGTTAATACTGGGGTAGAAAGTAGACAGGCTTAAGTCCTGGTGAGTGCTGTTATTTTTTTTTACTTAATGAATATTATTAATGAGTATTTCCTCGAATAATAACCGTCTCTCGATTAATCACCTCCCTCAAATAATAGCCCCCCTTTTACAGAAATATTCAAAATAATCACTTCCCTTGAATAATCGCCCCCCCCCAACCCCTCTTGCCGTCTTCTCTTTTTTTTATCCCCTCCCTGTCAAGTTAAAAATTGACAACCGGGATAACAAGCAAAACTGATCAGTGATGATTCAAGCTCTGACATCCAGGATATTGACATTGAAAATTAATCAAGGAACCAAATTTGGAGCACTTAAAAAGCCCATATTCAGTTTATTTGATGTGGTTATTTATCTATTTATTTTTTGATTAAGTGGAATAATAAAACAAACATATAGGGTATGACTTTCGGTGAGCAATATTTGAAATAATCGCCTCCTTCGAATAGTCACCTTCCCTTGAATAACTGCCTTTTTTTGGTGTGAAAAAAAAAAAGAATAATTGCCCCCGGCTATTATTTGAGGAAATACAGTACCTCTTTTCAGTCTCTTTGAAGTGTGGTTTGAAAGAAAACTGTTATAAGGGGATTTTTTTTGTATGAGTCAATACATATAATTTTCATGCTTCTACTAAATCAGTCATTCTTGCTCATCAGACTTTCAGATGTGTATACTCATTTCATTAAGCATACTTCAGAATAATGCACAGCTGATTAAGTTTGATTGGGTTTTGAGGGGTGAATATACCCCTTGTTGGTCACAACAACCCCAAGCTTATTGATTATTGAATAATAATAATAATTGATATTTCAATCTTGGTGTGCCTGTGCATTGATTAAGAGCTACCATGCAGTAGCTTTTTACTAGAAATCCATTTTTACACATCATTCTCAAATGCAAAAGTAAAAGAGAGCTAGATGTTGTCCATCAAGACTGCAGGATTTCATACTCTTTACTGGTATTCCAGTCTTTTTCCATGAGCATTGCTTGGCCTTTGACTTGGCATGTAAAACAAAAAACAAGAGACAACAACAATCTTTAATGAATGTCATGCAACAATTGACAGTTGTGTTGTCCACACAATTAGCAAAAATGCTATTCTTTGCACTAGAGCCTAAATAAGCTCAGAAATATTTCAAGACAAGTAAATTTTAAATTCTTTAAGTAAAAGAAAACTTCACACCCAACCTATCTTTTTTACTTCAGGTTTACTTAAGCCTGTTTTCCCATGCAACATAATTAAGATTGATTGACGTGCTTCGCCTTTCTCAAAGCTTAGAAACCATGGTTTTCAAGTCACTTGAAACTTTCTTGAATCGTTTCAACTTTCCGACTTTAATGAGATGCAAACTTAAGTTACTTGAGATTTTACTTAGGCCTTCCCATGCACATTTTTGGCCAAGTAAAACTTGGCAGCTCTTAAGTCTAGTGTAAAGACAACCAATAATAGTTTACAATTATATTTACAAGATTCAGGTCCATCGTGGTCAGCTCAGTTGATCATGTAAATTTGATTTATTAATGGCGTGCTTGATGCCAGCTATAATTTGAACAGGAATTGGATCCTTTACCAATATCATTCAACCCAAGGAATTTTAGTAAATAAACAGTTAAAATTATTAGAAAAATTTAGAATCACGTTTATGCCAAACAGCTAACATAAATTTCTACCCGGCGCGTGACCAAGGTTTCCATTTTAAGGTTTTTGTTTACTTTTTAGTCATTTACTGTTCGTTATTTGTGAACAGAAATAAGAAGTTTCTTTCTGGTTCCATCCATAAGAATTAGTTTTGCAAAAAAATGTGATTCTAAATCTCAGATGCTTACAGGCTAGAAAGTAGTACAGGGCTGGGTTTTTCAAATCTGGGTTAAGTTAACCCAGGGTTAGAACAAAATTTGAATTCAGATATGAAAGGTTAAAAGGAAATTCACTTTAATTATTTTTGTCAATAATTTGATGACTAGATGCTCTAAAATGAATAGAAAAAATAATCATAGAAAGAACTTTTGAACAAAAGAAAAGAATCCTGGGTTAAATTTAACCCTGGGTTTGAACTAATCTACCTTCAAACAACTAGGCCCTGATAAACAATGTTTGAGTTATTATAGTATAGATTATTGAGTAATTTTGTAATAAAATGTCAATTTAAGATGTTAGGAACTAAATTTATACAAATATTTATACTTCCAGAATTATTGCACATAGCACTTTATAAGTTAATAGTAAGTAATACATTAAAGATATAATTTTTAGCATTAAATTGGATACCACAGTAAAGAAATAATAATAATAGCTTTTATACAAATATATTATAGATTCCAATTTCATTGAGTTTGAGCACTTTTTTGATATAAAATTTAGTTAACTTCCTCAATACACAGAGAAAGTGGCAAGTTCAGTGTGCCTTTGAACAGGTCATTGGTATAAAAGTTTTATGGAAAAAAGGTGAAATGGCAGGTGTGGGCCCAGGGGTCTCATTTTATTTTCCCCAGGCTGTGATTATCATCATTTTTTCTTTCACTCACACCACACAATCCTCCTCATCAATGTTCTTAACGTTGGAAAGGAATGCGTGACAAGCTAAAAGGAAGGTTACGACCTCGGCTGGGTTGTTCAAAGCGGGGTTAACAGGGGCGGATCTAGGATTTTGTTTAGGAGGGGGTGCACTCGTCTCTTGCTCTTCTTCAACACCAATAAACCACATAGTTTTTTTTGGCAGAATACCAGTTGTATTAGAAACCCGCAGGTAATCTCAGCGGGGGGTGCGCACCCCCTGCACCCTCCCCCTAGATCCGCCCCTGGTTAAGATAGTGAAATTTGAAATCAGTTATGAAAACTTAAAAGGAAAATTCAGTTTACCTCTTTTTGTCAACAATTTGATGACTGGACGGTCCAAAAAGGAATGGAGAAAATTATCTGAGAAAATGCGTTTAAACAAAAGAAAAAGAAACACGGATTAAAATTTAACCCCGGGTTAGCGCTAATCCGGGGGGGGGGCACTTGGGTATTTTTTGGGTGGGTATGTGCCCCCCGGGACTCCAAATTGGCACCCCGTTCTAAAAAAAAATTCCCCTAAAAACTGATACCCCGTTCTAGAAATGGGCCAATTTTTCATACCCCGTTCTAGAATTCGCCCTAAAACTGATACCCCATTCTAGAAATGGGCCAATTTTTACACTCCGTTCTAGGGTGCAACAAGAGTATAACAGTTTGCTTGTTAACGCATTGAACCGTATTTTTAAAAGCAATCTGTCCTTGAATAATTTCAAATGGCCGTTCGAAATATTTACCCCGTTCTAAAACTGAAAAACCCTGTTTTCGTGCGTTTGAAATATTATACCCCGTTCTAGAAAACGAACCCTCTGAAATGGATACCCAGGACGTTCTAAATCAGGAGGATTTTCCAAATCACGACCCCGTTGGGCGGCAACATATCCGTAAAATAGGTGAATGGTGAAGCAGAAAATACAAAAAATATTACACAGCACTAAAATTGACGCTTTAAAATACACCAAAATTATGCAAATTAGGGGCGCTCCTCAAAATCAAAATATCTTTAAGAAAAATGGGCACCTTTTTCAAGAACAACCCTGAGAAGAACGAGGCTAAAAAAGGCTTGGCAACTTTCAAATATCTCATCTATTTTGAAAATAAACGGTTTTTTCTGACTGGTACCCATTACAAATGGACATTTTACTTTGGCCCAAAGGAGAAATGACATACTTAACGGCCTTTATTTGAAACAGGAAATGAAGGAAACAAGAAAAAATTTAAAGGGTTTTTTGGCGGTCACGTTTATTTTAATTAAGGCAAATAGAAAAGTTTGTGTGAGGATTTTCAGCTTGCCACTGCTAATGTATCGAAAGATGCTTCCTCAACAAGTGGGGACCCATAAACGAGCGTGAGGTGGTTGAGGTATAAAAAAGGCGGAAGAGGACTACAATACGATGATATTCCACCCCTCTCAAGAGGATCTTTTGAGGCTAAAGGTATATAATGAATGGCAGGGAGAACACTAGTTGTGGTAACTATTTTGATAAGTATATTTAAGCCAAATAACGCGTTAATGTACACGACATCCCCCTTGTCAGCCCGAGGGGTACTGCGGACTTTGAGCAAACAGAGTGGTGGAATGGAAGCAGAAATCACCCTCCCCCTCCCCACCAAAAATCATCTCAAGGGCTTCCACCCCCCCCACCCCCCCCCAAAAAAAAACAACAACAAACAAACAAACTTGGGAACAAATTAACCTCCATAAGGGAGGATACCAACCCCGGGACACCAGATACACTTACAGTAGATAGAGTATTCTAGTGATCTCAAAACAAGTCTTGATCTTATTTTACTAGCGTAATACAAACGGGATTTGTCCCTAAAATCTCTGCCTAACTGAAGCCACACCAAAAAAAATACTTACCAAATCTTCCTACCAAAAAAATCCCCTTCTGGAAACTGTAAAACCCCCAAAATCCTTCTATCATCCCCGTCACTGAAAATCGAAAGTAATCCCCTTATCCCCTCCCCCTGTGGTTATTGGAGCATTCAGACTTTCGGTCATACTCCTGCAGCACCCTCGAAGATACAAGCGTGCGAATACGGTATATTAGTACTCAGGAAAAAGAAACTCCAAACACTCTCATGCAGTTTTTAACTAAAACCCTTTCATTTCCTGTGGACGGTTAATGAAAAAGGTAGCTCGTCCTGACCCCGTCCATCAAAGGGGCTTTAAGAGACTTGCACCTCGATCTCGGGGCGGTACAAAACTTTGTGGGGGCGGTGGCTAAAAAAAACAAAACAAAACAAAACAAGAATTTGATTCCGTGCTCCTCCCAAGAATAAAAGTCAGAACTAAATTAAAAATATCTTTCTATATACAGACCGCATAGCACTGCATGTAAAAACTATAGTACACTAAAACTCATGTTGAGGAGAAAGGTTTCAAACACGGATACAGACGGAGAAACAACCCAAGAGCAAATCAGTTCAGTTTGTACAGTTACCTTACTATTTACCCACAACTCACTTTCTTCCCCGCCTCAAACTTCCCAGTCTCATTCCCTTTTCCTGTTGCCTTCACGATGACCTCATCTTTCAGTTATTCGGACGCTGTCTCCCTTCGGGTACTTTTACTTTCCCGATTAAACGCACTTCCTGTAATGTGTTCAAGATGTAAAATACTTTTACCGGGTTGAGATCTATTTTGGAAAATAATTGTGGTATGAAAGTGCAGTATTTTTGGGATTCTCAGTGATGGACAATCGGTACATTCAATTATAAACGCTTAAAAAAGCTTTGCAGTAGGGAAGGGAAACTAAAAGTGTCAATTATATGCAAATCTGATGACCATATTTATCAGGGAATATTTTTATTTTGTGCCATGGGTTGACAGTTTTCTGGCATGTTTATGTAGGCTATACAAATATTACAGGCAAATTTGAATGAAGTGTGGTACTTAAGGGTGTTGGAACTCACAACGTGCTTATAAATACGTACAAACTTCCGAATATAGCTTACCTTCCTTCAGCGAAACCGGAAATCAAATTTGCCAAAAAGTAAGAATCGTGCTCACCGGAAGCACGCGCGATGTTGTTTTGCATGACGTCATTAGAGGCTTGACCAATCTGAACAATTGAAAACAATGGTTCTAGTTCCTTCGCGCGTGATTGTGAAACATGTAACAATCTAATCTGAGAAAATTTCAGTTTAAAGAGAGCGGGTTTCCCCTGGCCATCGCAGAGTAATTTCTTAAGAGCATTGCGTCGCAAGAAAAAGGCAAATAACCTGGACAGTGCAAATATTTTCAAGCTCAAAGAAAGCTCTGATGGAGGACTACAGTTACCTGTTTAAAATTATACTGATTGGCGATGCAAACGTCGGAAAAACATGCCTGGTAAAAAGATTTACGAAAGGATTCTTTACCCCAACCCAAGGGCCGACGATCGGTGTGGATTTCACAATCAGAACAGTGGAAGTAGACGGCGAAAAAGTTAAGGTATAAACTGGGTTGCCATCCGGAAAATTTACACTGCAAACCATTCACCTTGCTTGCGCTTGCACTCAGCTGGAAGATGCTATTTTCGGCTTGCGGATTATAAATGGCGCATGATTTTTTCCTATCTTCAAATTTTCATTTTTTGTGATATTATTTTTATAACTGCTTAGTATTTTTTGGCATTTTAAAAGAAACCTTTGCTGTTGAAAATTATTTTTTTTTACTTGGCTTGCTTCCGTGATTTTTTAAAGTTTGTTTTGTAATTTACGACGCCATAATATTATGAATTGCATACCAAAACAGGCGATTATTAACTTTAAAATGTATAACTCTCCAAACCTGCTCGTTAAAACGTAAGCAATAGTTACTGATTTCATCATTCTATTTTTTGGTGAATTATAGTCAACGTGTGATGGGGTAGTTTAGTTTTACAGGCAGATTTGAAAATCCGGAATTGTACTTTTCACGTCATCTTAAAACCGTGAGATCATTTCTTAACTTATTTGGTACCCGTTTTCTGGCTAGTATCCATAAAAACGTCAATATATTCTTCTGATTCTTGTCTGCTAATATTTTAAATTGAAATGCTTGGAGCAAAACCATAATTAGGCTTAGCACAAGAGCAGACGTTCCTCTTGATTTCGTGCAGAGCGTGAGTTCGTTTTCGCTCTATCTCAGTTGGGGCTATCTGAAAACTTCCGTCCTGTAATTGTTAAATTAAGTTTGTTTATTATTTTTCCATATGTCTACTTTTCAAAGGTTTCTGTGTTATGTTTAATTTCAATTCCATTATTTATAATTACTTTTTCCCAATGGGGAAAGAGTCATTTACTGAATTCAAATAATTAGAAACTAAGCATTGAGTATAAATCCAATTTATTTTATGTACTTTTTGTAAAAGTAATTTATGTTTTTATCACCTTAAAACAATAAAAATAAATTTGTGGATTGTTTGGGGTTACTTTAAAGGGAATTTAAATATTACAAGTCATTACTGAAAATATACAAAAGTAATAACCATAAAAGATAAGAAGCACGCAAAAGCCAAAACTATATTCAAAAGCCAAGAGTATGAAAAAGTCAAAAGTTTTGTGTTATTCCAGGTTTTATACTACATTATAATTTTATACATCATGTACTGAGAGTTTTTTTTTTCTGTAGCTGCAAGTGTGGGATACAGCTGGCCAAGAACGTTTCCGCTCAGTTACACACAGTTATTATCATAATGCTGATGGTGTTATAATCACTTACGACATTACCAGCAGGAAGTCATTTCAAAACTTAAATCAATGGCTTGAGGATGTTCACCGATTCACCAGCAAAAAAGTGCTCATGTACATTGTTGGAAACAAATGTGACCTTGTTCATCAGAGACAAGTTGATTTTAGGAGTGCTGAAACAGTTGCCGAGAAAGAACATTGTGTTGCTATGGAAACATCTGCAAAAGAAGCCGACAATGTAGAGAACTTGTTTATGAGTCTTGCAACACAGCTTAAGAGAAGAATTAAAGGTGAAGAGGGAACTGAAACAACAGATTCTTCAGCTGCTGGTGAAAGCAGTTCTTCAGGATCAGTCACTCTTGGAGGACATACAGTTTGTGCACGAGGACCTCTGTCTTGTTGTAGAGTATAGAGATTAATTCAGTAAGAAATATCTGCATTCAGACATGACCATACAGGTTTTCTTTTGTTGAAATAATTACCAAATTATTAGTTTTAGTTTTGCCTAACCACATTTTACCCCAAATTATAGTGCCCAAAAAAAATCACAAAAGATGGAAATTGGCAAATTTCTTTTTGTAAAGTCCTTATAATAGGAAAAACTAAAGAGTATGCAAAAGCAGGGGTAGGTGTGGCTTCCTGTAAGCTGTTATACACATGCAGATGTGGAATGTTGAAGATAAGAAAAAAATGAATGGTTGTGTAAAAAAATTTTGTCTACTAAGATTCAAAAGTAATAGATCAGTCACAAATTGATCAACACCTGTTAACTTCATCTAGGGGAATATTATATTAAAAGTGGTGAGTATGTATGAGAATTACTAAAAATATAATGAGCTTTAGTATTGGTTAGCTGATCAAGGCCATGAAAGTTTTCAAGAGATAAGTAATAATAATGAAATATATAAATAATAATTACTTATTTATCCTAAATAGTTTACTATTTATATATGAATTTTATATATCTCATCTCATTTGTAGCAGCGGAAATACCTCAATACTATAAAAATTACCAGTCAGAATAATTTATTAATAAAATAAAATAATAGTCGCAGGATGTATGTTGTGCAATTTCTCTGAATAACGTTAACATCTGGTTAATCCTCACTGCTCGAGTATTCTTTGAATAACAGGCCTGGGGTAGAGGCAGGGTTGACTGCTATAAAAGGACTATAAAATGCTCTGAGAGTTACATGTATTATTTTCAAGCACGGTAGTCTGGGAGAGGGTACAGATAAACAGAGGATGTTTTTGGTCTAGTGATTAGAGTCTCATTTATGGGATATTGTTCGTCATAGTAATAATTTTTTATTATGGTTGGAAGAAACAAGCTAATTGCAGCGTGCAAAGAAGGTGGTGTCCGATAGCCTGGGGCTAGTGGGTTTTGCTATCGAGCTGGTGAATTCTGTTCATAACTTGCCCAATTGGCAAGTGATTTTTTGGGAGAATGCAAATTACAGAAGAGCTGCTATCAATCCTGCTCACCAATTTTTTCCTCAGGCTAGTTGAAATGACTTTCAGGCTAGTACATGCTATGTACAGCTTGCCCGAATGGCACCCTGTAATTCTGGTTAATAACTAGTCTGGGATTGGGTAGGGATGTGGAATCACATGTTCTTTTGTTGGTGTCGACAGATGAATCGACTGATATCAGTTGCTTTTTTGGTCAGTTGTGGTAGAGTGTCGGACAATTCTTGGCTGAGTCTTGCTGAGTCAGCCACTACAGTCTTTCGGTCAGTCAACCTTAGATCATTTCTTTGCTTATCAATTACTAACAGTTCACCAATATATCACCGACACTTGGTCGACATAACGGCCAATACCCAGCCCCGGTCGACTGTCGTTTGACATTTTGGTCTGTAATATTGACCGATTCTCGACAGACTCTTAACTGACACTCAATCAATATAGCGACCAATATGTTGACTGACAGACAACCAAGATGTCTGCCAATACATGAAAATAGTCTGTGATTTAGTGACTGATCTATGGAATCAGCTGCAGCTGATGTATAACAACCAATAGTGTCCACCACGAGTTAGTTGACAGGTACCTTGTGTCACAGGGAAAGGCGAGGGGACGTGGTTGTACAAGCGATGCCGATTGTCGACCGATACACCAACGATACCTTACCATTATACTCGACTGATGATTCACCGATACATTGCCAACACTGACTACCGATGCTATTGTGACAGGCTATTGTTTGATCTGTCAGATGAACATTTGACCGATACTTAACCTGGAAAAATTTTGTTTGAACATAATTTCGAATGAAACTTGTTGGTCAGATGGCCGCCAACTCATAGGAAGCGCGGTCTTGATTATCACTCTCAGTCCCTCGGTAGAACTCAATGTTCTAACTTTGAGTAATAACAGCCATCCCGTGAAAGTACAGAGATTAGTTAGAAGAAAACGGGATGAAAACAAATAAATCAAGACATTAAATAATAAAAATATTTTTTACTGTGTCTTTGGAATAATACAATACGCTGATGATTATAAAACACTGCATGGGCAATAAATCAACTGACTCCTAACTGACTCTTGACTGACACTCGACCAATATGTTGTCTGGTAACGGGGTACCAGCTGCAACAGTTCCCCACCCCCTCCCACCACCATTCCCGTGCCACACAACTAAAAATTCATAAGTACCTCCCTTCATCACAGCTCTTAACTTTTTCTGAGCCAAGTCTTTAAAACTACTCCAATAGAACTAAGGGATCTTATACTTCCGCGTCAGTGTACATACACAGCTAAGTCATGGCAAGCATAAAATAGAGTTTATATGGGAAATATTAAAACACGTACACCAAATACATGAATACATGAACTCACCCCACAAACTCTCGTATTGCGCTTGCGCTACCTGTGGGTACATTTAGCTCGAACAAACATACAAAGCAACAGTCGGTGAACATACTTATCAGAGATACTTATATTTGGGTTGGATTCCACAGTCAGTGTCTTTTCTCGCTTACTCCCTTTTTCAGGCTCAAAAAACGACAAATACACATCACGACGATGATCTGATACCGCGTCAACTAGACTGGGCCCAACTGAGACGTGATTGGCTAGAAAAAAAACGAGCGCCATTTTGGATTCTCACTCTGCTGGAATGCGACGCTCATTTGCACAAATTTATTATTGAACTCGTTTTCTTGAATGTTTTTTCGAAAAGGTGTCGTGAGGGGTTGTATCATTGATGACAACGCGAACTGTGTTAGTTTTAGCCACAGTTGTGTCAATAAGGGACAAGTTTTTCTATCCTTGTTGTGCGCGATGCCACAAGAAAGTCTATTTTCGAGATGCTGAAGCGACTATGTGAGTACGTCTGTTTGATTGTTTCGAAATGCAGCAGCATTACACTAGGAGTCTCAATGTAAAGTTTCTATGTTGCTGCTGGTTATTTTTAGAGCTACAGGCTCTGCAATCGTATTAGTGTGGCAAGTAACCTTAATAATATTTAGAACATCAATTATATAATTATTTTGAACAAAATGTAAGCTTAAGCTTTGTAGTCGTTTAACTCATGTCGCTTTTGTCTTTGCGTTTTTTAATACTATAGTTAATTTTTTTAGTTATTGACTGTCTGTTGATTATAGCTAAGCAGGTGCATGCCTTGAGGGATGTGGGAAGGTATGATAATCTATAAAGTAGTTGGAAATGGGGGGTACATTTCTCTATGATTGCTCAAAGGTGGAGATCAGTATTTTTATTTTTGTTTTTTCATCTCAATGGAGAGCTTTGATTTAAACTCACTAATTTAAATTCTCAAACACAACACTCAAACACTGAAAAAACAAATTAAAAATGTCCACAAAAATGTCCGTTTTCAAAGAATGGATATTTTTAAACTGAGGTGTGTTTTAAAGAATGGAGCAATTTTATCTTGGCGTGAAATTCGCCGATTCGCAAGCAAAAACCCAGGTCTTCGTCAAATGGCGAGTTTCAATATCATTTGGAACAAGACTCACATAATGCTTAAACCAGTCAAGAACAGGAAAAAAAATTTATTTGTCCCATTTCTGGATGGATTTGAATGGGTTCAGAGGCACTTTTTAGCACGCCAGAAAAGGGCTGGAACAATTTTAGCCTCTGCTCAGGGTAAAGAATTTCTGGCATTTGAAAACCCTTTTAAACTCAATATCATGGAACAGCATTTCTTAAATGTGTAAAATTCTTATGCCCATTCAAGGGTTCACACAACACTGAGAAAAGGCCTGGAACAGATTTCACCTCAGTATTTCTGGTAAACTGATAGTGGAATGGTGGTGTTTGAGAGCAGTCAGAAGCAGGGGGTCCACTGTTTGTGTAAGATATAGCTATTTTGGAGTTTACATTTTAGAATGGGATACATGAACAGTGTACAAAAAAGTCCTTGCTTGGTTTGCTACTTTCTTTGCACTTGCCTCATTATTAGTCCTTTTTCCAAATAAGGAGCCTGGTCCCAGGCTGTGCTTGTTAATGGTGGGCAGCTGGAAATTGTTAGTTCTTTTTTTAAACCTGGTCTCAGGCTTTTCAATTAATGGTGGGCAGCTGGAAATCTTAACCCTGTATTTCTTGAATAAGCGCCTGTCCTGTAGTGAGGAAAGTTAATAAGTGCCCATCCTCGAACACAGGCCCACCCCCACCCACCACCTTTTCCCCCCAAAAAACTGAAGTGGACAGAAAGAGCTTTGGTTGTCATTTCTTTACTGCCCTATCTGCTTCACATGGACTGACTCATTTGAAGATGTTATGCAGTAAAACATCTATAAGGCAACACCATAGAGTTTGCCTATGGCTTTACTGACAATGAGATAAGAATTGACCAGGTACTACTAAGAAAATTTCCCAAAGACTGAGTTCTTAGTCTTTTTTTCACAAGAAGCTTTCAATGAACAGTGATAATTCTGCTCTGGCACACATTTTGTCATTGTTTACTGTTTTGTTGGAAAATCAACTTACTACTTGTTGAAAATAATGAAAATTTAATGAACGCCCAGCCTGGAACAAGCACATACCTCAAATAAGCACCCACCCTAAGGCCCAAAAATTTAATTTAGCTCCCAGGGCACCTATAAATCAAATATTGTATTTAACAAATGTCTGGTGTGATATTTGTATACATATAGCTTGTACTGTGAAGAATGTCAAGAAGAATACAGTGCAGAAAAAGTTGAATATCGTTACAGGATCAGTGTGTTGGCATCAGACAGGACACAGTTGGCACAGATCACAGTGTTTGGCAGCTGTCTGGATAAGTTTTTTGGATTATCTGCCACAAGCTTTGCGAGGTTTGATTCTTTAATTCGTTTAATATAATATCAATGACACTTTTAAACAAAACAGGGTACTAGACAAAGGGAGTAAAGTTTCTTAGGAGCTAACCTATTAACCCTTTAAACCCTAAGATCAAAATTTGAATTCTCATTAGTTGCCCCTAGTCATTTCCTACAGAAGTAGTGGGGAGAAGTTGATAAAATATCAAACAAATTCATCTTGTGTGATCATGTCTGTAATTCTCGTGATAACTCTGTTTTACAAAGCATTGGTATCACAAGGAGAAATTTAATGGTGATCACTCTTAGGGCTTAAAGGGTTAAGAATTTCAATTTTACAAGCATTCCTCTATGGATGAGCAGTGGATTTTAGGTTACCTCTTCTCAGTATTCAGTAAAATTGAAAAAAAAAATTCATACATTTGAGTGGAAAAAAATTTCTATGCACACATTGATACCCCTAAAGGAAACTGAGCTGGCAGAAATTTCATAGCTATGTCATTCGCCTCACTTTTGAATTCACGTAATTGAAGTGTGGCAAGTAAGGCATGGAAATACATAAAAAACTGAAATAAAGAATTTTAATTTTAAATCACCGTAAATAATGTCAGTGAGAATCCAGGGATGAAGTGTGGTCATGTTTTTCAGATTTTCAAAATGACCATTGAAAAATCAGCTACTCAAGTAACAATTTATTATTAACGTCAAATTTACTACTTACATGTTCTGAAACAACATTTACATACAGTTATTAACTAAACAATGCAAGAATAAATGTCAAATTCCCAGTATCGTAGGCACATGGCGTTAGGCACTGGAGTTCACCAGGCCATCCACAGTGAAGTCCTAGGCAGTCATCAAGATTCAAACTATTCATTACAATCAGGCTAGTCTGACTTTTTACAGCACTTGGGGTGAAAACTAGAAAGAAACGTGATTTTTACATCAGAGGAAACGAAAACTAGAATTGTGCTCCATGCAAGAAAAAAGGAGGAAAAACAAACTACAAAATTTATGAGCGTGACTTACGTCTGTTCTTGACTCCTGGGGTTAAAAGAACTCCAAATCTCCTTCAGTTGTAATAACTCCGAAAGTTCTCCGCTAGCTCTTTACTGTGTGATAGACTCCTTACAACTAAGTAAATTATGTGCTTTAGCAAAAAACTATTGTAAAGCCTGCTTCTGACATAAAGGAAATAACAATAAAAAGCAAGAAATATGTTGATCATGCAATAAAATAAAACAATCCCACAATTAAGAAAGAACAAGCAGTCCTTGAATGTAACTAGAAGTCATTGTTTAAACGGATAATGTGACCATAAACCATATCTTATTTCAGTGAGTTAAAAGCATGAACCAAGAAAAAAATAATTATTATCATAGTTGACAGGCAAATATCCTGTTCAACTTACTGAGAAGTCAATTGGCAGCAATGTTAAGAATCAGCACAATGTCAATAAAAACAATATACAGCTGTGGGCCTAAGGAAAAAATTAATTTCAAACCACTTGGAATGAATCTTTGGGCCCTCTTTATTTTGAAAGGCCCCTACACAAGTTCATAAAGGGGCTATAAAGAAAGGGGTCCATGGCAGTGATTTAGCTGTGGGAAAGCTGAGCAGGCTTTTTTAGTAGTCACTCAAGCCAGCATTTTTGACTCAGCTGCTTCTTAAATTACTCCATGTCTTCAATTTCCAGAGCTGGTGGTAGACTTTTTTTAGCCAGTGAAATTAGCGAGTTATTAGACAGTAGCCAGCTCTAAGAATCCGTGCCATGGGACCCTCATTGATCCTGCATAAGAGAATGTCAAAATTGTTAACTTTGATACTTTTTCTGTTCTAGTATTCCACCCTCACATATTTGTCAGTTAGAAACATTATTAAAACTTTGAGTGGGAAATGAGAATAGTTACTGGGATTTGTGTGATTAGTTTTACAATAATATTGTTTAATTAAAATGCATTCTTTTTTTTTCAGGTTTGTGAATGATCTGCAATTTCATCCACTTCCCATTCCAGGGAATCATCTTGTTGTCCAAGCAGTAGAGCAGTGTTTTGTGGGATCTTTACTCCACTTTGGCTTCAGAGTCTGTTCGTCTACAAGAACAGCATCACAAATTGCTCACAACTCTCCTTTTCATCTCAATAACATTGTTCCGAAAATTGGTGGTTCAGAGAACAAAACATGTCTCTCTGGGGGATTACCCAGTCTTCTAGCCTGTCAAATATTCCCCTGCTACTCTGCTGATCATCAAGCTCCCACAGTGCTGCAGATATTAAATGCAAATTTGCTGGAGGTACGTTCAAGACAAAGAAACACTCCTCAGTCATTTCTTCTGAGGAGGCCTCAGAGTCAGTACTTAGAACTTGTTGATTGCTCTCAGACTGAAGAGAGCTGCAAAGCAAGTTTTGGTAAAAGTAACACATCTCTTCAAGGAAATGGTCGTGCATCTCCCATTTACTGTACTCCACAAGAGTTTTGTGCTATGATCACTCCTCTTGTCCTGACTGGAGTCTCACAACCTTCCTCTGTCAGCAGTTCCACACAAGACATGTTACCAGGATCAAATAAGTTGGATCATCACTTTCTTGGTCTTAAAGGTTAGTTCTTGGAACTAATGTTTTGCCTCAGAAATTAAAAAGTTAGTGTTATTTGCAGTTTGAACAAATGTATATTAATGTCAACAAATGCAGCAAAAATGGAATTCTCTCTCTAATATGAAGCATTAATTGTATGTTTTACATTGCAAATAATTATATTGTCAGAATCACCCTTATCAAGTTATACAGCTTTTTGAATGTCTCCAGCTGCTATTTACTAGTAACCTTTACCATTCCCAGTTCTCTTTGTCATTTTTTGGTACATATTTCAGGATGAATAATTTTTGGGTTATCCAGTCTGGTGCTACAATATTACTTATTTTAGGATGCAATTTTTTTGGGTTTTAAGGTCCATAACTAAAATAAGTCCAATGGGAGTTGTAGTTATTCCTGTGGTCTTCTTGTAATGTATCCACAGTTTTTTCAGTGAAGCAACCCTCCACTGCAAACTGATCAACACCACCGTTGCCAGCATTACACACAAGGTTATGGTGATCACCACATTTCTGGACACACAATCCCCATGGAGTATTCAATTTTCCATCACCCTGGCCTTCTTCTCTTATATTGTACAAAGACTTCCCTCGCGGTTTTATCAAACACTTTCAAAGCATTCTTATCCAAATCAGAAACAATGAACTTGCTCTCATGGTAAATACATGCAATGGGTTTATTTACTTTTTCTGGTCCACTTTCTCCAAATTGAAACAAAGGTTTCTCCATCCTGTGATAAAACTTGGATTCTGTTGTTATCACAATCAGCATACTATAACACGACCTTCTTTATCCAAACAAACACTGGCAGGATTCTGAAATTCTCCATCTTTTGTCCCTTTCTTCCCAGCGCTTTTTACAGGGTTCCCCACTTGAACGTTAAATTGTTGAATGCGATGATTTAATTCATCCAACACAAGACTGTTATCATCATTTACATGTGTAATGTCAGCTGGATGGTGGGGCTATCCAGCATTTTTTCCATGACAACCCACTTTTCTTACACAGTTTCCTTCCTTATCAGTTATCAGGAGACAGTGTTTATCATACTCACGAACAGCGATTTGTCCTTTGCTGTTTATGGCGACTCCAATAATGGTGTGTCAAGAGTTTCTCAGTATAAACTGATCAACACAACATTTGCCAGCATTGCATACAATAAGGTTGTAATGATTGCCACATTTCTGGACACACAGTCCCCATGGGCCACACACAACTGTGATGTGGTGGTAATTTTTAAGACTGCCAGCAAGCTCTCCTAGGGCTCTTGGGGCTACAGGGGTGGGAGATTCGCTCACAGGCTTGTAATTTTTCCAAATCTTTGTTAATGGTAATGTAGTTTCTGCTCAAACTTAGGAGTTATTAACTTTTGAAACTCCATTGAGCCATCAGACTTTGTCACACAAGTCTGTCCTTATCAAGCATTTTTTTTTTACTTCAGTGCTGATAATATATTGTCGGAATTGCCCTAAGTCAATTCCTTGCCGAAAGTATTCAGCTGCTATTTACTTATTCCTTTTACCATACCAAGTTATCGTTTTACTTTTTTGGTGCTTATTTCAGGATGTTTATTTGTCTGGTTATCCAGTTTGTTGCTTTTTAATTATTTTAGAATGTGAATTTTTTTAGTCTTATAGTCTGTAACTAAAATAAGTCCATCCGGTGTTGTAGTTATTCTTGTAGGGTCTTGTAACTTAACAACAGTTTTTCCAGTGAAACAGCCGTCCACTGTAAACTGATCAACACAGCCATTGGTTCTATTAGATACAAGAAGATTATGGTGATTGCCACATTTCTGAAGACATAGTCCGTGAGGCCCTTCCATCTGTCCATCAGCCTTGCCTGGTTCTCCGATCTTGTACAAAAACTTTCCAGTATTATCAAACACTTTCAAGCAATTATTACCCCAGTCAGAAACAATGAACTTGTTTTCATGGTAAATACACGACCTGGGTTTTCTTAGTGTTTCTTGTCCGCTATTTCCAAATTGAAACAAAGGTTCACCATCCTGTGATAAAACTTGGACTCTGTTGTTAAAATGATCAGCAACTATAACACGGCCTTCTTCGTTCAAACGAACACAGGCAGGATTTTGAAATTCTGCACCTCTTATCCCTCTCACCCCAAAACGTTTCACAGAGTTCCCTGTTTGAACATTAAATTGTTGAATGCGATGATTTAATTCATCCACCACAAGAATGTTATCATCATTTAGATATGTGATGTCAGCTGGACGGTTGAGCTGTCCAGCATTGTTTCCGAAACAACCAACTTTTCTTACACAGTTTCCTTCTTTGTCAGTTATTAGGATACAGTGTTTATTGTAGTCACTGATAGCGATTTGTCCTTTGTTGTTCACGGCAATTCCAGATGGCTGTTCAAAAGTTTCTCCTTTTACTTTTAACTCTCCCACAACTTGAATTAGTCGTTGTTTTACTTGGACAATATAAGGGCTTCCTGCAAACTCCTTGCCATTTACCTTTATTATGATTTTGAAGGTTCCTGGAACTCTAGGTGTAAACTTCACGATGTAATCACCATCTTGTTTTTCACAAGTTGTCAAACTTCCTATTTTATCAGCGGGTTCCACAAGCACTTTCACTTCATACACTTCTTCTCCACGTATTTGTGGGTGAACTTCAAACTGTGATTCAACACCAGCTTGGAAATCTTTTGTCAGTCCCACTACTGGTTCACTTGTTGCTATGTAACCAAGGGTTAGATTCTTTTCTTCTTTTGTTTGATAAAACTTCAGGAATGAATTGACCGGAAGTTCTGGGATCGTCGTGTTTTCAAGATGTTCAAACCGTTGTTCTAGATAATTCTTGCTTTGCATTACATCTGAGCTGGAGCTTCTTTGAATCAGATTTTCAGCAAACTCGATTGCTTGGTTGATTTGCTTCAGCAAGGATTGCACTTGTGCCTTTGCAGAGTTTAATCTGTCTTGCCTTGACACGCGCGTGTTCTCGAGGGCTGTAATAATCTGCCGCTCGTTTTCTCGAATCTTCGCGACCATTTGTTCGGCAGCTTGGGAAATTTCACGTTTAGCGTTTGTGATATTTGCCTCCAGCTCACGAATTGTTTGTTCATATTCACGAATGGCATCGCTAAAAACCTTTGTTTTTGTTTTCAATACCTCGGTTCTTGTCAGGATGTTGGCTTTCTCGCTGTCCGCTGCTTTCTCCAATGGTTCCACGTCATGTGCCTTGTGATCCGTAGCAATGCATATTTGGCAAACACAGATTTGGCATTTAAGGCAGAAAAACCTCGTTACCTCTCGCTCGTGATACTGCTGCGCGCAAAATGACTGCCTCTTCATCAGAGCTTGGTAGTCTTGAGGTTGGAACTGCTTGACTGGCGTTACTTTGTGTCCTTCTGTAAAGTGACTAAACAGTTGATGTGCGTGGACACAGTCACTGCACATGAATTTAGCGCATTCGAAGCAGTAACTTATCTCTGCGCTCATTTTCTTGCAAACGCCACAACTGATATCATTTCCTTTTCCGCTTTGTCGTATGGCGAGAACACTGAGCAGACTATTATGATGAAAACTGGTCGGTAATTTGTCAAAACGGTTTGCTTCGGGAAGATCAACTTCAGCTTGACACTCTGGGCAGCGAAACTTTCCATTCCGTTGGCTGATCAGTGCGTGTTTCTTTATACACTCAAAGCAGAATGTGTGCAGGCAGGTTATTGTCTTGGGATCGGTGAAAGTATCCAGACAGATTGAACAAGTAACATGTTCTTTGAGATTCTTCAACAGAGACTCCATTGTTCAAGTTTTTTTCACAGCAACAGAACACACCCTAATCTTGTTCAGAGTGATTCCGGGAAACTCGGACCATATAAGGAACTATTAGTATTACAAAAACAATTTGCATTATACTGCAGACAGTCACCCTAGTCTAAAAGCGGAAGTTGTTAGAACTTTCAAAGGTCTTTTTTTGCCTAAGAATCGTGACTTGTCTAAACAAAGTTGCTGCACACAGTGATACATTATTATTGCAGAGGAAATATTCTTTTACTATTTTGGATAACAAACGTTTCTAGGCAGTAGTCCATAGTAAGTGTTGTAAGCTCATGTTTAAGGAACAAAAATTCTTCAGTACAATTTACCCCACATTTCAGGCAGCCAACCAAACTTACCCTTTGACTGTAGATCGGAAGTTAACAAAAGTTTCCAAAGTTTAGTTTTGAATTAGGTTTTTACTAAATGGTTGGCTGCATTAGTTTTGGACTGTCTATATAATGAAGCAAATAATACTCTCTTTCTTCCTCAATTTCATATCATATATACAACAGTTTAACCAGACTGAAGTCCCGATACTCGTACATTCGAGGTTCTCTTAACCGCGCTCTCGTCAGTGAACGGCTGGACTTAAGGCCGCCCTTAAGGGGACAGTCTGGTTTTTATGAAAATGGCGTTGATCGAATTGACAATGGAAGAAATTTTAAGGGTAGAAAAGGTGTACACATAAACCGGTTAATCTGCTAATGAGTTGGTGGACTATTTGGTACTTGTCTTCTAATTATCCCCCTTTTTTTCTATTTTTAACAAACCCCAATCCAATTTTATTTAGATTGAATGATACCTCGGCTTTACATTTAAAAAAAGGGGCGGAAATGAACGAAAACCAAGGCTTTTAGCCAGAATAAAAAACGCCCTTTGAATTGCGCTAACTCCGTAAACTCTGTGGGCCGGTTATTTAAGCGAAGATTAAGTTAACCAGTGTTTAGGGCTGAGCCGCGGTTTAGACGTTGTTTCGATAAACAACGGCTAAACGATGCTTAAAATACATTATAAAAACACGACTGGACCGTGTTCTTGCATGTCAATGGCTAAACCATGTCTCACGAGAAAATGCATTGTCTGCAGAGTTTTTTTTTTCGTATGCACATTTTCAGTTAGTGGTTGTCTCTGCAATATGGCCTCTAAACCAAGTTGCACAAGAAGTTTCAGCGAACAAGAAAACCTTTTATTGGCCGAATTGGGTAGAGACTTTCCAGAAGTGGAAAGTAAGGGACTGGTCAAAAAGTATAGGTGGGGGTGGGCCGGAGCAGAGAGGGGGTGGGTCATGAGGTTTTGAGCCTTGTGCAAGGGGTGGGTCGGGCAATTTTAAGCTACCCTTAGGGGGTTGGTCACCCTATTTTATTACATAGATAGGTACTAACTACTAACGAGACAGTTGGCCTGCACTTGTTATATAACACAACACAGCCAAAGGTTTTTGTTTCTGAGGAGTTTTTTCGTAGGATTCTCAAGGCTTCTTCTTTGACAAATCCTTTTTGTAACATTTGGAGGGTGACACGAGGTGAAATGTGTGTGCAAGAAGGTTTCCGTGTGTGTAAAATGTGTCTTTGCATCAAGGATAGATTTTTCCTTGAATCTTGCGCGTTTGTATACAACCGTGTCTAAAAACGCAGTCTCAGTGTCAAATGTTTCGGCCATGAATTCAATATTTGGGTGATGTAAGTTTGCTTGTTCAATGAAGGCTTCGATGTCTGGTTTACTCAAGTCCCATGGGGAAAAGATATTGTGTATGTAGCATTTCCAAACTGTTGTTCTAAAGACAGTTTTGCTTAGAGTTGTTGTTTCAATATATGTCATGAAAATATTGGCAAAGGAATCAAAACTGCTGTCTTTGTGCCCATTGCAGTTCCATGGTTTTGTAGGTAGTGTTTTCCACTGAAGTGGAAGAAATTTTCTTTGAGGATTAATCTAAGCGTTTCCGGCAAGTAATGTGTAGGAATTGGTTGTCTTTGTAGAAATTTTCATACGCTTTGTGACAGACAATTTCAATATACCTCGTTTTGCTGTATATTTGTGTCAAGACTCATAACGTTCATCGAAACAAGAAATGTTCGGTTTTTCACATTTGTCTTTTCAGTGAAAGGTATGATCTCTGTGATTTTGATATTGGTTGCAGCAGTGTATCAACAAATTTTGTCAAACGCAGAACAAGGTTTTATTGGATTATTAAGAGGAAACCAAACATCCATGTTGTAACTAGGGGGCGGGTCATGCAATTTCCAACCTTGCTTTAGGGGTGGGTCAGTCATTTTTGTGCCGAAGGGAGGGGGTGGGCCATGTGCTTTTTATCAACCATATTTCCAAATGCTCCAGCCCACCCCCCCCCCCTATACTTTTTGACCAGTCCCTAACGGCTATCACCTTAAAACGTTGGCAAAAAAGACAAAGGCATGGGAGGAAATTTTAACTAAGTTTAACTCCCAAAATCTTAACGGTATCAAATGCGACCTCAGTCAGCTTCAAGGATGCTGGAGGCGGCTGAAACTCAAGTCGAAAAAGGAACACGACTTACATTGTCGTCAAGCAAGAAAAACTGGTGGAGGTAGCCTGCGTGGCAGGCGTCGAAAGGGGTAGGGGATAGAGAAAAAGGGAGGGGGGTAGGGGAGAGAGGGGAAGGGACGTCTGCTATAAGAACCTCCTTTTATTCATTTCTGCGGACGCGGGCGTCCGCAAAATCCTGATTGGCTGAGCCGTAATGAGTAACTTATTGGCCTGTATCCTGGTGTGTGTATTAGTGTGAGAGACAAACATGACGAAGGCATCAAGAAAATGTGTTCTACTGGCATAAGCTTTGGAAGGTCAAAATTACTCCAATCATGTAGCAACTTCACGTTAAAGTCCGAACTAAAACCAACTGTAAGAGCTTGTTTAACAGGCAGAGATGCTCAGGAGGTTTTGTATACTGGATTTGTCCATACACCGAGCAGCGACTCTCAGCGATTGCGATTCTTGCCAGACATCTGCAATGCCGATATTCAAAAGACCATCTTTTCTGCAAAAACATATACCGTCTTGAATGGAGTTTTAAATGGTTTGTAAAGAGAGAGCTGAAGCTTTGGTAAAAACTATCCGTTGAGGGTTTTGACAATTGCTTATAATTCTCCTTTACTTTCATACTTTTCGTCTCAGGCTGGCCAGTGTTCTGTTCTTTGTGACAATCACGTCGCTTGATGAGGTTGTAAGATAAAAGGTCTTGTGTATTCACACGAAACTGATCATTGTTTGTCGTAGACTGCGAGCAGTAAAAAAATGAGAGACTGCTCGTAGCCTATGTTTGTCGTGTTTGCTGCGGGAGTAAGAACAGTAAAAATGATTCATTTCGCTCGATTATTATATCACTTGAAAAAAGCGTCTCAACTTGACAATTTCCGGTAAACAACGTAATTAAGTTCGGACCATGCTGAGAAGCCCCGTACTTGTGATTGGTCACGTATTGACAGTGACATTATCGGATTAGTTGAGAAAATGGTGGGCGGATGACAAAAACACCGTCTCTTATAGCAGGCGCTCCCTTCCCTTTCCCCTCTTTCCTGCTTTTCTCCCTCCCCCTCTCCCTCCCCTTTTGGCGCCTGCCACGCAGGCTAGGTGGAGGAAAAGCTGTTGCCACGTAATCTCAGCCTCAGTTAATCCGCTAGAGCAGGAATTTGATGATGATGCAGGAGAAGAACTTGATTTTAATAAGGCGGGACGAAGACGAGATGGAAATTATTACGTAGGAAGTGGGGCCAAGTCTAGTTGCTGACGTTGCAGCTATTAGCAGGAAAGGAGCGGCAAAAGTCACAAAAAGGAGAATAGTCAGAAGTACAATAATGTTTAATCGCTTGTAATTTTTTTTAATGATAGTTCATTACATAGGTTACAAGTATTGATCATCAGATGACATTACATTGACAGGTGCAACCGCAGAAGACCAGATTCCTCTGAGCAGGAGGACCCATTCTTGTCCATGGTAGCCTGTTCCAGGCGTTCAGATAGTGGAGAGCGGTGCGAAGTAAAAAGGAGCGCGTCTCTCCCCAGTCCCCCTCTACTTTTCATCGCTTTCTTTACTTCGCACCGCTCTCCACTATCTGAACGCTTGGAACAGGCTATGTCCATGGCGAGGGAAGAACACAAATTGAAAACGAAGGTCCTCAAGCTTAAAGAATGGAAGCTAATGCACCAATGCGATAAAATGGGAATTGGTTTGCCACCTGCATACGACACTGACAAGGACAATTGTTAAACCAACCGGTAGCTCCTTGAACTTTTGTGATATAACCATCATAAATTTCAAAACAAAAGAATTAAAAGATTATTAACAATTAATTGCGGTGATTATTCTTTTTTGTTTCCTATTTTGTTGTCAATGTCGTACATGAAATTTAATCAATCCATTAATCTTATTAAGCAAAGTATCGTGGAATAATGAGCTGGCGTTTGGCATTCCCACTTGCGTCTGCTGCAGCAACAACGTCAAATGGGACATCTTCGTTTTCAATGTCTTTATCAAAGTCTTGCTCTCGATGCATAAGAGCAAAATTATGCAACACTGCAGTAGCCACAATAATGACGAGGGTATTCGCCGAAGCGATGCGCAGTCCCAAGTGAAGACACGGAAAACGTCGCTTTAGCAGTCTAGAGCATCTGTCAATAACACACCTAGTACGCCTATGTGCAGTATTATAGCGCACTTCTCCTGCATTCTGCTTAATTTTCGTAAGCGGTCAGCTCCCGTTTCGAAAGCTTTTCTTGGTTCTGTTTCCCAGGGATGTTGATTCGCTTAAGGGGGCTTGGACAAACTTTGGTTGGGATTGCTAGCTAGATTGCTAGATTCTAACGACGTTAAGAAACGTCACAGAACCTATATGCCTGTTTCTTTCTTGTGCCTCAGGTACCTGTGCCCAAGAAATAATATCAGCCAAATCCACAGAAGAATAGAGCCTTACGGCTTACGACTCCAAATTTGATTTTTATTCAGATTCGGTTTCTAGTTAAAATCAACCTTTATTAGAGGTACTTGGCTGTCGATGAAATTCCAGTGTTATGACATTGATTTAGTTTGGTAACAGCATAATTTGGTCATGGGTATTTTCTTTTTCTATTTTAGATCGAATTGATCAAGGTTCATCTCAGGAAGAAGACATCAGCAGCAATAACTCAAGCTCGCCACGCTTTACACAGCTACCTTCTCAAACAAGGGGACTAAACTGTGAAAAACTTGACATCTGCAAAGAAGAGCAAGCTTATTGTGAATGGACAGAGTACGATGACTTTCCGTCGTCAGAGGATCTCGGTGCATTTCTACCTGATTTGGAAATGGATGCTATAAATAAAAGGAAAGAACAATCTCAGGCAATCATAAATTCCAAAAAATCATGCGTGACGTCAGAAGAGAATGAGATGGTTACGTCACAGACTGTTAGTTTCAGTGATGTCGTTTATGGAATTGTTCAAGAGGATTACACAGAATTTACTGATTTCCCTTCTTCTGAAGATCTAGACGTTTTCTTGGCTGAGATGGAGCTTGATTGTGAAAATATACTGCAGAAAACATCGTTGGCGCCTGCTGATGTTTTGAGGTCCGCTGACCCGTTTGAACTTCAACAAAAGGTAGAGGTGTCTAGAACATTGGCCAGTAACGAGCACGATATTAAATACATCGCGAAAAGAAACAACACTGAACACTCCAAAAAGATCTTGGATTTAACTGATGGTGATGGCCTGTGCGCGCAAGAGGATTCTGTAAGGCTTCAAAATTCGAGCTCGAATAAAATGGTACCTAAGATTGATCTATCACATTCTGAGTTGCTTAGGAACTGCGAAAATTTTTTCACAGAGCCCTCTGAAAAGTCTATTCCTGAAAAAGATGTAAAAATAGGTGGGCAAAAGAGGCATTCCTCTGTTAATTTACAAAGTAGTTTTATGAAGAACGATAAGCCTACTCATTGTCGAGACGAATTAATAGAGCAAGGGAAGGTGTTGTGCGTCTTAGAATCAACCGAACAGTTACGTGAAGAGGAATTAGTTTGTACCAGGTCCCTGCAGCACGAAGTGGTAAACACATGGTCACATGATCAAAAGATCAAAGCGGAGGTCCGACAAGCTGCTACCAATCAAGGAAACAGTTATTCGCTAGGAGATGACATGTTGATTGATAGCTTTGAGATGATGTACACTTCCCCTGATTTGTTTTCGCAATCTCTGTCTCGTGCAAAAGTAATGAGTTCTGACACACCATATTTATATTATTCTCCAAGACTCTTGAAAGATGAATCCCATTCTTGGTATTCAAAACATTTTAGCGAAACCCCTGACCTATTTTCTTCCCCAAATTGCTCTCCCAGCAGGCAGGAAATGAACTCGGTTTCATTGTTTTCCTGTTCTAATCATTCGCTTCTCTCTTCCTCATCGTCGCCGCTTCTCTTGGTTGAGCAGCCAGCCTCGTTTTCAGATTCAAATAGAAACGAACCTGATGCGCCTTCAGTCATAAACCAGAGCGAATCTGAAAACAGGTTTGTGCAGAATGACGAACAGGCTATTAGTTTTCATTCAACACCCTGCTATGCAAACCGTACTTCTAAACGTTTACACAGAATGTGTGCGCCGGCCGGAGTTTCACCGTTGTTATCCGACTCTCGAGGACCTAGTCCATACAATGAGCCGGAAATTAGTATATTAGGAACACCAGTTCTTTTCTCTCAAATGTCAGCCAGCAGTTTGTGAGTTATATCTTTAATTTGATTCAGTTATTTGGCGAACATAAAGTGAAAACCAGAAGTTAGTTGGGTGAATATGGTAGTAAATATAATTAAAAGAAGTAAAAAGAACAAATCTTGTAATAAATCAAGAATTCACTTTCAGGGGCTTCGAAATTAACAGGTGGGCGTTTGGGTCCTTTCTAAAAGTTTGGAAAAGGGTTTGGCCTTCGTGTTCATTCGAGTCGTTTTTATTATTTCTTTCCCTTGCACAGGTTAGGTGAAAAGCTTGTTATTGACGGTTTAATCTGATGACTTTACAAGCGGTACAATAGCCTGCGAGCAAGCTCTCCTTTAGGGTAAGTCTCGAGAACTCACGCGAGAGCCTCACGCTGAAGGAGACGCGAGTGTGAGGGGTGGAGAAAGAAAGAAGAAATCTCCTTTTTCTCCACCCCTAGCGGCTTCGCCGCTCTCGCGCGTTCTCTCGCCACTCGAAATGGAGAGCTTGTTGGCAAACTATGGGTACAAGGGATGTGGATCCACACGGGCGATTCTGATGTGAACAGGTTAAGTTTAACGATAAAGGGGAAGCACGTCTGGAGGATTATTCCATATTTCAATCATAAACAGCTAAAATAAAAATATTTCTTTTCTGATCCATGAAGACAATATATTTAGATCACCAGTAAGCAAAGGTGAAGCAAGTAAAACTCGTTATTATTTTGTATTATATGAGACAAAGTCTTGTGATTATAGTGTATGTCCGTTTCTTGGAGACCCTTCTAACAGACCTAACTAATGATATGAACTCAGAAAATTTTGCGTAATTATGAAACAATTTTTGCTCACTTTTGCTTTGACTGAAAACAAAAGTGAAATAATCAGTGCCAATTATTTTTTTTTTTAATATTGCAACTATACTTTCATTTGCCTTTGACGAGTGAATTATCTTTTTGATAATTGTTACAAAATTATTAGTCACACAGTCCTTTTAAAAAATAGTAGCAAGAGAGTTTCTTTCATCTAATATATCATCTACAAACTTACATATACTTAATATATCAGCCCTTGTGAAAATACTATCACAAAGAGAATTATTTACTGTGTTATAACTCGTAGTTTACTCCGCATTACTCTCTAACTTTGGTCAACTTTAATATCTTATCCTTTGCAATTGCTTCACTGAAATATTGTGTTGTCACACAGCTGTCCCTCTACAGAAACATTTGTCCGGCATTGTCATTAATACTCTCGCTGACCGATTGTGTTCAGCGGCTATTTACTTTTAAATTCTATCATACTGAGATCTCTGTTTTTTTGCTTATTTCAGGTTTTGAATCTTAGTGGCTTTACAGTCTGAAACAAAAATATGTCCACCTGATGAAACCATTATTGCTGCAGGTCTCTGACTTATTAACATTTTTTTCTAGTGAAACATCTCTCCAGTGTAAACTGATCAACACGACCATTGCCAGTATTGCATACAATAAGGTTGTAATAATTGCCGCATTTCTGGACGGCACACAGTCCCCATGTATGGACCACACACAACTGTGGTGTGGTGGTGAGTTTTTAGCCCGCCAGCAACCTCTCCCAGGGCTCTCGGGAGTACGTTGATGTGAGATTTGCTCGCAAGCTAGTATTTTTTTTAAATCTTTACTAGTGGCAACATAGTTTCTGCTCAAACGTAGCACATGAGGTATTAACTTTTGAAACCTTATCGCGCCATCTGTTTTTGTCACACAAGTCTGTCCTCATCAAGCATTTTTGTTACTTCAGTGCTGATAATATAATGTGGGAATTGCTCGTTGAAAGTATTCGGCTGCTACTTACTTATTCCTTTTACCATACCGAGTCATTGTTTTACTTTTCTGGTGCTTATTTTAGGATGTATATTTTTTGATTATCCAGTCTGTTGCTTAATTTTTAATTATTTTAGAATGTGAATTTTTTGAGGCTTAAAGTCTGTAACTAAAATAAGTCCATCCGGTGTTGTAGTTATTCTTGTAGGGTCTTGTAACTCAACAACAGTTTTTCCAGTGAAACAGCCGTCCACTGTAAACTGATCAACACGGCCATTAGCTCTATTACAAACAAGAAGATTATCGTGATTGCCACATTTCTGAAGACACAGTCCGTGAGGCCCTTCCATCTGTCCATCAGCCTTGCCTGGCTCTCCGATCTTGTACAAAAACTTTCCAGTATTATCAAACACTTTCAAGCTTTTACCAAACCACTCAGAAACAATGAACTTGCTCTCATGGTAAATACACGACCTGGGTTTGCTTATTTTTTCTGGTCCACTGTTTCCAAATTGAAACAAAGGTTCACCATCCTGTGATAAAACTTGGACTCTGTTGTTAAAATGATCAGCAACTATAACACGGCCTTCTTCATCCACACAAACACTGACAGGATATTGAAACTCACCATCCCTTGTCCCTTTCTTTCCAAAACGTTTCACACAGTTCCCTGTTTGAACGTTAAATTGTTGAATGCGATGATTTAATTGATCCGCCACAAGAATGTTATCATCATTTAGATATGTGACGTCAGTTGGACGGTTGAGCTGTCCAACACTGTTTCCAAAACAACCAACTTTTCTTATACAGTTCCCTTCCTTGTCAGTTATCAGGAGACAGTGTTTATCAAAATCAGCAATAGCAATTTCTCCTTTGCCGTTTACGGCAATTCCCATTGGCTTTACAAGAGTTTCTCCTTTTATTTCTACCTCTCCAACAACTTGAATTAGTCGTTGTTTTACTTGGACAATATAAGGGCTTCCTGCAAACTCCTTGCCATTTACCTTTATTATGATTTTGAAGGTTCGTGGAACTCTAGGTGTAAACTTCACGGTGTAATCACCATCTTGTTTTTCACAAGTTGTCAAGCTTCCTGTTTTATGAGCTGGTTCCACAAGCACTTTCACTTCATACACTTGTTCTCCAAGTATTCGTGGGTGAACTTCAAATTCTGATTCAACACCAGCTTGGAAATCTTTTGTCAATCCCACAACTGGTTCACTTGACAATATGTAACCAAGGGTAAGATTCTTTACTTCTTTAGTTGGATAAAACTTCAGGAATGAATTAACCGGAACTTCCGGGATCGGCGTGTTTTCAATATGTTCAAAGCGTTGTTCTAGATAATTCTTGGTTTGCATTATATCCGAGCAGGAGCTTCTTTGAATCAGATTTTCAGCAAACTCGATTGCTTGGTTAATTTGCTTCAGCAAGGATTGCACTTGTGCCTTTGCAGAGTCTAACTTATCTGCTCTTGACGCGCGGGTGTTCTCGAGGGCTGTAATAATTTGCCGTTCGTTTTCTCGAATCTTGGCGATCATTTGTTCAGCTGTTTGGGAAACTTCACGTTTAAGGTCAGTTATATTCGCTTCCAGTTCAACTACTGTTTGTTCATATTTACGAATCACATCGCTAAAAACCTTTGTTCTTTCTTTTAATACCTCGGTTCTTGTCAGGATGTTGGCTTTCTCGCCGTCCGCTGCTTTCTCTAATGGTTCCACGTCATGTGCCTTGTGATCCGTAGCGATGCATACTTGGCAGACACAGATTTGGCATTTAACGCAGAAAAACCTCGTTACTTCTCGCTTGTGATACTGCTGCGAACAAAATGACTGCCTCCTCATTAGTGCTTCGTAGTCTTGAGGTTGGAACCGTTTGACTGGCGTCACTTTGTGTCCTTCTGTGAAGTGACTAAACAGTTGATGTGCGTTTACACAGTCACTGCACATGAATTTAGCACATTCGAAGCAATAACTTATCTCTGCACTCTTTTTCTTGCAAACGCCACAACTGATATCATTTCCTTTTCCGCTTTGTCGTATTGCGAGAACACTGAGCAGACTATTGTGATGAAAACTGGTCGGAAGTTTATCGAAATGGTTTGCTTCTGGAAGATGAACTTCAGCTTGACACTCAGGGCAGCGAAACTTTCCATTCCGTTGGCTGATCAGTGCGTGTTTCTTTATACACTCAAAGCAGAATGTGTGCAGGCAGGTTATTGTCTTGGGATCGGTGAAAGTATCCAAACAGATTGAACAAGTAACATGTTCTTTAAGATTCTTTAACAAAGACTCCATCGTTCGAGTTTACTTTTAGATCGGCAGAACACAGCCTATTCTTGTTCAGAGTGATTCTGGGAAACTTGGACCATATAAAGCATTACTAGTATTGCAAAAACAATTTGCATTTCAATGAAGACAGCTAGGCAGCCAACCAAATTTAAATCTTTCCACCTGCTGACCTTAGTCTAAAAGCGGAAGTTTCAAAGAAGCTTTAAAGGTCGTTAAGCGTGACTTGTCTGAAATTATTTTGACAAAAACAAAGAAACTGCGCACACTGACGGGTACATTTGTATTACAGAGAAAATATTCTTTCACTTTGGATTCATAATACAAGTGGTTCTGTTCAAGTCCAAAAGTCCATTTTGTAACTGAGCTTGAGCCTTTAAAGAATTCTGATTAGTATTATTCTCTATCTCATTCCGTGTGTGTTACAATAAAGACATTTTGATATTTCAGGTAGCCAACCAAACGTAACTACCGCGTGATTGTGGAGCAGAGGTTGACGCAATTTCCAATCAATCTTTTAATTTTTTGTTTTGTGAATGAAAGATAGTGTGAGGATAACGGCAAGTTTTGGTATCAAATGGAAAACTCTTGGATCCGCATTGTTTAATAGCCTGAATTTCATCCGATTACTTCGAGTCGTTATTACTCCCTCAGTAACGTCTGAATCGACCAGCCGTTAATGCCGTCCAGTGACGTCACTACTCCTTGATCTTTGCTTTAATTCATGCAAAAAGTAAAACACGATTTTCAAGTGGCAAACCGAGAAATATCGTTTAGAAATGTCTGCATGATACAGAACTGCTTTATTTTTTTCGATCGTAATTCATGTTTAACGTTCAAATGCATGCAGTACAACTCTGAACCGGCTGTACTGAATTCTATAATCAAACTCGGTCGCAATCACGCAATGACATAAACACACACATGAAACACTTAGTTCAAAAACACAATGATTTGCTTTAATTGAAAAGAAGCTATTTGGTCCTTAACGAAGAAAAAAAACAAGGAAACAAGAAAGAAAAGCTAACAGAATCATAAAATAGCAAGAAGGTCGAATTATAACATTGATCTCAGAAAACTTCGCGTAAACAAAATCACCGGCCGCCGAAACCACAAAGCGGCTCTAAATGAAAAACCTACCGACTCTCCGCGATGATTCTTCATTGGCAGTTGAATTTAGCATTTCAGTTTCGAAGACAAGGGCAATTTTGCTGTTTAAGATAAAGATTAAGCTTATCGAAATGTTTGAACTACACGAAAGAATGCCAGGGATGCGATCCGCTGAATATCAAGCGACAATCCCGCTAAAATTTGTCATAATTATACATAATTATGCGAATGTTTAGACAATCAACCAATCAAAATCACTACCCGTTTTTTGGGTAGTGAGTGACGTCACTGGAAGACATTAACGGCCCGTCGATTCAGACGTTGTTGAGAGGAGAAAACGACTCGAAGCAATCGGATGAATTTCAGGCTACATTGTTTAACTGAATAATCATTGTTTTTTTTGTGATGCAGTCTTCCAGGATCACAAATCGTTCATCAGAACTTTAACTTTTGAGTTCAAACTTAATAGTTGTATGTATCAGTTGTGAACTGTGGACATAATTTAATATATTGGTAGTGTACTGTTTTTTGAATCGAATTTTTAAATGCAAGCTTTCTTAGTATTAAGCTGTCTCTTATAGATACTGCTGGTGGCCGCTGCTCCATTTCGTTGGGATTGTCACCAAATCGACGAAAGTTGTAGAAAGGCACGTACCCTGATTTTGTTTTTCCGTGCTTAAATTTGGTTTTGTGACTCAAGTACCTTTGCCCAAGAAGTAATGCCAGTATTAAGAGGTACGAATAGAGCCTTGCCAATTATAACTTTGAATTTGATTTTAACACAGATTCGATCGCTTTCTAATCAAAATCGACCTTTTTTATCGGTAGTTGGGTGTCGATAAAAATCCGATGTCAGTACATTAATTTAGTTTGGTTGCAGCATAACTTGGTCAAATATGTTTCCTTTTTTCTATTTTTGATCAGAGTAGCAGCAATAACTCAAATTCGCCTCGCTTTACACAGCTAAATTCTCAAACTACGGGACTGAATTCCGGGAAACTTGACATGTACAAAGAGAAAGCAACCTTCTTGTAAATGGACAGAGTACGATGACTTTCCTTCGTGAGAGGATCTCAGTGTATTTCTAGCTGATTTGGAGCTGGATGTAAATAAAACAAAAGAACAATCATAGCCAATCATAAATTACAAAATATCAACCAGGCCTAAACCATGTGTGACGTTAGAAGAGAAGACACCCGGTGAAATAGTTACATCATAGTCTGTACAGTGATATCGTTTATGGAATTGTTCAAGAGGATTACACAGAATTTACTGATTTTCCTTCTTCTGAAGATCTAGACGCTTTCTTGGCAGATATGGAGCTCGATTGTGAAAATACACTGCAGAAAATATCGATGGCGCCTGCTGATGCCACGAGGTCCGCTGACCCGTTTGATCTTCAACAAAAGGTAGAGGTGTCTAGAACATTGGCCAGTAACCAGCACGATATTAAATATATTGGGGAAAAACTCAACACCGAACGCTCCAAAAATATATTGGATTTAGCTGATGGTGATGGTGTGTGCGCGCAAGAGGATTCTGTAAGACTTCAAAATTCAAACTCGAAAAAGAAGGTACTTTTAAAGATTGATCTATCACATTCTGAGTTGCTCAGAAACTGCGAACACCTTTTCACAGAACCCTCTGAAAAGTCTATTCCTGAAAAGCATGTAACAAGAAGAAAGCAAAAGAGGCATTTCTCTGTTAATTTACAAAGCAGTTTTATGAAGAACGATAAGCCTACTCATTGTTGAGACGAATTAATAAAGAAAGAGAAAGTGTTGTGCGTCTTAGAATCAACCGAAGAGTCACGTGAAGAGGAAGTAGTTTGTACCAGATCCCTCCAGCACCAAGTGCTAAACAAATGGTCACATGATCAAAATATCAAAGCGGAGATCCGACAAGCTGCTTCTCATCAAGGAAACAGTTATTGGTCGGGAGATGACATGTTAAATGATAGCTTTGAGATGAAGGTATAATAGTCTATAAAGTAGTTGGATGTGAGGGGAGGTTGCGTATATTTCTCTCCCGGGTGGGGGAAGGGGTACTCCTTGGTGGAGGTGTGCCGCCCGGTCTCCAAATCCTGACCCAATTTCAGACCAAAAAATGTAATTTTCCACACCCGTTTTCAGACTAGAACTCTAAAATCCATACCCGTTTTCAGACCTCAGAAATTATGTACATGTTATCATTACTTAGATTAGAGCACGAACACAAAAATTATTCAAATCTATTTCGAATTTGCATATTTCTCTTTCTTTCTTTATCATTTGGAATTGAAATAATAAATAAGTTTATTATACCTGCCAACTTTTTCTGAGATATAAGCGTGAGATTGTTATCCTGGGAGTGCTGGGATTTTTAAAGACGACACGATCATTTCCGAAGATTCCCGAAGAAGTCCGAAGTCTGCCGAAGGCGAAGTTATCGAAGTTATCCCAGTCCCAGTCTTAGGACGCGTATAAACGCGAGCTCGCTCGCAGTGCTTTTCACTTCAAAAATCAGAGATCGCGAGGAAGGTATTGTCATTTATTCATTTTACACATGGTTTTCGTTCCTTACATGCGTCTGAGTAAACATATTTTTGGAAATTGTGTCAAGCAAGACGGCAACAACTCACATTTTTCAATCAGGCGTGAGAAATTGGCCCGCAAGCGTGAGCCGGCGTGAGATAGAAGTTTTCAACCCGCAGGCGTGAGAGTTTGCAGGTATGGTTTATACACTCTGTAGTTCCCTCGAAAACCATACCCGATTCCAGACCAAAATGGGCAAAGTGTATACCTGTTTTGAGAGCAAAACGGCCCAAAAACCCTACCCGAAGGGGCAGCACATACCTATATGGCTTATGTGAGGGAGTACTCCCCTGGATTTCTCTATGATGGCTCAAAGTGGGAATCAAAAGTTTTATTTAGTGTGTGTTCATCCTCATGGAATCCTATTTAAAATTCTCAAACACAACAATCTAGCAGACTTAAAATTTCCACAAGAGGGGTCTGGAAAAGCAGGAAACTAAAATCGTGAATAGAAACAGGAATAGGAACCAGAACCAAAATGGAAAAAGGAAAAGAAAAGGGTAAAGTGACAGGAAAGGAGTAAATAAAAATGAGCTTGACCCAGTTGTTTAAAAGGTGGATAGCAGTATCCACTGGACAAATCTCTATCCAGAGCCCCGATAATGCGATTTATTGGTTTCTCAACAATTTTTCTGCTGTATAGTGCTGTCCAACGTTTGAATAACCAGGGCCTGGAGTCCAGGCTGAGACTTGGGATTAGAACTAACAGTATCAAAACAACTTCATTCCAGATCAAGATGGGATTTTCGAGCTATTTTCAAGTGATTTTAAGCAGGTCTTTGGTTAGCAACCTCTTCCCCAGGGTGCTTTTCCCTGGCTTGTTTCCACAGCAAGGGAAAAGCACCCTGGGGACGAGGTTGTTTGGTTAGTTTCTACCCAACCGAACTTTTTAACAATGTCAAAGGTTAAGCAGTAGAGCTACCTGTCATATATCATGTCAATCGATATTAAAAACTTCAACACTTGATTTCGTGATCATCATCTCAGCTTACGAGTACTATAAAGCCCCCTCGTGTATAATATATCTCTGTGTGTATGTACTACCACTACCGATTAATTTGAATAAATACTAGATTACTTCAATTCTCGATGTGACTTAAGATAAACTGTAAGTTTTAAATAATATACCAGGTGGGAACAGTACTGCTGAGATAAATGGGGAACTTGAAGGAGGAAGGAAGGAGTCATGAAGACAACAGACATGCCTTCTTACAATATATATTAACATGTGAACAGTAAGCTCGGACATCATACAAAGGTACCACTCAGACGCGGATCTAGGATAAAATTAATACTGACCGATTTCCTAAATGAGGGGCCGAGGGAGCAGGCTTCTAGGGGTATTGTTTTGGATTTTAATTCCCTAAAGTTCCCTTTCCCGGGTTTCTGATTCATTGAGGGGGCATCTAATGCTCTTAAACTGCAAAAAAGAAAACATTTGTCCAGACCATTTTCCAAATTTCAACTAGGGAAGTTTTACTATTATTAAAAGTATGTTCATTGTGAAAAATCTGACCGATTTCCAGAAAACGGTGGAAACCGGTGAGAATCCGCACCTGCCACTGGTAGTCACTCTCAGTCCATTTATGAGCTTTAATACTGTACCCACCCAACCTATGATGTGGATGATGTGTGAAAGTTGGCCACACCACCGGGGTCTTCGTCCCCTACTCTTCTCCAACGGTGTGGGTTCTTTTACGTCCCACAAGAACCAGATAAGCGAAAGTGCTGTGAGACCAGGCTTACAGTTTTTTGTCCTTATCCGTGAGAAGACTGGAAAGTCTAACCAATTGTAGATGTTATTATACAAAGGAAACACTTTCTTCTCAGTTATTTAAAGACCCTGAGTGTTGGTCTGGCCGGGGTTCGAACCTGCGACCTTTTGCTCAGCAGACTGGCACTCTCTCATCTGTGCTGACCAGGTGGTGGTTGAGTCATTAATGTTAAGCTATCACTTTCTGCTAAACAACTATCATACCAACCTTTTGGTCTATATTTGCACTGTGTACATAGAACATGCAAACTAGATCGACATGCCAGTTTAAAAGTCCAAGAAAAAGGCGACAAAAGGCAAAAATCTTGCAACATGACTAGCTGTTGGCTATCAAATATTCTTGTAAACATCTAGTTTTAGTACAATAAAAATAAATCTACAAACCTATCAAAACAAACCTGGCGTTTATGGCTGCCCTGATCGCACATGGGCATCTCGTTTAAATGTGTTATTAATAACAAATAAATGTATTATGCCATCCTTCCAGCGAGAGACATATAGAGATTTAGCATCAGCGATTGTATCTTTATAAAAATTAATGCTTCTTGTTCAGAGAGAGTTTTTCTTTGTTTTCGCATCAATTCTTTAAATAAAAATAAAATTAACATTAAATCGAATAAGGACATTTTCCATCCCATTTATATGGGTGCCTTTTCCTATTCCTGTTCCTATTTCATTTCCGGTTCTGGTTCCTATTCCCGTTCCTATTCCCGATTCCGGTTTCCTGCTTTTCCAGATGCCCTCCACAAGAAGAATGGTACTGTGGCAGCCCTTTGCAAACCATTTTGAATTCAATGGGGATAGGGGCTCACTTGACCTGGTTTGATTGTTGTTGCTTATCAGGCTGATCAAGAGAGTATTGTTCCAGTCAGGAGTCAAATTCGCAGGCCTTAAGCCTACAAGACTAAAGCAAGCAATATGTCCAAAGAGGAAAATTTATTGCAAAACAAATTAGTTCAAAAATGTCCAGATTCTTTGGGCCTTCTTTCTAGAAAAGTCCCCCGGCCCCCCAGATTAAACCTGGCCAATTCCTAGAACAAAGCTGTGCTCTAATGAACATTGAAAGGAGCCCAGTTCTCTGAACCTGTAAAATCTAGGCTGCCCAGCATATGATTTGTATGAAAAATCTGAGATTTTCTAGTCACCCAAGAGCAAAAGTTAGGTGCCTGGGGCCACTGGGCTCTGCTAGAGCACAGCCTTGCATAGAATAACCTTGCATACATGTATGAGATTATTATTATAAATCATTAACTTTAATATTGTTTCCATTTTGGTGTGCCACACTCGTTTATGTATTTGTAACACCAGAGCTCAAAATTAACTTTCAGATGATCATGAATTAGATGGGCCAGTTCATCCAAACTTCAACTGGCCAAGACAAATGTTTAGTTGCCAGGTGCAAGAAGTGTTCAATTTGAATGACAATAAGACATGTTTTTTTTTGGAACCAAAAAAAAACAGTTTAATAAAGAGTTCTATTTCATCCAAAACACTGTCAACTGTTATCTTAGACTAGACACTAGATTTTATGACAAACTCTGGTCTTCTCAGTCTCTCCCCTGAGGACAGCCATTTTACTACCCCTCTGGCTGCATTGTACTCCTCAAACCTGCAACCATTCATTGAAATGCACATCAAAGGGTGGATTTCCACTGACACGTAATTTTTATATGTGCATACCTGCAAAAGTAAAAATAGAGGCGATGCATGAAAGGCCACCCATAAGCATGAAAGTTGAGTGAGGCTCAACTTTTATGCTACGTGTGACCTTGCATACTTTACGTGTGTATAAACATATAAGAATTATGCATCAGTGGAAATCCACCCTAAGGGCGTTGGTCCTTCTCATCTCCATCTAGCTTGTCTTTCACAACTTCTTGCTGGCCCACACTGACAGCTTGTTCTAAATTTTCTGGATCATTTTGAGTCTGCGGAGAAGAAACTGAAACACGCTTTTGTGCCATTTCCAAGCAAATCATAAATGTTCGCCATGACCACTTTCTTGCCATGATAGTCACGTGCGATTTGGTCAATACGGACTGGGCACAACAGGATCCAGTTCTTACATAAAATACCCAGCCAAGATGGCAACAATTTATGGCAAGCATGTGTGCAGCAAAAATGTTTATGTTGAAGTACATGTATATTTTCTACAAGTCGTAATTTTTGAATTTTCAAGTGAAAAACTGTTTAAAAGATTGTACTTAGAAACAAAGAAATTTTGTACATGTAGGTCAAATTTGGTAAAATGTTGCTGGCCAAATGGCCAGGTTTTTTAAATTCTTACTCACCAACAAGCTATTTCTGTTGACCGATGACCAGTTGACCACTGTTAGTGTCGAACCATATAATACAGTCACATTACTGAAACTTCCAGCTTTGAAATGAGAAAAGTTGTGGGCATTTTTACGATAGTTTTGCAAAAAATATAGTTTAATTAATAAATCTGAAATCTTTTTTTATTAGGTTTGTCACTGACATCTGTGTGATATATTCACAATACGGTTAAATTAAATTCACCGAACTAGTTTTCCTTTTTATTTCAGGTTTATAAAATGGTCTGCAGTTTAGTCCAATTCCCATTCCAGGGAATCATCTTGTTGTCCTAGCTAGCAGTGGCGCAGTGTTTTGTGGGTTCTTTACTCCACTTTGGCTTCAGAGTCTTGTTCATCTACAAGAACAGCATCACAAATTGGTCACAACTCTCCTCTTCATCTCAGTAACATCATAAAAAATAACATTTGGTTCAAAGACCAAAACGTGTCCCTCTGGGGGATTACCCAGTCTTCTTGCCTGTCAAATATTTTCCTGCTACTCTGCTGATCATCAAGCTCCCTCACTGCTGCATATTGAATGAAAAATTAATTTACTGGAGTTACATAGAAGCACTCCTTAGTCATTTCTTCTGAAAAGCTCTCAGAGTCAGCACTTATCACTTATTGATTGTTCTCAGATGGAAGCCAGTTGCAAAGCAAGTTTTGGTGAAAGTAACAGATCTCTTCAAGAAAATGGCCGAGCATCTCCCATTTACTGCACTCAACAAGAGTTCTGTGCTATGATCACTCCTCTTGTCCTGACTGGAATCTCACAGCCTTCCTCTGTCAGCAGTTCCACACAAGACAGTTCACCAGGATCAAAGAAGTTGGATCATCACTTTTTAGGTCTTAAAGGTTAGTTCTCGGAACTAATGTTTTGCCTCAGAAATGAAAAAGTTAGTATAAACTTTGCAGTCTGAACAAATGTATATTAATGTCAAAAACTGCAGCAAAACTGGAGTTCTCTGTCTAATGTAAAGCATTTGTGTGTTTAAATTGCCAATACATTGTCAGAATCATGACCTTAACAAAGAGCTTTCTGAATGTCTCTAGCTGCTCTTTACTTGTTGTACCCTTTATCATTCCGAGTTCTCTTTTTTGGTACATATTTCAGGATGACTAATTTCTTGGTTTTCCAGTCTGGTGCTACATATTACTTTTTCAGGATGTGAATTTTTTTGGTCTTACAGTCAGTAACTAAAATAAGTCCACCGGGTGTTGTAGTTATTCCTTTGGGGTCTTGTAACTTGTAAACAGTTTTTCCAGTGAAGCAACCCTCCACAGTAAACTGATCAACAGGGCCATTGCCAGCATTGCATACCAGAAGATTATGGTGATCACCACATTTCTGGACACACAATCCCCATGGACCATTCAACTGTCCATCATCCTTGCCTGGCTCTCCTATCTTGTACAAAAACTTTCCAGTATTATCAAACACTTTCAAGCAATCATCACCCCAGTCAGAAATAATGAACTTGCTCTCATGGTAAATACATGCAGTGGGATTGTTTAGTATTTCTGGTCCACTATCTCCAAATTTAAACAAAGGTTCACCATCCTGTGATAAAACTTGGATTCTGTTGTTGTAAAAATCAGCAACTATAACACGACCTTCATCATCCAAAGAAACACTGACAGGGTTTTGAAACTCACCACCCCTTGTCCCTCTCTTTCCAAAGCTGTTTACAGAGTTCCCTGTTTGAACATTAAATTGTTGAATGCGATGATTTAATTGATCCGCCACCAGAATGTTATCAGCATTTAGGTATGTGACATCAGTTGGACGGTTGAGCTGTCCAACTTTGTTTCCATAACAACCCATTTTTCTTACACATTTTCCTTTCATATCAGTTATCAAGATAAAATGTTTTTCATAATCAACAACAGCGATTTGTCCTCTGTTGTTTACCGCAATTCCATTTGGCTTTTCAAGAGTGTTTCCTTTTATTTCTATCTCTCCCACAACTTGAATTAGTCGTTGTTTTACTTGGACTTTATAAGGTCTTCCTGCAAACTCCTTGCCATTTACCTTTATAGTGATATTGAAGATACCTGGAACTTTAGGTGTAAACTTCACGGTGTAATCACCATCTTGATTTTCGCAAATTGTCAAACTTCCTAGTTTTTCAGCGGGTTCCACAAGCACTTCCACTTCATACACTTGTTCTCCAAGTATTTGTGGGTGGACTTCAAATTCTGATTCAACACCAGCTTGGAAATCTTTTGTCAGTCCTACTACTGGATTCCTTCTTGCTATGTAACCAAGGGTTAGATTCTTTTCTTCTTTTGTTTGATAAAACTTCATGGGATTGACCGGAATTTCAGGGATCGGTGTGTTTTCAAGATGTTCAAACCGTTTTTCTAGGTCATTCTTACTTTGCATTATATCTGAACTGGAGGTTCTTTGAATCAAGTTTTTAGCAAACTCGATTGCTTGGTTAATTTGCTTCAGCAAGGATTGCACTTGCGTCTTTGCAGAGTTTAAATTATCCGCCCTTGACACGCGCGTGTTCTCGAGGGTGGCAATGATTTGCCGTTCGTTTTCTTTAATCCTGGCGATCATTTTTTCAGCTGCTTGGGAAACTTTAAGTTTAGTGTTAGTTATATTAGTTTCCAGTTCACGTGCTGTTTGTTCATATTTACGAATCGCATCGCTAAAAACCTCTGCTTTTGCTTTTAATACCTCGGTTCGTGTCAGGATGTTGGCTTTCACGCCGTTGGCTACTTTCTCCAATGGTTTCACATCATGTGCCTTGTGATCCTTAGCAGTGCATATTTGGCAAACACAGATTTGGCATTTAAGGCAGAAACTCCTCGTTATTTCTCGCTCGTGATATTGCTGGGAACAAAATGACTGTCCTTTCATCAGGGCTTTGTAGTCTTCAGCTTGGAACTGTTCGACTGGCGTCACCTTGTGTCCTTCTGTGTATTGTTGATGTGCGTTTACACAGTAAGTGCAGATGAATTTAGCACATTCGAAACAGTAACTTATCTCAGCGCTGTTTTTCTTGCAAATACCGCACCTGATGTCAATTCCTTTGCCGCTTTGTTGTATGGCGAGAACACTGAGTAGACTATTATGATGAAAACTGGTCGGCAATTTGTCAAAACGGTTTGCCTCAGCGGGAACATCGACTTCAGCTTGACACTCAGGGCAGCGAAACTTTCCATTCCTTTGGCTGATCAGTGCGTGTTTCTTTATACACTCGCAACAGAATGTGTGCAGGCAGGTTATTGTCTTGGGATCGGTGAAAGTATCCTGACAAATTGAACAAGTAACTTGTTCTTTGAGATTTTTCGGCAGAGAGTCCATCGTTGAAGCTTCGTTCACAGCGACAGAAACACACCCTATTCTTGGTCAGTGTGATTCGGGAAACTTGGACCATATACAGTACTACTAGAATTACAAAAACAAGTTTACATTGCACGGTAAGCAGCCAACCAGATTTGAATCTTTCTACCCTCTGACCTTAGAATAATAGCGGAAGTTCTTGCAACGGTTTCAAAGGTCTTCTTAAAAAGCGTGACTTGTAAGAAACCAGTTTGATAAACCAAAAACACTTCGCAGAGCGGTATGTTGTGAGTTAAGATGAAACATTCTTTGATTTAAAATCCATAAACAGATACTCGTCCAAGACTTTAGGCTTGGCTCCTTTCAAAGCTTTAGAACACACTATCTTTTTCTTCTTCAGTGTGGTTTTGGGAAACTCGAACCATTTATGGTATCACTACAAATGTATTACTTATAGCATAATAATAATAATTTTGATCTTTCTGTAAGCAGCCAACCGATATGAATCGTTCTCCGATTTTAAACCGTTTTTTAGATATTCCTTCAGGTAGGATCCATGATCAATTTCACGTCCACATTGTTTAAAAGAAAAGTCCATATGTATAGTGTTGACGCAAATATGCGCTATGGTTTTTGATCATACTTTTAGTACCTCTTTTCTCGAGGGGGACATGGGGGTTTACGGTATTGGGCTTTTTTTCATGCGGCATTTCGGTAATTTTAATTTTAACGTGCGGTATTGCGGTATCGTCTAGCTCTGCGGTATGCGGTTTTTCCCCGGGGGTTTTTCATCATTTTGGCTGACGGTATTCGGTGAAATAAGATTGTTCACGGTATTACGGTACCGTTTATTTGCGCTTTCCTTTCGATACAATACGCAAAACAAAACACAGTAGGACATCAAGGTCAATAAAAGTTAATATTTAGAAGTCTTGAGACAATCAGTCAGGGGCACCCAACGAGAATATAGTTCAACACCACTTAAACATAGCATTGTTAAACGTATTTTGTATTTAAACGGTAGATATAGGCATATTTTTATCTCCTAAAAATTTTTAATCTGTTCGGATTTCCTAGCTAAAAGTCTAGTGATCCGAAAATTATAGGGATCCAAACTTACCTTTTCGAAAATTTCAGCCACAAAAAAGGCTCCCGCCGAAAATTCTAGGTGATCTTTTAAGCGTAAAAATCCGTTAAAAATGGGCAATTATACCATGTTTTAGATGTTCGAAAATCCTAGGAGAGGCAGGCAAGCAAGAAATCTTACAACAAATGTTCCGAAGATTCTAGATCTCAAATCGTCTTCCGAACAGATATTTTCGGAAAATTGATGTTGGGTGCCCCTGATCGGTAAATGATTACACCATTTGTGGGTCATTTTGTGACAGTTAATGGTCGATAATATACAATGTGGTTGTTGTTGCATCCAATGATAATGGTCGTCTCAAGTTACCTTACCAGGCTTTTCGATCTGTGTACCTGTGCCGGTAATTGTCTGAGGTCGCTGAGGTTGAAGACGGCGTGGTGATCATTGACTGTGTGGCAATTTTTTCCTGATGAAGAGGGCGTAGGAGGCGAACATTATCGCAGCAAGAATAAGTTTAGACGTCGCCTTGTAAAGTTATAAGAGAAAATTTGGTAAGTTTGTCTGTCACCAGCGCGGCGTGTGAGACAGTCGAGATAGTTGACCCCTGAGAGACTGACGTGCTAGACTTGACTCACTTGTCAAAACTCGCACTAGACGTGAGTGGAAAGGGTTTTTGGTTGGTTTGTTTTTCGTGCTTTCAAGAGTTATTTTTATTGGAGTTAATTAGCTGTTGGCTCGACTTACCAAAAGGCTGAACGAATGCAGTTTACGTTTCAGTGAAAATTTGCGAAAAACTTGCGAACTACCAAAATATTAAAAAAAAAACATGGACATCTGGCAGATCTGATGCCTGAGATAACTAAACGCGCTAGATGGAAGCAACCATAAGTATGCGGAACCTAATATAAATGTGATTAAAATATGCGGTATCGGTATTTTGACGATTTTCGATATTTGTCATTTTTTCTTACGGTATTGCGGTAGTGGGTACCCCCCAATGTCCCCCTCTTTCTCGGAAGCACTATAACTATGTTATGATTGTTTTCCTTTATTTAGCTTTAACAAGCCAGTTGCAGCGCTTTAGACTAACTTAAGGCCGGGCAATATCACTGCAATATCTTGACAGTTTTGATCTCGCTAGTAGTCTCTTACAAGTTAAAGTTGAGGAGTTAGTTAGGGAACCTGAACGTGGGAGAGGAGTCAACTCTAAATCGAGGCAGAACCAACAACAACAAGTGCATTCACTATTACCATTTTGTACAGGTGTTACCGATTAAAATAACAATAAACAGCTGAATTTAAGGAAATAAAGATATAATGGAATGGTATAAGTAATTATGTTTCTTTCGTTTTTTAAATGCTTGAAAGACGAAATTAGCAGTTAGCCCGCTGATATGTGAATCAGTATTGTTAAAAAGAAAACAGACTTTATCATGGATATTGTAATTTGTAAATAATGTATTTCAGTCGTTGATTTTAATGAAAACAGTCTTTCGCAAATCATTTTATGATCACAGTGAAATAATATGTGCATTTCATTTCCAACCGAATTTAGATTGCAGTGATCACAAATACTAAGATCTTCAGGAGTTTGGGGAATTGTAAATCTTCCAGTTTCTATTTTTAAATTATGATTTCCTATCCTGATTCACTTCTGATTCGTGGCGTCTACATTCAGCAAGATGTGTCTCCATTTTTAACAGACCCTTCCAGGGTTTTTTCATTTTTTGAGAAGGACAAATTAGGGAAAATCAGTCGACACCACTGGAAAGAGCCCGTTAAAATTAGTGGACTTGCCAAATTTGAAAGTGATACGTCTTAAGTGGGCGAAGCTATAGCTCCGTACAGTTGCGAAAATTTACAGACGTTTGTATGATGGGGGAAATTTTGTGACCCCACTCCCCCCCCCCCCCCATACGAACGTCTGTAAAATTTTGCGACTTTGAGATGCTATATCTTCGTTAGTTTTCATCAGCTCCCTTTCAAACTTGATAATCATTACTAATTTTAAAGCGCTCTTTCCAGTAGTGTCGACGGATTTTCAGCTAACTTGTCCATGTTAATAGTTTAAAAAAAATGGAAGGATCTATTTATTAATAGACTTGTAAACGTTGGTTACTCTATGTTAAATTTTACGCTGCCAGCAAATAGGCAATTGTCCCCTACTCTTAGAATAGAGTCAGTGATAATGACTAACACAGGGTACAGTGTCTGTTATTCTCACTTGCAAACGAATAACCCCAATTAAGTTTTATTTAAAGCCTAAACTGTAAATGCAGTGTCAGCGGAACTTGATCAAAGTAGTAGTTTTTTAAGCTTCCCTCCATTCTGCTGTTACCCATGAAACTCTAGACTGGGATAAGAAACATTGCAGAGTTAAATAATCCCGGGTGATATTTGGCATAGTTAAGTTAATGTCAATTACATGTATAAGACTCTGGGGACCGTGCCGCAGAAATAAATCCTTACTTTCTGTTTAGACCTTAAAAATAAATCATAAAATGCAGCTTATTATTTCTTTCAAATAATTGTTCCTTATAAAAATTAAAGTCTCGTAAGGTGGGTCATGCCGGGTAGTATAGGATATGGGAAGGAAATGGATTATAACCATCGTACAAAAACGTTCCATAGTCGGTTTATACTTGATATCACAAGACGTGTTGGGAAAATATCCTGCCTTTCTTGGAGATACCACTAGCATGATGGAATAATGGCCCGCCCCCAAAGCCAGGGAAAAGCGCCCTGGGGACGAGGTTGTGAAAAATTTCGACAGAAGCAAAATAAGTAAGAATGCTCTAAATGCATGATCTCACAGTTCTCATAAAAAGAGCAAAGTTAGTCAAGGAAAGTGGAAACGATTTAAGAGACCTGAGCGGTTACGGTGGCAAATCGTTGTGCGTACCTCTGTGAAAACTCTCAGTGGCTATGACTCGCCCACTGTAATAGGTTTCATTTGCTATGAACGAAAAATAACTAAAACTATAATTTAAGATTCCATAATAAGAGGGCTTCTTTTACCTTACGTATTTACAAATTTACATATCGCAATAGCTGCAGAACCTGTGTCAAACCTTAAAAAATAAATATCAGGAAGAAGATGCTCACCGAAAGTCTCCAGCTGCTATTCACTTATACCTTCTACCATACTGAGTTCTCGTTTTCTTTTCTTGGTGTTTATTCCAGGATTTGCATTTGTTTGATTAGCAACTATGATGCTTATTAATAATTTAAGAATGTGTATTGTTTTGGTCTCAGTGTCAGTAACTAAAAATAAGTCGATCCGGTGTTTCAGTTATTCCTATGGGGTATTGTAATTTATCAAGAGTTTTTCCAGTGAAGAAACCCCCAGTGTAAACTGATCAACACGGTGATTGCCAACATTGCATACAAGAAGATTATGGTGATTGCCACATTTCTGGACACACAATCCCCGTGAGTAAAACAGCTGTCCATTATCCTTGTCTTGCTCTTCTATCTTGTACAAAAACGTCCCTGATTTATCAACTTTCAACCAATGATTATGCTTGGCACAAACAATGAACTTGTTCTCATAGTAAACATAAGCATTGGGTTCGCTTAGTTTTCCTGGTCCTTTGGTCTTTAAATTTAAACAAAGGTTTACCATGCTGTGATAAAACCTGGACCTGGTTACGGTGATTAGCTACGATAACACGACCTTCATCATCCAAGCAAACACTGACAGGATTCTGAAATTCACCATCTTTTTTCCCTTTCTTTCCAAAGCTTTCCACAGGGTTGTTGGTGAATGCGATGATTTCATTGATCCACCACAAGAATGTTATCATCATTTAGATATGTGACGTCAGCTGGATATAAGAGCTGTCCAGCATTGTTTCCATGACAACCCACTTTTCTTACATAGTTTGCTTTCATATCAGTTATCAAGATAAAATGCTTTTCTTCAACCGAAGAGTTATACTTGAAGAGGAAGTAGTTTGTACCAGGTCCCCGCAGCATTGATGAAGTGGTAAACAAATGGTCACGTGATCAAAAGATCAAAGCGGAGGTCCGACAAGTCGTCAAGGAGACAGTTATTGGTCAGGAAATGACATGTTAAATGATAGCTTTGAGATGATGCACACTTCCCCTGATTTGTTTTCGCAATCTCTGTCTCGTGCGAAAGTAATTCGTTCTGACACGCCATATTTATATTCTTCTCCAACACTCTTGAAGGGTGAATGCCATTCTTGGTGTTCAAAACATTTGAGCGGAACACGTGACCTATTTTCTTCTCCAAATTACTCTCCATTTGCTTCTCTCCCCTTCATCGTCGCCGCTTCGCTTGGTTGAGCAGCCAGCCTCGTCTTCAGATTCAAATATAAACGAACCTTTAATCTTTAATCTTTAATCACAGTTCGTAACCATACATAACTGATACAAATGAACTAATACTAACATATACAATCGAACAAAAATACAAAAATGGTTAACAGGACGGTAGTAGGGGGAAACCAAATTCCCATACTTCAGAAGGCAAAGAGTTCCAATCATTAATATATCTATGAAAAAATGAATATTTAAAATAATTTGTACGGGCAACTTTAGGCCTTATTTTATACTCATGCTTACTTCTAGTTCGAGTTATTCCAATAATATCAAAGTAATGATGGCAATTGATATCACAGTAACCAAATATACTCTTATACGTTTGAACTAGGCTAAGATATTTCCGTCTCAGTTCTAAAGAGTCCCATTTTAACTCTAAAAGTCTTTCAGGATATTCTTTGTCGGGGCCACATATTAGTCGGGACGCTCTTCTCTGAATTGCTTCGATTGCCTTGGTGTGTTTCACCAGATAAGGATTCCAGACTGGGCAGGCGTACTCGAGGATAGGTATCACTAGCGCCTTAAAAGCTGTCTTGATACCAGTCTTGTTTGAATAACCAAATGTCCTTTTAATCCTTTTGATGCGCCATCAGTCCTAAACCAGCGTGAATCTGAAAACAGGTTTGTCCAGAATGATGAACAGGCTATTCGTTTTCATTCAACACCCTGCTGGACACCCTGCTGTGCAAACCGTACTTGTAAACGTTTACACAGAATGTGTACGCCGGCCGGAGTTTCACCGTTGTTATCCGACTCTCGAGGACCTAGTCCATACAATGAGCCGGAAATTAGTGCATTAGGAACACCAGTTCTTTTCTCTCAAATGTCAACCAGCAGTTTGTGAGTTATGTCTTTAATTTGATTCAATTATTTGACGAACATAAAATGAAAACCAGAAGTTAGTTAGGTGAATATGGTGGTAAATAATTATAGTTAAAAGAAGTAAAAAGAACAAATCTTGTAATAAATCAAGAATTCACTTTCAGGGGCTTCGAATTTTAACAGGAGGGAGTTTGGGTCCTTTCTGAAAATTTGAAAAAGGGTTTGGCCTTCGTGTTCATTCGCGTCGTTTTTATTATCTCTTTCCCTTGTACAGGTTAGGTGTAAAAGTTGTTAATGACCGTTTAATCTGATGACTTTACAAGCGGTACAATAGCCTGCGATCAAGCTCACCTTTTGGGGGAGTCGCGAGAAGTCACGCGAGAGCCGCACGCTAAAGGAGACGCTAGTGTGAAGGGTGGAGAAAGAAAGGAGAGTTCTTCCTTTTCTCCACCCCTCGTCGCTTGCGCGTTCTCTGGTGGCTCGCTTCGCCTACCACTCAAATGGAGAGCTTCCTCGAAGGCTAGCGGTACTAGGGATGTGGATCCACACGAGCGGCTCTGATGTGAACAGGTTAAAGGGGCAGCACGTCCGGAGGATTATTCCGTATCAATCATAAACAGCTAAAATAAAAATATTTCTTTCTGATCCATTGGTATGAAAAAAAATATATTTAGATCACCAGTAAGCAAAGGTGAAGTAAGTAAAACTCCTTATTATTGTGTGTTTCCCTTGGAAGTGGTTAGCTCAAATGAAAACCACAAACCGCATAATATCAAGCCAAGCTTTAATAATTATTCGATTTCTGTGGCGGGTCGTTATAACAGTCTCACTTTACAGGTTAGCAGATTCTTTAAACATTCTTCAGGTAACCGGATTTATAAACAGACTATAAACTTCTTTCTCACCTCGATTACTGAAAAAACTGGTTTGAAATACAACAACCTAATGCTTTTAAATCAATGTATAGAATCAATGTCAATCAACCTTCTTAAACACAATCCTTTTAAACTTTAACTAAATCAATGCTCACAGTCACGCAATCATTTCGGTTTTTTGACGAAACATTGTGTATTATATAAGCCTTGTGATCGTCGTGTATGTCCATTTCTTGGAGACCCTCCTAAAAGACCTAACTAATAATATGAAATCTTGCCTAATTATGAAACAATTTTGGCTCACTTTTGCTTTGACTAAAAACAAAAGTGAAATAATCATTGCCAATTTTTTTTCTTTTTTTCTAATATTGCAACTATACTTTAAATTGCCTTTGACGGGTGAATGATCTTTTTGATAACTGTTATAAAATTATTAGTGACACAGTCCTTTTAAAAATAGTAGCAAGAAAGTTTCTTTCATCTATGATATCATCTACAATCTTGCATAACTCCTTAATATATCAGGCCTTGTAGAAATACTATCAGAAAGAGAATTATTTACTGTGTTACAACTAGTAGTTTACTCCGCATTATTCTCTAACTTTGGTTAACAATAAGGTTGTAATAATTGCCACATTTCTGGACGGCACACAGTCCCCATGGATCACACAACTGTGGTGTGGTGGTAATTTTTTAGCCTGCCAGCAAGCTCTCCTAGGGCTCTTGGGGGGACGGGGGTGGGAGATTTGCTCGCAGGCTTGTAATTTTTCCAAATCTTTGTTAACGGCAACGTAATTGTAGTATCGATGATGTAATTGTGTACGGTCGAAATGAGTTATGGGTAATTAAAAAGCACATGGTCAAGTGTCGAGTTGAATCTGTTGTTGTGTGCATTTATTTTGGTTAAATCCGGATGTTTCACTGACCGTGAAACACTACAATTGGCGACGAGGATAAAGTGATACGAAGATACGTCTGTTTGAAGGAAAGTTATGGCGACAAATGACGAACTTCGCGGAATTAAGCCATTTGATTGTCGAGGAGATAGCACGAGTGTGGGGCCAAGATGGCGGCGATGGCGAAAGTCATTTCAATTTTACGTCGATGGTCGTGGAATCACAGCAGCCGCTCGAAAAAAGGCGTTGCTTTTACATTGCGCAGGGATGGAAGTCCAAGAAATCTTTGAAACCCTAACGGATCCGGGTGCACCTGCAGGGGAAGACGACGATGCATACACGGCTGCACTTCGAACACTCGATGCATACTTTACACCACAAGTGAATGTACCATACGAGCGACACATTTTTCGCCAAATGAAGCAAGAAGAGCATGAAACGGTCGATCAATTTGTTGTAAGGCTCAGTAATCAAGCTGTGAATTGTGAATTTGGTGCTACGAAGAATGAGCAAATACGTGATCAAATCATTGATAAGTGCAAATCCACAGAGCTTCGGCGAAAACTTCTGGGAAAGGGACAAGAGCTAACATTGGCAGACACGCAGAAGATTGCTCGATCGTTGGAGTTATCTCAAACCCAAGCCAAACAGATCGAAGGTGATGTGGGAGCGTCTGTTAATGCCATCAAGGAAGACAACAAACCTGGAGGAAATGGGAAAAGTGATCAGAAGAGTCTGAAATGTTACCGATGTGGACAAAGTGGACATTTCGCACGTGACAAGTATTGTCCGGCAAGATCTAAAACCTGTACAAAGTGTCACATGGTAGGACATTTTGCTTCAGTCTGCAGGACAAAGAGTAAACAAGAGAAGAAGAAAAAGGACACACGGAAACAAGGTGGACGAGGAAAAGTCAACTGCGTGGAGGATGGTGAAGATGATGAATATGCTTTTACTGTGGGACTCGGTAAAACATGGGACAGAAGTGGATCAGAGATAGTCGATTTACAAGTTGGAGGTGTCATTCTTAATGGAGTTCTCATCGACTCAGGATCATCATGTAATATCACTGATCAGAAGACGTGGGAAGAATTGAAGCAAAAAGGAGTAAAGTGCAAGTCAGAAAAGACAAATCAGAAATTGTATCCTTATGGAACTTCAGAACCACTGGACACACTGGGAAAGTTCGAAGCATCAGTAAACCTAGCTGGAAAAGATGTCACAGCTGAATTTATTGTCATCTGCAATGAAGGCAGGCCAATAATGGGCAGGAAGACAGCCATGGAATTAGATGCACTAAGACTGGGTCCACAAGTTAATGTTGTAAGTACACAAGACCTTGTTGATAAATACAAAGCATGTTTTGAAGGAGTGGGCAAGTTAACTGATTATCAAGTTAAGATCCATGTGAATAAAGAAGTCAATCCAGTTGTTCAGCATCCCAGGCGAGTGCCATTCAGTCTGAGAGAGAAAGTAGAGAGCAAGTTGCATGAGTTAGAGCAGCTGGACATTATTGAGAAAGTGAAAGGGCCAACACCGTGGGTCAGCCCAATAGTAGTAGTTCCCAAACCTTCTGGTGAGATTCGATTGTGCGTTGATATGCGCAGAGCGAATGAAGCTATTGTGAGAGAAAGACACCCAATTCCCACTGTTGATGAGGTCCTCCAGGACATGACCCAAAGCAGTGTGTTCTCTAAGTTAGACCTTAAATGGGGCTATCATCAACTGGAACTGAGTGAAGAATCACGTGACATCACAACATTCACAACACATGCTGGACTTTATCGTTACAAGAGATTAATGTTTGGTGTAACCTCAGCTCCTGAGATCTATCAGCATGCTATCCAGCAAGCTCTGCATGGATGTGAAGGAGTGCGTAATATATCTGATGATATCATTCTTCATGGTAAAGATGACCAGCAACATGATGAGAGGCTCGAGAAGCTGCTAGAAAGATTGCAACAAAGAGGTTTGACCTTGAATAGTGCAAAGTGCAAATTCAAGATGCCCCAGTTAGAATTTATGGGATACCTATTGTCTACACATGGTATTGGACCGACAGAATCCAAAGTTGAAGCAGTAGTCAACGCCAGACAGCCTGAGTCTGTAGCCGAAGTGAGAAGTTTTATGGGACTTGTAAATTTCAGTGCAAAATTCATTCCAAATCTGGCCACAGTTTCAGAACCACTTCGACAGCTGACACGAAAAGGTGTAACCTTCAAATGGGGTGAGAAACAACAAGAAGCGTTCAAAGCTCTGAAGGAAACACTAGCAAGTGCAGAAACATTAGCTTACTATGACAAAGATGCCAAAACAAGAGTCATTGCTGACGCAAGTCCAGTTGGACTGGGTGCTGTTCTTGCTCAAGAACAAAATGGCAGTTGGAGACCAGTCTACTACGCAAGCCGAAGTCTAACAGCAGTTGAAAGAAGATATTCTCAAACAGAAAGAGAAGCTCTGGCTCTAGTCTGGGCTTGCGAAAGGTTCCATGTTTATCTATATGGAAAACATTTCGAATGGGAAACTGATCACAAACCACTTGAAGTGATCTATTCAAGTAAATCTCAGCCCTCTGCGAGAATCCAAAGATGGGTCTTACGACTTCAGCCATATGAGTTTACAGTGATGTATCGTCCAGGCCCACAGAACATAGCTGATGCTTTATCTCGCCTAACCCAAGAAATTTCAAACGAAAGCAAAAATGTGGCGGAAGAATACATTCGGTACGTTGCAGAGAATGCAGCCCCCAGAGCCATACCTATCCAGGAAATTGAAGAAGCATCTGCTGAAGATGAAGAAATTGCAATGTTAAGGAAGTGTGTTCAGACCAATGATTGGGCTGTCGGCGAGCCAGCTTTTAAAGCTGTGAGAAACGAGTTAACTGTGCTAGGAAAGTTAGTGTTGAGAGGAACTAGATTAGTCATTCCGATGAAACTTCGCAAGCAAGTACTGGATCTGGCACACGAGGGCCATCAAGGGATCGTGAAGACCAAGCAAAGACTCCGTACCAAAGTATGGTGGCCCGGTATAGATCGTCAAGCAGAACAAAGGTGCAGAACGTGTCATGGTTGCCAGCTTGTCGGGAAACCTTTGCCCCCAGAACCAATGAAGAGAACAGAGTTGCCTACACAGCCATGGCAAGACCTTGCGGTAGATCTGCTAGGACCCCTTCCGACGGGTGAATATCTACTCGTGGTTGTTGATTATTTTAGTCGATTCTTTGAAGTAGCTGTAACCAAATCAGTGACATCTGGCAAAATGATTAGCTGTCTGGAAGCAATGTTTGCTACTCATGGACTACCGCTGTCAATAAAAACAGACAATGGTCCACAGTTTGTGTCACAAGAGTTTGAAGTCTACCTCAAAGACAACAACATTGAACACAGAACGTCAACTCCAATGTGGCCACAAGCCAACGGCCAGGTTGAGCGACAAAATAGAAGTCTGCTGAAAGCGATGCGGGTTGCGCACAGCGAGGGACGTGACTGGCGAAAGGAATTGCACAAATTCTTGCTCGGTTACAGAAGCACGCCACACACAGTTACTGGAGAGAGTCCTGCTAAACTGTTATTTGGAAGAGAGATTCGTTCAAAGCTCCCTGGTGTGGAAGAGTTGCGCTCAGCTAGTAATGACAGTGAAGTCTTGGACAGAGATCGTGAAAGAAAGCAGAAAGGCAAAGACTATGCTGATAATCTGAGAGGTGCTTGTGAGTCTAACCTGAGAGAGGGAGACAAAGTTCTTCTTCAGAAACCGAAGTCAGACAAGCTGTCACCATCATTTGAAGCCACACCCTATGAAGTGGTCAACAAACATGGAGGTCATGTGGAAATTAAGTCTCCTGCTGGCATTCACTACAAAAGAAATGTTACCCATCTACAGAAGTATGTGGAGGACAAATCACAGGAAACAGAAACCAGCAATCCTAAAGGGACTTTGTCAAAAGACCCAGAAACTAATCAGGAAGAGGAACCAAGAGTTTCAACTCAGCGTTATGCGTTGCGGCCTAGGCACAATCATCAACCTGAGAGACTAAAAGATTATGAACTTGGTTAAGACTTTGTTTACACAATGGACAGTTCTTGCGAAGGACATTTCACCTTTATGAAAATGTCATTTTGTATTGATTTAAGTCTTGGACATTGGATCATTTTTCCTTGAGTTAGTAGCCATTGAGAGACTGTTATAGTTTGTATTGTTATTTTGTCTAAGAAACCGGACTGGACAATTTATTCGAAAAAGGGAGAGATTGTAGTATCGATGATGTAATTGTGTACGGTCGAAATGAGTTATGGGTAATTAAAAAGCACATGGTCAAGTGTCGAGTTGAATCTGTTGTTGTGTGCATTTATTTTGGTTAAATCCGGATGTTTCACTGACCGTGAAACACTACAGTAATTTCTGCTCAAACTTAGGAGGTATTAACTTTTGAAACCCCATCGAGCCATCTGACTTTGTCACACAAGTCTGTCCTTATAAAGCATTTTTGTTACTTCAGTGCTGATAATATATTGTCGGAATTGTCTTAAGTCAATTCCTTGTGGAAAGTATTCAGCTGCTATTTACTTATTCCCTTTACCATACCGAGTTATCGTTTTACTTTTTTGGTGCTTATTTCAGGATGTATATCTGTTTTATTATCCAGTCTGTTGCTTTTTAATTATTTTAGAATGTGAATTTTTTTGGTCTCATAGTCTGTAACTAAAATAAGTCCATCCGGTGTTGTAGTTATTATTATAGGGTCTTGTAACTTAACAACAGTTTTTCCAGTGAAACAGCCATCCACTGTAAACTGATCAACACGGCCATTGGCTCTACTACAAACAAGAAGATTATGGTGATTGCCACATTTCTGAAGACACAGTCCGTTAGGCCCTCTAAACTGTCCATCACCCTCGCCTCTTTCTCCGATCTTGTACAAAAACTTTCCAATATTATCAAACACTTTCAAGCAATTATTACCCCAGTCAGAAACAATGAACTTGTTTTCATGGTAAATACACGACTTGGGTTTGTTTAGTTTTTCTGGTCCACTGTTTCCAAATTGAAACAAAGGTTCACCATCCTGTGATAAAACTTGTATTCTGTTGTTATTATAATCAGCAACCATAACACGGCCTTCTTCATCCAAACGAACACTGACAGGATTATGAAACTCACCATCTTTTGTCCCTTTCTTCCCAAAACTTTTTACAGAGTTCCCTGTTTGAACATTAAATTGTTGAATGCGCTTATTTAATTCATCCGCCACAAGAATATTATCGTCATTTAGATACGTGATGTCAGATGGACTCTTGAGCTGTCCAGCATTCTTTCCATAACAACCCACTTTTCTTACACAGTTTCCTTCCTTGTCAGTTATTAGGATACAGTGACTTCCACGGTCACTAACAGCGATTTGTCCTTTGCTGTTCACGGCAATTCCAAGTGGCTTTTCAAAAGTTTCTCCTTTTATTTCTATCTCTCCCACAACCTGAATGAGTCGTTGTTTTACTTGGACAATATAAGGACTTCCTGCAAACTCCTTACCATTTACCTTTATTATCATATTGAAAGTTCCTGGAACTTTAGGTGTAAACTTCACGGTGTAATCTCCATCTTGATTTTCGCAAGTTGTCAAACTTCCTATTTTTTCAGCGGGTTCCACAAGCACTTTTACTTCAAAGACTTCTTCTCCAAGTATTTGAGGGTGAACTTCAAACTCTGATTCAACACCAGCTTGGAAATTTTTTGTCAGTCCTACTACTGGTTCCCTTGTTGCTATGTAACCGAGAGTTAGATTTTTTTCTTCTTTTATTTGATAAAACTTCAGGAATGAATTGACCGGAAGTTCTGGGATCGACGTGTTTTCAAGATGATTAAATCGTTGTTCTAGATAATTCTTGCTTTGCATTACATCTGAGCTGGAGCTTCTTTGAATCAGATTTTCAGCAAACTCGATTGCTTGGTTGATTTGCTTCAGCAAGGATTGCACTTGTGCCTTTGCAGAGTCTAACTTATCTGCTCTTGACGCGCGGATGTTCTCGAGGGCGGTAATAATTCGCCGCTCGTCTTCTCGAATCTTGGCGATCATTTGTTCGGCAGCTTTAGAAACTTCACGTTTAGCGTTAGTGAGATTTGTCTCCAGTTCAAGTACTCTTTGTTCATATTCACGAATCGTATCGCCAAAAACCTTTGTTTTTGTTTTCAGTACCTCGGTTCTTGTCAGGATGTTGGCTTTCTCGCCGTCGGCTGCTTTCTCTAATAGTTCCACGTCATGTGCCTTATGATCCGTAGCAATGCATATTTGGCAAACACAGATTTGGCATTTAAGGCAGAAAAATCTCGTTACTTCTCGCTCGTGATACTGCTGCGAACAAAATGACTGCCTCCTCATTAGTGCTTCGTAGTCTTGAGGCTGGAACTTTTTGACTGGCGTCACCTTGTGTCCTTCTGTAAAGTGACTAAACAGTTGATGTGCGTTTACACAGTCACTGCACATGAATTTAGTGCATTCGAAGCAATAACTTATCTCTGCGCTCATTTTCTTGCAAACGCCACAACTGCTATCATTTCCTTTTCCGCTTTGTCGTATTGCGAGAACACTGAGCAGACTATTATGATGGAAACTGGTCGGTAATTTGTCAAAACGGTTTGCTTCTGGAAGATCAACTTCAGCTTGACACTCGGGGCAACAAAACTTTCCATTCCGTTGGCTGATCAGTGCGTGTTTCTTCAAACACTCACAGCAGAATGTGTGCAGGCAGGTTATTGTCTTGGGATCGGTGAAAGTATCCAGACAGATTGAGCAAGTAACATGTTCTTTAAGATTCTTTAACAAAGACTCCATCATTCGAGTTTCCTTTTACAGCGACAGAACACACCCTATTCTTGTTCAGTGTGATTCCGGGAAACTTGGAGCATATAAAGCACTACTAGTATTACAAAAACAATTTGCATTTCAATGCAGACAGCCAGGCAGCCAACCAAATTTAAATCTTTCTACCCTCTGACCTTAGTCTAAAAGCGGAAGTTTCAAAGTAGCTTTAACAGTCCTTAAGCGTGACTTGCCTGAAATTATTTGGACAATAAAAAAGAAACTGCGCACACTGACGGATACATTTGTATTACAGAGGAAATATTCTTCACTTTGGATTCATAATACAAGTGCTTCTGTTCAATTCCAAAAGTCCATTTTGTAACTGAGCTTGAGCCTTTAAAGAATTCGGATTAATATTATATTCTCTATCTCATTCCGTCTGTGTTACAATAAAGATATTTTCATGATATTTCAGGTAGCCAACCAAACTTACCCCCTGATTGTGGAGCAGAGGTTGACACAATTTCCAATCATTCTTTTTATTTTTTGTTTTCGGAATGAAAGATAGTGTGAGGATAACGGCAAGTTTTTGTATCAAATGGAAAACTCTTGGATTTTGGATCCGCATCGTTTAACTGAATAATTGTTTATTTTTTTTGTGATGCAGTCTGACAGGGTCACAATTTCTTCATCAGAACTTTAACTTTTGAGTTCAAACTTAATCGCTGCCTATCAGTTGTGAACTGACGATGTAATTTAATAAATCGGTTGTTTTTTTTTTTTAATTAATAAATGCATTCTCTCTTATTAAGCGGTCTCTTATTGCTAGTGTTCGCTGCTCCATTTTGTTGGGATTGTCACCAATTCGACAAAAGTTGAAGAAAGGGTCACGTACTCTGATTTTGTTTTTCCGTGCTTATTTTGTTTTTGGTGTGACCCAGGTACCTTCGCCCAAGAAATAATACCAGTATTAAGAACGAAGAATGGAGCCTTGCGACTTACGACTTTGAATTTGATTTTAACACAGATTTGCTTTCTAATCATGCAAAATCGACCCCTGTTATAAGTACTTGAGTGTCGATAAAAATCCAGTGTTAGTATATTAATGTAGTTTGGTTGCAGCATAATTTGGTCAAATGATTTTTCTTTTCTCTATTTTAGATCAAAGAGATCAAGTTTTATCTCAGGAAGAAGACACCAGCAGCAATGACTCAAATTCGCCTCGCTTTACACAGCTAACTTCTCAAACAACGGGACTGAATTCTTAGAAACTTGATATCTAGAAAGAAGAGCAACCTTCTTGTGAATGGACAGAGTACGATGATTTTCCTTCGTCAGAGGATCTCAGTACATTTCTAGCTGACTTGGAACTGGATGCTCTAAATAAAACGAAAGAACAATCTCAGCTAATCATCAATTCCAAAAATCATGCATGACGTCAGTAGAGAAGACGCCCGGTGAGATAGTCATATCACAGACTGTTAGTTTCAGTGATGTCGTTTATGGATCTGTTCAAGAGGATTACACAGAATTTACTGATTTTCCTTCTTCTGAAGATCTAGACGCTTTCTTGGCTGATATGGAGCTCGATTGTGGAAATATACTGCAGAAAACGCGCCTGCTGATGCTATGAGGTTCGCTAACCCGTTTGAACTTTAACTTAAGGTAGAGGTGTCTAGAATATTGGCCAGTAACAAGTACGATATTAAAGAAAATACGAAAAGAAACAACACTGAAAACTCTGATAACGTTTGGACTTCACTATCGTTGACTGCTTTTTCACGCAAAAGGATTCTGTAAGACAACAATCCGTAAAAAAGATTAAACGTGAATCAAATGCCGGTACTTGACATTGAATTATCAGATTCTCAATTTCTTAGAAACTGCAACACCGTTTTCACTGAGCTCTCTCAAAAGTCTATTCGTGAAAAAGACATGAGAGGAAAAAACCAATGGAGCCAATTTTTGGTTGGTTTACTCGGCAGTTTCACGAAGAACAATCAACGGAAGCCTACTCTTTGTGGAGAAGAAATAATAAAGCAAGGGAAGGCTGTGTGCCGTATAGAATCAATGAAAGAGTTACTTGAAGAGGAAGTCGTTAATTGCACCACGTCCCTGGAGCGCGAAGAGCTAAACAAATGGTTACCTGATCAGGATAAGAATGAAACGGAGATCCAACAAACCGGAAGCCAAAAAGCTGTTTCTTGTCAAGGAAACAGTTATTCATCGACAGATGACATGTTAAATTATTTTTTTGACATGATGCATATGTCCCCTGACTTGTTTTCACAATCTCTGTCTCGAGCGAAGGGTGTTTGTCCTGACACACCATGTTTATATTCTTCTCCAAAACTCTTGAAAGGTGAATCCCATTCTTGGTGTTCAAAACATTTTAGCAGGAAATGAACTCGGTATCATTGTCTTCTTGTTCTAATCATTCGCTTCTCTCTTCCTCATCGTCGCCGCTTCGCTTGGTTGAAACGAACCTGATGCGTCTTAAGTCATAAACCAGTGTGATTCTGAAAACAGGTTTGTCCAGAAAGATGAACAGGCTATTAGTTTTCATTCAACACCCTGCTATGCAAACCGTACTTCTAAACGTTTACACAGAATGTGTACGCCGGCCGGAGTTTCACCGTTGTTATCCGACTCTCGAGGACGTAGTCCTTACAATGAGCCGGAAATTAGTGCATTAGGAACACCAGTTCTTTTCTGTCAAATGTCAACCAGCAGTTTGTAAGCTATATTATTAATTTGATTCAATTAATTATTTGGCGAACATAAAATGAAAACCAGAAGTTAGTTAGGTGAATATAAATAGCAAATGTAATTAAAGTAAGTAAATCTTGTAATAAATCAAGAAGTCATTTTCAGGGGCTTTTAATTGTAGCAGATGGGCGTTTGGGTCCTTTCTGAAAATTTGAAAAAGCGTTTGGTCTTCATGTTTATTCGAGTCATTTTTATCTCTTTCCCTTGCACAGGTTAGGTGCAAAAGTTGTTAATGACCGTTTAATCTGATGACTTTACAAGCGGCACAATAGCCTGCGAGCAAGCTCTGCTTTTGGGGGAGTCGCAAGAAGTCACGCCAGAGCCGCACGCTAAAGGAGACTCGAGTGTGAGGGGTGGAGAAAGAAAGGAGAGTTCTCCTTTTTCTCCACCCCTCGCGGCTTCGCCACTCGTTCGCGCGTTCTCTCGCGGCTCGCTTCGCTCGCCACTCGAAATGGAGAGCTTTCCCTCAAGCTAGCCGTATAAGGGATGTAGATCCACACGGGCGGCTCTGATGTGAACAGGTTAAGATTAACGATAAAGGGGCAGCACGTCTGGAGGATTATTCCATTTTTCAATCATAAACAGCTAAAATAAAAATATTTCTTTCTGACCATTAATATGAAAAAGATTTATTCAGATCACCAGTAAGCAAAGGTGAAGCAAGTAAAACTCGTTATTATCGTGTATTATATGAGGCACAAAGTCTTGTGATTATTGTGTATCTCCGTTTCTTTGAGACCCTTCTAAAAGACCTAACTAATGATATGAAATTTTGCGTAATTATGAAACAATTTTGGCTCACTTTTGCTTTGACTAAAAACAAAAGTGAAATAGATCGTTTTCACTGTCACGCAAGAAAAAAATAAATTGGAAACCGTCCAGTGGAAGAAGCCAAAAAAATGAAATGTTACAAAAGACTAATCTATAAACGATTTGTTCAAGTCTCACTGGTCTTTGTGGACCACAGTTTCTGAGTTATTTTCCGAAACGTTTCGCGCATCTTTGTAGAGCTTTGTATGGAGACGCCATATTGGTGTTCCGTTTTGGTGCACCAATATGGCCGCCGGAAATCAACAAAAACATCTGGAGTTCACTTCAGTTTCTATGAAAGTTCTTTCTTTTCAATTGAGAACTAGTATACGTGGGCACAAACACATCCGCTAATACTTGAAATGGTTATACTGCTGAAGATAAAGAGGAACGAATTTTTTCCAACAAAACAGCATTCCTATTTTGGTGTCATGCACTGTGAAGACTCGGAAGTTCAAATTGCTGTATTTTCGAAATGAAACATGCTACTGGAATGGACACTAGTACAAAGATTTACGTTTTGTTTATCTTCAACCCAGTGTAAATAAGAATTTGTAAAACCTCACTATTTTGACTTTACAATGTGATGACGTCACTGTAAAAACCATCTATAATCAGAGCCATTTTTTTTCTTTTTTTTCTTTATATTGCAACCATACTTTCATTTGCCTTTGACGAGTGAATTATCTTTTTGATAACTGTTACAAAATTATTAGTGACACCGTCCTTTTCACGACAGTAGCAAGAAAGTTTCTTGCATCTAATATATCATCTACAAACTTGCACAACTACTTAATATATCAGGCCTTGTGAAAATGGAATTATTTACTGTGTTACAGCTCGTAATTTACTCCGTATTATTCACTAACTTTGGTCAACTTTAATGTCTTATCCTTTGCAATTGCTTCACTGAAATATTTTGTTGTCACGCAGCTGTCCCTCTACACAAACATTTGTCCGGCATTGTCATTAATACTCTCGCTGACCGATTGTGTTCAGCGGTTATTTACTTTTAAATCCTATCATACTGAGATCTCTGTTTTGTTGCTTATTTCTTTGGGTTGTGAATCTTAGTGCCTTTACAGTCTGAAACAAAAATATGTCCATCTAATGTTGCAATTATTCCTGCAGGTCTCTGTGGCTTATTAACAGTTTTTTTTCCAGTGAAACACCCCTCCAGTGTAAACTGATCGAGACGACCATTGCCAGCATTGCATACAATAAGGTTGTAATAATTGCGACATTTCTGGACACACAGTCCACACTGTGGTGTGGTGGTAATTTTTAAGCCTGCCAGCAAGCTCTCCTAGGGCTCTCGGGGGTACGGGGGTGGGGGATTTGCTCGTAGGCTAGTAATTTTTCCAAATCTTTGTTAATGGCAACGTAGTGTCTGCTCAAATTTAGGACGTATTAAATTTTGAAACCCCACATAAAGCAGTTTTGTTACTTCAATGCAGATGAATATACTGTGGGAATTGCCTTAAGTCAATTCCTTCTTGAAAGTATTCAGCTGCTATTTACTTATTCCTTTTACCATACCGCGTTATCTTTTTACTTTTTTGGTGCCTATTTCAGGATGTATATTTGTTGGATTATCCAGTCTGTTGCTTTTTACGAGCGACGGTCAGGAAAAATCGACGAAAATCCTAATTTCGCGGCAACAGTTGGAAAATCAACTTCTTTCATTTTTTGTTCATAGATAGCTTTTAGGTAGATAAGAAACCTAAACTAGATTGTTCCTGCCAAAAGCCTTTTATATGTGAGAAAAATTAGAAGATCGGTTTTCGATGTCGGAGTCTCAGACTGTCCTGATCCTCATCATCGCCAATTTGCTCGGATGAACAGCAATTCTCGTCTTCAGTTTTAAATAGAAACGAACCTGACGCGTCTTCAGTCATAAACTTCCTCGAATCTGAAAACAAATTTGTCCAAAATGATTTACAGGCCATCAGTTTGCATTCAAGCCCTACCATTCAAACCATCCTTCTAAACTTTTGCACAGATCGTGTACGCCGGCTGGAGTTTCACCGCTGTTGTCCGGCTCTCGAGGACTTTGGGACGGACCATTAGAAAAGTTATGGGGGGGGGGAATTTTCGAGCCGCAGGAATTTTTTTTCGTTATCAAATTCCTTGTATGAATTTTTTTTAAGCCATAGCATGAATATTTTTTTGGGGTTAATCGGCGTGCGAGAATTTTTTTTCATTTAATTTTCCCTTGCGCGAATTTTTTTTTTTTGTACTTCGCCCCCCCCCATAAGTTTTCTAATGGTCCGTCCCTTACAATCCCCGTCACAAATCTTGAAACACTTGTGTGATTTTCCTCTCCCCAATGTTGATTTGGGTTTGCAGTCATTTTAGTGCTCCAAAATACGCTCGGCTCAATATTAGGGAAGGAGAGGGGCACATTTGAGTGAGAACAAAGGTGTGAAGAGTGAATTGTAAGAAATTTGGAGAAAATTCAAGACAAATGGCTGCTGTTTCAACGATTTGTGACGAGTATTGTAGTCCATCTGAATGAGCCGAAAACCAGTGCATTGGGAACTCCAGTTCTTTTCTCTCAAATGTCAGCCAGCGGTTAATTTGATTCAATTATTTCGCGAACATAAATTGAAAACCAAGATGTTAGTTACGTGAATATATGGTAGTAAGTATAAATAAAAGAAGTAAAAAAATCAAGAAGTTACAGGAGCTTCGAATTTTAGGAAGTGGGCGTTTGTGTCCTTTCTAAAAAATTTGAAAAGGGTTTGGCCTTCTTGTTCATTCCCGTCGTGTTTATTATCTCTGATCTTTTCTTGCACAGGTTGGTCAAGTTGTCAATGCCCGTTTAATCTGATGACTTAACAAGCGGTACAATAGCCTCCAATCAAGCCCTCCTCCGCGTTCTCTCGCGGCTCGCTTCCCTCGCCACTCGAATGAAGAGCTTCCTCGCAAGCTAGCGCTTCAAGGGATGTGGATCCCCACGGGCAGCTCAGATGTGAATAGGTTTTACGATAAAGGGGCAGCACGTCTGGACGATTATTCCATTTTTCAAAACAGCTAAAATAAAAATGTTCCTTTCTGATCCAGTGACATGAAAAAATTCTGTTAGATCACCAGTGAAGCAAGGTGAAGCAAGTAAAATAATTTTTTATTGTGCACTATATGAGGCATAAAAAGTAGATCAAATTGACGTACCAAAGTTCTACTTTCCTCCATATCGATAGAAATCAAAAAGAGGGGAGGTGGGTCATGATGCCAGACGTCGGAAAAAGTATAACTGCCTATTACGATCTTGACTTTTACGAAAAATTTCCTAAGTCAGATTTTGCGTAGCCTTGTGATTTTGTGTACGTGGGTTCTTTGAGACACTCCTAAAAGACCTAAATAGGTCTACAATATAAACTGAGAAACGTTTGCGTAATTATGAAACAATTTTGGCCACGCACTTTGACCAAAAACATAAGTGAATTAATTAGTGCCAAAGTTGTGTTTTTCTTTCTTTTCTTTAATTATGCTTCATTTGCTTTTGACGAGTGAATTGTCTTTTGGATTTCGAAACTGCAACAAAAATGTCAGTGACACTCTCTCTAAAAAGAGTAGAAAGAGCGCTTCTTTCACCTTATATATCAGAAACAAACTTACACAACTACATTATGCATCAAGCCTTATGAAATTGTCTTCAAAGTATGACTTATTTTCTGCCTAATAACTCATAGTGCACTCACTATCCTCTAACTTTGGTAAACTTTGTCCTCTTATGCTTTGCAATTGCTTCACTGAAATTTGTTGTCACGCAGTTCTCCCTCTGAGAAACATTTGTCCTACACTGTCATTGAGAGTCCCTCTGACCGATTGGGATCAGCGGCCATTTATTTTTATATTCTATCATACTGAGATCTCTGTTACAATTTTGTTGCTTATTTCAGGATGTGAATCTTATTGGCTTTACAGTCTGACACAAAAATATATCCATCTGATGTTGCAGTTATTGCTGCAGGTCTCTGTAACTTTTGAACAGTTTTTCCAGTGAAACTCCCTTCCAGTGTAAACTGATCAACACGACCATTACCAGCATTGCATACAATAAGGTTGTAATAATTGCCACACTTCTGGACACACAGTCCCCATGGACCACACAACTGTCCATCACCCTTGCCTTGATTCTCTATCTTGTACAAACACTTCCCTGACTTGTTATAAACTTTCACGCAATCATTACCCCAGTCAGAGACAATGTACTTGTTCTGATGGTAAATACATGCAACAGGACGGTCAAGTTTTTCTGGTCCACTGTCTTTAAGTTTAAACAAAGGTTCACCATCCTGTGACAAAACCTGGACTGTACTGTTCAAGCCATCAGCTACAACAACACGCCCTACATCATCTACACAAACACTGACAGGGTTCTGAAACTCACCATCCCTGGTCCCTTTCTTTCCAAAGCTTTTCACAAAGTTCCCTGTTTGAACGTTAAATTGTTGAATGCGATGATTTAATTGATCCGCCACAAGAATGTTATCATCATTTACATATGTGACGTCAGTTGGACGGTTAAGCTGTCCAACACTCTTTCCATAACAGCCTACTTTTCTTACACAGTTTCCTTCCATGTCAATTATCAGGATACGGTGTTTTTCCTGGTCAGCAACAGCGATTAGACCTTCGCTGTTCACAGCAATCCCGTGTGGGCTTTGAAATGTTTCTTCTTTCAATCTCAACTCTTTCACAAGGTGAATAAGGCGTCGTTTCACATGGACAGTGTAAGGACTGGCTGCCGTCTTACCATCAATCTGTACTGAGATTTGTAAGGTACCAGGAAATTCAGGTGTTAACTTCGCAAGCAAAATTCCATCTTTTTCACAAGTTATCAAACTTCCTACTTTATCACCGGGTTCCACGACCACTTTCATTTCACACACCTGTAGTTCATGTATTCCTGGATTGACCTCAAACTCTGTTTCAACACCGGCTTGGAAATCTTTATTCACTCTCACCACTGGTTCACTTGTTGTTAAGCAACCGAGGGTCAAATTTTCCCCTTCTGCAGGGAAAAACTTCACAAATGAATTCACCTGAAGTTTCGGGATCGGGGTGTTGTTGAGGTGTTCAAATCGTTGTTCTAGATCATTCTTGCTGTGCATTACATCTGAGCTGGAGCTTCTTTGAATCAGATTTTCAGCAAACTTGAGTGCTTGGTTAAACTGCTTTAGCAAGGATTGAACTCGTGCTTGTGCAGAGTTTAGCTTATCGGCCCTTGACTCACGCGTGTTGTCGAGTGTGCTAATGATATGGCGTTCGTGTTCTCGAATCTTGGCGATCATTTGTTCGGCTGTTTGGGAAACCTCACGTTTAGCGTTAGCGATATTTGTTTCCAGCTCAGATACTGTTTGTTCATATTTACAAATTGCATCGCTGAAAACCTTGATTTTCTCCTTTAATATCTCGGTTCTCATCAGGATATTAGTTTTCTCGCAGTCTGCCACTTTGTCCAACAGTTCCACATCATGACCCTCGTGTGCCTTGTGATCCGTAGTGATGCAAATTTGGCAAACACAAAGTTTGCATTTGTGGCAGAAAAACCTGGTAACTTCTCCCTCATGATTCTGCTGAGAGCAAAGTGACTTCCTCTTCATCAGGGCTTCGTAGTCTTCAGCTTGGAACCGTTTGACTGGCGTCACTTTGTGTCCTTCTGTAAAGTGACTAAACAGTTGATGTGCGTTTACACAGTCACTGCACATGAATTTAGCGCATTCGAAGCAGTAACTTATCTCCGCACTCTTTTTCTTGCAAATGCCGCAACTGATGTCATTTCCTTTGCCGCTCTGTCGTATGGTGAGAACACTGAGTAGACTACTATGATGAAAACTGGTCGGAAGTTTTTCAAAACGGTTTGCTTCGGGAAGATCGACTTCAGCTTGACACTCGGGGCAAAGAAACTTTCCATTCCTTTGGCTGATCAGTGCGTGTTTCTTCAAACACTCACAGCAGAATGTGTGGAGGCAGGTTATTGTCTTGGGATCGGTAAAAGTATCCAGACAGATTGAACAAGTAACCTGTTCTTTAATGTTTTTTAGCGGGGATTCCATCATTAGCTTCTTAAGCTTCTAAACGACAAAACACGCCCTATTCTTCTTCAGTGTGATTCCGGTAACTTGAACCACATATGGGACTACAGGTTATATTATACTGCAGACAGCCAACCAGGTTTTCATAAATCGCTCTTTAGTCTGACCTTAGACTAAGAGCGGAAGTTACTTAAGTTTCAATGTAAAGGCCTTTGCTCTCCTATCAACGTGACTTGTCTGAATTCGAAACCAAGTTGCCGAAAAAATAAAGAAACTACGCAAAAAACGTTGTGATTTAAGACGAAAACACTCTTTGATTTTGGGTCCATAATCAGCTTCTCCGCCAAAACTCTGCGGTTTAAGATTTAGCGACACCTATTCTTCTTCCGTGTGATTCCGGGGAAAGTCACGCCATTCATTGGTCATTTCGGAGTGACGTAGAAAACTGGGGCGAGTTTCAAATTTAAAATAATCGATAAACAGACACCACCATATAAAAGGACATGTTGAGATTGGTTATTTGACCAAGTTTGGTGCTCTAAAGTTGAACAGAGATCAAGTTATGACTCTTGAAACATGGTTAAAGATCCATACAAACGGTTGTAATTTTGTGACGGCATCCCCCCAAACCGTATAAACTCTTTACAGTATTTTTCAGTTTTTCTGTTAAACTGTAAAATTCGTCATGCATCTTCTACTTGGAAGGGACTGATTCGAAAATCACTATGTTGCCCATTTTCAGGAATATCACAGAAATTGTGAAAAAAAATTAAGAGTGGTGTCAGTTTATCGATTAATTTAAATTTGAAACTCGCCCCAGTTCCCTACGCAGCTCCGAAATCGCCAATAGCAAGAGATCATGGCTCTTGGCCAATAGGCATTACGAAATGTATCACTAGCGTTATTAAAACAATTTGCATTCTGCGGGCAGCCAACCAAAATTTTAATCGTCCTACCCTCTGGCCCTAATTAAATAAACTGGTGAGCATACATTAAAATTAGGGGCTATAGTTACGTGGCAAAAGAAGCAAATATATAATACCTATAATGAAAAGGTAAATAGATAAAATTAAAAGAGGTAGAACAAAAAAATACAACTAGTAGCAGAAAGTCACTTTCAGGCTTCGGATATTGGCAGATGACCTTTTAGATCGTTTCTAACAACTTTGAAGGAATGGAGCATTCCTTAGGTTTAAAAGGATTTTGTTCCAAGAAAACAGCAACAGCAAATCCGGCGCTGAATTTGCTATAATCAGCTTTTGTAAAGGCCTTTTTCTCTTTCGCCAAGCGTGTTAAATATCATCTTTAGAGGCAGCTTTTGCCAACGCTTCCTTGAGACTAGCCGGAGCATGTGTAGCAGGTGCACTGACGAGGTGTGGAAAGAGGGAACTGCTCAGGCGCGAGAGTATATTTTTCCCTTATAGCTTGTTCTCTTTCAAGCCCCATCCATGTAAGCTTTTTTTTTAGCTTCATAGCTTAGTACAGAATGAGAATCGATTTATTAAAGGTTCCAAAAGAGAAAAATCCCCGAACGTTTTGCTGTGTACATTTTGCACCACGGGACACAGAACAGGAGGCCTGCCATAATAAACAGCAACAGTAAAGGCGGACTCCTTTGTAAAATCTGATTTTCTACTAAATTTTTGGGTGACCGAACCCCTGAAATAGCCGACAACAGGCCACTACGCAGTATCAAGCCTTACACTAACAACAACAACAACCTTAATTTGCTTCACATACATTTTTGTACAATAGTGCTGACCCGCAAAGTAGCCGCAACACTAATCGAGGGCGGGTCAGGCACAGATAAAATATTAATTTATATTATTTACATATAGTATATACTAAAATTAACAGAGGGTTGGAAAGGAAAAAAAAAGGTAAGAAAAAAATTATAACTTTATATTAAACGAAATAAGAAATATCGAGGACTTCACAGCTGTTTAAATCTAGAGGTAATAGTAAGCGTGTCAACATAATCCTCAAACTATAGAATATCTAAAAGTTGTCGATGAATTGCCGCCTTAAATTTGTTTTGAACGATGAACGAATGTTAAGAGGAATACAATTCCACGCCTTAGCACCAGAGCAAGAAAACAACTTAATCATCTGCTGTGTTCTCTAATTTTGTATGGCGAAAGTGCCAGCCTGAGAAAATCTCCTGTTATAATGATGTGCGTCAGAGGCGAGAGTAAATAAACTGGAGATATTACGGGGTGCTTTGTTATCAATACGTCATGCATTATATGATACAAATGGATTTAATGTGCAGAAAACTCAGCGGAAGAACATTATAGACGTCAAATAAAGGGACAGCATGGGATTTGAATGGTGCAAAATTGATTAGGCGAAGCGCACGCTTTTGTAGTATCAAGATCTTATTAAGATTAGATTGAGCAGCTTGGCCCTAAACCGCTAGGTCATAGCTTACACTCTAATTTCACTACAATTAAACCCCGCTTTACGGACACCTCATCATTACGGACAGTTTGCTTTGTTCCTGGGCAAGGAAAGCCCTTACATTTTCTCTAAATTCATCCCGCTTAATACGGACACTTCCTGTAGCCCCCCCCCCCTCCCCCTCAATGTATTACGCTGTATTAGATCCCCACTGTTCCAACGCCTCAGTAAAATCACTCGATTAAGGTCGTTATGCATCAGTTACAAACTCAATAAACAAGGCTCATTCATGGCTTTATTTATTATCCAAGTACAATACTTGCAGGCCACTGTAACATATTGAAAATATATTTTTCAAAAATTCTGTATATATATAAATAGATCTAAACTTTTCAAAAAATTTTGTACTCTGTCTCATCATATCACAGAACATCAATAGTTACAATTCCTCATAGTAGCATAACCTTATTTATAAAAACACCAACGTTTAGGAATGCAAGACTGTGTTTTCTGGGAATGCCCTCGACATTCTCTTATCCACGAAAAACTGAAACAAAAACAAAGAAACATCAGTAGTAATTATATGAGCAAAAGTGAAAAACGAAAATGCTGCAGGTATACCTAATACGTCTGATCTACAAAAGTTCAAATAACATTCAGCAGGAGTGTTAGCAAAAGTCTTGCTTGGGCCCGTTTCTCGAAAGGCCCGCTGGCTTTTCCGGCGGGCCCGAAGGCAAATTTTAAAATCAAAACCTGTTGAATAGTAGCACAGTTCCTGGCGCACAAACAAGTCAATTTTGCTTCGTTAACTGATAGTTTCATTGTATCATTTTCACAATTATTGAAACTTTGATCTTGAATACAAACGCGGCAAACATAAACAGCTTTTCGGGCCCGAAGAGTTACCGGGACGTTCGAGAAACGGGTCCCCTCGTCTCTTTTTCAAACATCAGTTAAGTCCACAACATAGCGTTACCGCGTAAGCACAAAGCTTTCCACTCTACACTGATTCAAAAGCTGTAGCATACAGCTGACAGTACTCAACTGTATGCTTTTTGCGAATACACCACACAGAACACAGAGGCGAACAAAAGCACCTTGGAGAGGTTTTTTTAATTCCATACCCCAGATAATTACAGCAAGTTTACCTTGCGAATAGCGGCAAATGCAGATCCGAATCTAGCGTGATGTTGAAGTCTATCTGAGATCCACCCTGGTAAGCTTTTCTTTATTTTCGCGGATCCGTAGCGCTTATCTAACAACAAAATTGTTGCATAATCTCCCCTGTGACGGATAGCACGACCTGAAAAGCGAAAAGCAATATCAGTACAGTGGGGCATTTTTAGGTTTCAGAAAACTGAAAAAAAATGACAAATGGGCGTCGGGGATAGGCACGTGTGGAATTGACTGAGCCGTTACGACAACTTTTTTGAGACTTCAGATCGTGGAGCACACGATAAATGTTGCGATGTTCAAATTAATCAAAGGACATTTATGAATTGCGTTCAAATAAGCAAAAAGGCGCAACGAAACTGGTCAACTGCGGGCAAACAAGCATTCCCTCTGAAATGCGAGCAAATAGGCAACTGATTTGTGGCTTGTGCAGCTAGAGTTTGGCAGGAAGGCAACAGAGAAAAGCGCGGGCAAAAAAGCAACTGACACAACCAACACCCGACATAAAGCGGAAGAAAATGAAAAAACCTGAACTAATTGGCTTAAAATTGATTAGTTTGAGCGGTTGGAACATATTGTTCTTGAATATTACACAGGGTTCTGAATGACCGTACGAAGCCGACTTCTTAGAAGTGCATGTCCTGCGTTCAAGACTGAAGTCACTTTTTAGATTCCTTGTGTACTCTACGAAATTAGCCTTTAAATGTCAACCACAGGATATTGGGTGGAAAACAAAACCAACGGTGCTTACCTATTGACTGATTTACAGCTTTCATGCAAAGATTTTCGTAATGTGTTTGACCAGCTTTTGGCTGAAAGAAAGATGATAACGATAAGAGACAAACGAAGAAAATAAGGTATTAAATAAACTGCTTTTTGTTTTTGTTTTTGTCGCCTTTCAACCAGAAACAACTTCTCTTGTTCAACTTACTTGAATTTTGATTTCGATTCATTGTAACTGGCCCCTAACTGTCAACCAGAAGCGCAATATTCTTGCAACAAAATATTCATTTGTTTCACTCGTTTATAAATTTGAATAACAAAAACAATGTTTGTGAACAATGATGTCTCCAATAGAGAAAATGTTCTTTTCAGTTTTAAACCTTTCTTTATTTTTTTCCTTAACGGACTTGTACGAGGTCGCTAGGAAGAAAAAATTGAAACAAAAACTGTAAGTGATTGGACTGGGACGAGATTAGTGATTGGATATCGAATGATATAGAATAGATTACACAATCCTACGGGCACAAAGGTTAGTTCGAATACTTCAAAAAATCTCAATGCAAAACTTGAAATAAAAACGGGAAAATTTGGAAATGTGGGGGCCACTGGCGAAAAGAAATTTTGCTCTGAGTTAAAAGAACGCAAAAGAAAAGGGTTATGGTTATTTGAGATATGACGAACTATTCTATATAATGTTGTGTATATTTGCCCAAAGTTTCAATCTAAAATGAACACTAACAAACCACAAAAAATATGGTTGAAAATATACCTGGGACATTTGACCTTAATGGAGGATGGCGGAGGCGTTTTTTTGCAAGGAACGTCATTTTCCTTGCAAAGAATCCCCTCCGCCATCCTCCCTGCCCACGGCACCCCGGAAAGTTTAAACCTACAAGTATAAATTCTTACCCCTAAAGTAGCATCTAGGTAGATCATTTTCTCCTTTAGTTCTGGCGAGTAAATATTAGGATAAGGAAGACCAACCATCACAATACACCTGGAATAAAATTGAAAACGGAAGCAGCAGAGCGTTACAATGCAAAACGAAAGCTATTTTTATCGAGTAAGTGTCTCACGAACACTGTAGAAAATGCCTTTTTGTTTTTTTAGTTAAGGGATCCAACGTTCAACGAGCTGGCCTGCGTAGCAGTCTTTCGCGTTTCTTTTTGGAAGCGAGGAAAAAAAAAACCCGGAAGATACGTAAGGTCCCTTTTTTGGCTCCTACCCTCGCGCGTCTTCCATCTTCCACGCTTCCGGGCCGCTTGGCTAAGTTAGAGGAAACGGAAAAGACTGCGTGACGCAGGCAATCGACGAGCGCACTACCACAAACGTAACTTCCATTTTCATAGTAGTCAGTTTTGTAAATTTTTTTAGGCTTAATTAGTTGTAAATGCTGTAACATTGTATTTTTCCTTTATCTCTTGTACGTTGTTTTTATTTTTCCTCCATGTAAATGTAAGTATTGTCATTAGAAGTGTTGTAACCAATAAATGTTATTAAAAAAAAAAAAAAAAAAAAACTTCCATTTTCTTTATACCAGACCACTGTATCACCCCAAATTGCTGCGCTCTATGTCCACTTCAATAAATACCCCTGATCGGTCAATCCACTTTTAAGTTAGGGCATCTTAACTACAAGGAATCAATAGTGTCTCTACGACCACAGTCAACTCTGTCCAAGAAGGACACGTTGCCAGGACCGGCATGCACTAAGTGTCCGTCTTGGGGAGACATCCGCGTTATTGAGAGCCAAGATAGAAAATGACTGAAGATGTATGGCTCATGAAGAGTTCGGCGCTTAAAATAAGGTCTTACGAGTTGTCAAGCGTTGTGTTTTTACCTTCCAAGATCATCAGAAAAGTTAATTCCTTCACTCATCTTTCCCCCTACCACACAGAATAAAACTGCACCATTTGAAGACGAACTGCTCACAGCAAAATTCTGCCGGTATAAAAAGACTAGGAAATGATTAATAGCTAGAACGATACGCTGAAAGTTAAGATATACACATAACAAAAGAAAAAATCTACAGCGCACCTTAATGGAAGCAGCATATGATGAAAGGACTTGATCAAGCTGGCTAGCTTTCCTTGGTTCGCGAAATACCTATAACGAAAAAATAGTGACATCCTTTAAATGTCTGTTAAAACATCTTATAAGAGCTTCTATGGTAACCCTACGTCTACAATTTCCTTTCGTAAGGTTATAGTTTTTCTTAGATTCTTCTGCTGGAAATATTTAGTTTTACGCTACCTCTTCTGCTTGCCAGAAGCATTTCTCGCACTGGGCATGCGCAATGGGTGGAAATATTTGTTTGCAAATCTGACTGTTTCACTTAATTTGTTGTCAACTCGGCTGTGAATGGCGAAAGAAATCGCTCTGACAATCAACAGAAAACCACCCAATAAAATACTCGGCACTAATGTCGTTCCCCGTACTATTCCTTGCAAATTCGGAGTTGGGCGGGAAGAGGTCTGAGTACAATGATGAGTCAGGCTTACGAAGGGAAAGAGAAAACAATGATTTGTTCATAACTGAACCTTTTTTCTTGCATTCATTTTGTCTAGGATGCCGGTGCTTTGCCAATGTGTGTAAACTTGTTCTTCATAATCGTATGACGAGAAGAAGCATACTACTCCACCAGGAACAAGGGCAAAAATGTTGATAAGAAGTCGGCCTAACTCATCTTTCTGAAAAAGAAAGAAAATAATAAATAAAATAAAAAATAAATGCACGAAAATCAACAAAAAACGGACACGATATTCGAAATGAAAACAGGTAACGGATGTTAACCTCGTAAAAAACGAAGAACTCAAAAAAATCGGCTCCGTTTCTAACTTGAGAGGAGATATCGGAAAATGGATAAATTAAATTCTGTCTAAAAGTGTAAAACTATTCCGGCTTTTGAGGAGAAAATAAAAATGAGAGGCACAAAATAATAATTTTTTTCTTTTGGCTTTCAAAAAAGGATAAAATTGGTAGAGAAAATACTACAAAAAAAGATAAAATTAAAGAAGAAAAAGAAGAAAAAAAAAACAGAGTCGAGTTCGACTATCTTGAACGGGCTGTGAACGATCGCCTATTCACAGGTGCTATCCCACTACTGTTTGACGCGGGAGCTTTTGCCTGCTGTGTTTCCACCCTGGGCCGGTTCGCTCCTCTTTAACCAACCTGGAGCACTCAGATTCCTCCATGTTCCCCATATTGACGCCAAACTTAGCGCGGACACCCGATCTACATAGGACAACCGCCCCCAGGAATCCCACCCTCAAGCCGTTCAGAGACCCCAGCCTCCAAGTAGCTGGATTACAGGCGTGCGCCACTACGCCCGGCTGATTAACCAGGGAAAAAATTAACCTACTGTTTTGTCTTTTTACCTCGCTTTGATGTGACCGGAAGTAAAGTTGATCGAGGAACTTCCGGTTTACTTGAAAACAAAATGGCGACCAACAGTGGAAAATTGTCTCCATGTGTTCGACAATAAATTGTCGCCAAAATACTGGGAGAGAGGACACTTCAAAATTTTTATTTAATGAATATGTCGCTGTTAAAATCTGGAAGGCTTTTCTGTTCTACCTCGCTGAAAATTGACAAATTCTTGCAGCTGAAGCCATTTCAACCCTGAATGAACTAATGAAGTCTTGAGGAAAAATGAACACAAGATAACATAAGAAGGATTGATCTAACCAAGTCAGGAGAATCTCTGGACTGGAAGGTAAAATCAAACTCTTTTCCTGCAGGTCCTTTATCCAATGCTACTGAGAGTAAATTCTCTGCGGGAATAACATGACCTGAAAACGTTAAAATAAATAATGGAAAATTACAGTAGTTTGAACATAAGAGGGTGCGAAGTAACCGGTGCTAATGTTTCTTGTTTAACGAGAAAATATTAGGATAAGTTTTCAAAACAATTTCTTACCACAAGAAAACTCCACAATGTTGTCACTTGGGAGTCCTGCACATGTGAATAGCTGATCTTTGAAATCTGACATCTTGAAGATATGAGAAGAACACATTAAGTGCGGTGTCACGGGTCGACTTGACTCAAGTTTTGATTTTCAACTTCTGTAATACAGTCAAACTCTGTTTTGCGGTTCCTTCTGTAGGTATTGAGGCACAGATTACATACACCAAAAGAAACAACACAACCAAACAATAAAGCCCCTAGGTGAACTCCTAGGGACATAACTATAGGGAGAGAAAGCCCTTCCATTTTCTCCAAATTTAACCTGTTTAATACAGACACCCTATTAATACGTACATTTTTTACGGCCCCCTCAGTGTCTGTAACTGTATATGGATTTAATGAGGTTTGGGCATTAAGATGTTTTCAAATAGTCTTAAATCTTCAACTCTACATCACTATACTTTGGTGGATATATAGAGAGATCACAAACTCGTTGATAGAGACAGTGTGCCTGATCCTACCCTGATATACATTACAATTAAGTGAAGGCTGTATTCTAAGGAAAATTGTATTGGCCCAAGTAATGGTCCGAACCTGTGAAATCCTGGGTTACCAGAATATAATTTTTCTGAAGTAAAAAAACAAAACAACTTAGATTCCCTAGTCGCAAAAAGGAGTGTCCGCTGAGAGTTTCAAAAGCGTCTGTTGTCGGTTTTATAGAGGTGTTCATCTTATAGCTATATAGAGAGTATAGTTACAGTAAAATGACTAAAAAACGGCAGGGACCAACACCAGGTGTCCATCGTAAAGAGGTGTCCAAAAGAGGTGTTCATTAAGAGAGTTGACTGTAATATTTTAATATCAATTATTGATCTGTACAGATCTCATTATAAAATTCAAGGTAATCAATCTTATATTTACAGGTTGCATTGTTCCTCCAGCAACAACAACAGCCCTGGCTTCCCTCACAATGCTTGTAAAATGCACAGCTGGGTTTAACAGAAGGAACTTTAAACTGGAGCAACTGAGTCGACCTGTGGAAAGGTGTATGTACATGTATAATGATTTATGATACAGGTAAACAATGTATTCAATCCATCCAGAAGGAAAGACAAAATGTAAAAACATACCTTGCTAGTGACTGAAATTTCTTCTAGTGCATATAATTATTTTTATGTCATACATTGATCAGGACTAGTAGCTGACAGCATATTTGTCAGAACTCACAGCTAGCTAAAATAAACTCAAAAAAATCATTTTCATTTTTTATTGCTTTTTCACACCTTGTTTGTTGACAACAATCCTTCCATCTTTGTCTGCATTTGTGAGTGCCTCCAAAAAACTTTCAATGATCTGAAGCGGTGAGTTAGTTTGATATGTTTCTCCCTCTGCTAAACAAGATAAAAAATTCAAAATACATTTTAAATAATGGTATTCAGTATAAGAAATAATTAAATGTATTAATATTGTCAATGCTAACCTGCATCTACTTGTGAAGAACTGTATTTGTCTATAAATCCATTGAGCTGCAAAAAAAGAAGCACAAAGTTTAAAGAAGGAACAACACCCCCTGTGTTTAACATATAATTTGAGAGAAATCAGTGTCAATAATTTTATATTGCAGACAATTATAATAATGGGGCATTGACTAGACGTTTGTGACAATGCATCCCTCTGAAGGTGCCACCTTCATTTCACAGCAATGTAGACCACAACAGGGCGTTCATTAGGCATTGGAGATAGAATAATTCTCTGTTTACTACGCAGATTCCTTCGGCTCGCGTTCGGTAGCCTATGACTATTTTTTATTCAGACATGGAGCTCTTTCAGAATATTCTCCTTTAACATTACACCTTTCTCCTGCTACTAGAATTCTTAATGAAAACCCAGCCATAAATCCCATACCATTGTTTAATAATTAAATAGTTTACATAATTATAGGATAGTTATCATGCTTATCTGGATAATTCTGTAGTGCATTCTTAAGCTCACGGCAGTGACTGTTCAAAGAACTAATGCGGACAAACTCAAGTCTGGGCTTATCCCATACAATGGGCTGCATGATGATATGTTCCTTTCAAGTTTTGCTTGTGCCAGGTTGTTTCAAGTTTTCGGTGCACTACTTGAGCTTCTGTATGGGTGTGTCAGCCATTGATTTCGTTGTGCATCTTCCATCAAATCGTTGGTTTTTCCGGCAAAATTGTTGCATATCAAGAATTGTTTTGCTTGGTAACACTACTGGCAAGCTCAGTGCAACCACAATAGCCGAAGATGGGAATGAGAAAATAAACAAGTTAAACAAAAACCTCTATAAAAGGAAAACTTTTTTGCATGGCTAACAATAGCAATGCAATCATCAATTCATTCTCTATGATCATCACTTAAGCAATGGTGATTGTCGTGACTTGGATTTTGTGGGAAATGTCCATACAGAGGCTCTAGACTGTCTACATACTGTGCAACTAGATCATTTTGTGACACTGTTTGTTCATTACACCTGCTAGGAGGAGCATTTCCTTAATGGAGATTTTAAATTTGTTGGTACATGTAGTTACCTTTTTAGAAATCATGCTCTTCTCACAGTATTTTTTGATCTAAAAAAGAATTAAGTGACATTAGGGAGGAAATCCCATGCAAAGCTCACACATTCATATCTTGATACCAACATGGTTTTCATTATTTATACCTTAAAAAGGTTAACATTGTCCATCTGGGCAGAGAACAAGAAGTCATTTATTGTTTTAAGCTTGACTTCTACAAAGAGAAAAACAAGTTCAATGCATTTAGAAAGTAAAAGTTAAATTAAGAGCAGATTTGACTGACTTCAATCTTCATCAGATCCTTAACCTTCATGTAAACTGACTTGATAATAGACTAAATATTACAACCAGTAATAATTGTAGGTTGGTGCCTACTGTCAGGACTGAACAAACAAACAAACAAACAAACCTTGCGCTCTTGTTTCTTTCGCAGTCAGCAGATTGTTTTCATTTGCTGTAATCGATGTCGATGAAATGGTTTTTTGATCCTTCCCTGTTACAAAAAATTACCTGTAGTTAATAGTTATTTTTAAAAAAATGTCACATTTACTTTTAGTTTTTTAAATAACTATTTTCACTGTATGTATAGTTTTCGTATATGTTAGTGATTATGTTGTTGCAAATATCCACTAGAATAACTTATGAAAAATTTTAGTAAGGACTGCATTTACTGTAAGCAATGATCCCAAACTATAACAATATAAAATTAATATTCACTGAATACTCACTGAAATGACAAAAGTAATTAGGATCAATACCTCTTTACACTGATAAAAAGACAAAACAAATAGCCGTAAACAAAACTCAACTTACCACCCAAACAGTTTAAAAAGCATGTTAGAATATGAAGAAGCTGTTGAATGTAGAGTAAGTTCTTTGCCATTAGCCTTGACCTTGTTGAAAAAAATTATTATCAAAATTGTCAGCACTTTATTTATAATTTATAATTTATTTATTCATAATATATAATCCAAATAAAAATTGATCCACCGCAACAGATTAATATTTTTCCTTGACCCTTACTGGTAACGATTCTGATATTGTGTCAGCTGAGAATGTGCACATGAAATCTGCAACATAGAAACTGCAGTCAGTTAACTGAACCTCAATTGGATACATTAGCATACACACAAACATTACTATAAAAGAGCACAACACCTGTCACAACTATAGACAAGACAACAAGGTTAGTCTAGAATACGACCACACACCAAGAACTGTTATACAGTCGACTCTCTCTTAATGGACACCTCTATAAGACAGACACCTCCCTAAAACGAACACCTAGAGTTGGTCCCTGCCTTTGTTTACTCCCTTTATTTGACTCTCTAAAAGACAGACATCTCTCTAAGACGGACACTTACTGTCGGTCCCAGAGGTGTCCATCTTAATAGAGGGAGTTGACTGTATACAAGTTGATAATTTATTGATTTGACAGATTACATACCTGTGAACCAGTGATTTCTACACTATAAACACTACTGATGGTGTCAATCAAGTTGTGAGCTTCATCTATAATGACAACATTGCCATCAAGCTTTATTCCACAGGCCTCTCTTGTAGATTTATGAAGAAGAATGTTGTATGGTAAAACAACCAGCTGAAAATTAAGGCAAAATTTACAGCAATTAATACATTTACATGCATTATTTTGGAAATGTCAATGTTCCAAGGAGCATCCTGAAGTGAATCGTTATTTAAATTTTCTCAACATGCAAAAAATACAGTTGAACCTTTCCACAGCAGCCACCTTGGGGACAGAAGAAAGAAAGGGGGGTTATAAAGAGGCGGCCATTGTAGAGAGGAATCAGGATTAAACAAGAGTCAATGTATGGATTATTTGTTCGCCGGGACAAAAAAGTGCCTGTTGTGGAGATCAGGAGGCCATTACATTAGTTAAGGTTCTACTGTTTTCAAAAGAGATGACTGAGGCAAATAACCTATCAATATTATTACCTTTCAGTCACAGGTTTTAACAGAGGAAAATTCAGAACCACCCAGTAGTTTCCACAAGATAGTTATACTATGACAGCTGCCCTTTTAATTTTTGGTTTAATAGTTTTGTATAATTTTGTTAACGTGTTAATTAGGAAGGTAGTGACCTGGGCTGGTGGAATAGCTAATCTTGTTCCATAATACGGACATGCACGAAGCTCTTCTCCAATGGAAACAAGCTGTTCAATGTCTTTTATGTCAACCTGCAAAGGATATAATCAAGTGATAGAAAAAGATTCTTTATTCATGTACATCTAATACATAGATTTAGACACCGTCAAAAGCAAAGCTCACATGAGATTTTTTTAAGAGTCTTTCTGATGAAGAAATTCAACTTTCGCCATAAACAACAAGCAAACAGAAATCTTCCTGAAAAAAGGGACCTGAGCCTGTGATCCAAAGAAAAACAATATGTGGCCAGCAGAGAACTTTAAAAAAACATGTCACCTCAATGAGTTGTACACCTGAGTCTGCAATACAGTCATTTGACACTGGTCAGGAGATACATTGTGTACCCTATTTTGACAGCTGTCAATTGACCATAACATAGATGTCCAATATCAAGTTACCGGTAAATATAGATTGTATTATGCTGTGGATTCATAGCTAGTATAAGATTTCACATCCAAATATCAGCATTGCAAATATCTAGCAAGAATCGCAATCGCTTTGAATCACCGCTTGGTGTTTGGACAAATCAGTGTACAAAACCTCCTGAGTATCTCTCCCTGCTAAACAAGCTATTACTGACAGTAAGTTGTTTCTGGTCTGCATTTTAACTGGAGTAATTTTGATCTTCCAAAGCTTATGCCAGTCCCAGGAAGGGTACTGTGGATTCAAGTGACAGGGATGATGATGAGGGGAAAAAATCAAAACCCACAAAAAATCCCTAGACCAAAATTTAACCCCCCAAATATCCCATTCCGAATTTCTGAGCCACAAAAATTTATTTGCAGAATTACATGGCTGGGATATGTAGAAACTATCACGAACCTTCAGATTGTTTTCAATACCCAAAAAAATCCCTGCTTAAATCAAGCTACCCCAAAAATACTTGTCAAAATTTTCCAACACAAAAAAATCCCGAAATTTAAAATTTCACACCCCAAAAAACCTTTGATCATCCCTGTCACTTGAAATCTGGAGTAACCCTACCGGGATGCCAGTAGAACACATTTCCTTGATGCCATGTTTTTATGATGTTTGTCTCTCACCACACTAATACATGCCAGGATACACACCAAAAAATTACTCATTACGGCTCAGCCTATCAGGAATTTCTGTGGATGCTGGTGTCCGCAGAAATGAACAAATGGGGTTTCTTATAGCAGGTGTTTTTCACACTCTCTCCCCAATTCCCTTCCTCCCTATCCTCTACCCCTTTTATCCCTGCTACATAGGCTAGAAATGACAATAAAAAAATTCCTAAAAATTGTAAAATATTAATCTTAATATATCTTCCTAGAACTAGTATTATTAAAACCTATAGGATATGCAATTTGTTTTTACAGTTCTTTGAACACCAAAAGACAATTATTGAATGATCAAAAAATTTTTTGCTTTAAATCTCACTGATTATGGGAAGTTTAATAAATTTAAATTCCCCCCTAAGGTTCAGGGGTAATTACATGCATTTACCCATTGATATCAAATCCTCTCTTACCAAAACATGATTCCTAAATGTCTGTAGCTGCTGGTATGCATAAAATGGACATCCCTTATCAACTTTCTTCTTTTTTGAAGGATTCCCACCTGTGGAGTTTTTCTTGTTTGCTGGAAAGAAAAATTCGAAATTCTAAAAATTTATCATAAATCAAATAATTATCATGTTTTGAGGCAGACATTAAACTTAGAAAGCCTTATGGACTGACGTTTTGATATTCTGCCCACATACCCCTCCCCTAAGCCAACATTTTGTCCTAAGTGAGAAGTAAGAGTTAATCAGGGTGTAAAGAAAGTCAGTTTTACAGCCTGCCATTAAGGCAAGCTGTAGCTACCATGTACTAGCCCACAAGTCATTTCAACTAGCAGCACTTGCCCATCAGGCAAGTTAAGAACAAAAATCACTAGCCCTATAGCAAAATGCACTAGCCCCGGACTATCGGACACCACTTTCTTTGCACGCTGGTTAATGCTGACTTAGGGGAGGGCTAGGTGGGCATTTTCCCAGAAACATATAATGATCAGTTAGTTCTAAACTTGGGTTAAACATGTTCATTTTAAAATGGAGGTCTAAATCCCCAAATTTTATCTCTGGTTCTCACTAATCGCTTGGTTGCTGTTATACACAGGTTTGATAGTAACTGATTGTATGTAAAAATAAGAGTACCATGTTTACATGTATCTATGGCTTTCTTTATGACCGCAGAACAAGTCTTTTGAGCCTGTTGTCTTTCCCTGGATATAATTGGGTCCTACCTTTGCCCTTTTTCTGGAGTTCTAAACATCTGTCATTGATTTTGTTAATATTTTTCAGGCGTTTGACATCGTCATTAATGCAGAGGTTCTGCCTTGACCCCAGGGATACCACTCTTGTGCTGTCCTTAAATGGACTCTTTTGGACTTCTCTTACAAACTGTGCCAACTGTGAGTGAGTTCGACTACAATAGAAAATCTAAAAAAGTAACAGAAGAACTAGTGAGGAGTAAATTACGACAGATGTCTCCAATTGATAAATCATTTTTACACTGACTTATTAAAATCTACAAACGTTATTATTCTTAGAGAATAAAAATTTCTTTTAATGTTAGGATTTTTCCTGCTCTTGATAGGTCAGTCACCAAAAAGATATAAAAGGAAAGGAATAGCACTTACATCACATGGTTTCTTCCACAGACTCAAGAGTTCAACACAGTACATTCAATAATATACCTCTCCATAATAACTGACCCTGGGATCAGAGTAATACAGTGAGCAATAAAAACATTACTTGTATAACTCATAACTCATGTATTGTGCCACTTAAAAATTAATTTTTCGTCCCCACACAATGAATGGATTGATTTATTTTAAAATTATTACTTTGTTAACAAATGTATTCAACTGTGTTTATTGAGTTTTTATCACTGTTAACATTGTGTTGGACATGACGATAGCCATTAGTTATTGCCTTTTAGTTGAAACTGAACTGATTTATGTTGTTTAATAATGTTATTTATAAATTTTGATATTATTGTTAAAAATAAAGTCAGTCATTGAACAGCCATTCTCAGTTTCAATTATTAAACCCTTTAAGTCCCAATAGTGACCAACAACAATTTTCTCCTAACAACATCCATACACTGTCAAGAGATAAAGTTATGAGAATTAATAAAATGATCATCATAGAGAAAATTCCATGATCTTTTATCAAATTCTCTCAACTAATTCAGGAAATGTATAGAGATCAGTTTGGAGAATTTGTATGTGGATATTGGGGCTTAAAGGGTTAATTGCTATAATAATTCATTGTTTGTAACAATAGATGATAGCTTACACAATGTACCTTTAAGCAGTGGGGTTCTTCTTCTTTCTCATTGTCCTCGTGATCTGAACTGAAGATAAAAATCCCAGTTATCATTAGGCATGCTCAGTCATTCCATTTGGTCAGGGATTTCAATTCATTATAATGAGCCACAAACTAATGCTGTCAGGTTTTGTTTCTTGGTTATTGTCAAAAGATAATTATCATTGAACTTGCTTTGAATGCAGTGTTTATACATGCATGGTCATCTCTAATGTCTTCAAATTAAAAATACTTCTAGGAATTTGTAATTCAGTTAACTGTTTTTTCATACAAAAGTACGGTGAGCTAATCAGCAATTTTGCGACCTTTCAGTCAACAAATTTGTATGTTGTACATTTGTATATGCTTTTTCATGACATTAATTACATATCTAAGAATATATATCTTACATATGTAAGAATAAATTTTTTATCCATCATCTCAGTTCTGCCACTTTTGGAAGCTTTTTTATGGCCTTCGTTAGTATCAAGCACTGTTACTGATAAAAACTAAATTTTAATTTCAATGAGAGCAGTAATTTGAGCTGTAGTTTAGTAACTGGAGAATGCTGCCAGTTTTGGACGATACCACGACTGGTATCCCTGCAAAATGACATATGAACAACAAGCAAAAACATTAAATACTTATGACTCGTCACTGACCAGATCTTGATAGTGATTCTTATTGGTTAAAGAAAATTTTCCAATGATCAGAAGCACAACCCAGATCTGGGTTGTGACACTTCATCAGTATGCAATTTCTGCGTTGTTTTTTCTCAGACGTCATTTTGGTTGGAAACAAGTTGTGGTGTCCCAAACTGTTGGCAGTGCCAGTGTGTTTAAGTCACAATTACTAATGTTTGTCAGAACAGATTCTAATCTTGGTGTTCCTGTGGTACAAAAGCACAAATTTTTGAGGTATAGGAGGTGACTGCTGATTAGCAGTTCTTGCTTGGCCAGGAAACTTGACTCCTTTCTACTCGATTTTGTTTCTGTAAGTGATGAACGCAGATCCATAATCAATGATTATCTCTAGTTTTAGCTCTTATTTTTTCACTGCCCTTAACACGTATGTCACTTGGTATTTTGTCTCAAGGCAAAACAACTCACCCTACAGTATCCACATCCTCTTCCCCATCACTGTTGTACTCTGTTAATATAATATCAGCATCAGGATCCTTCTGATTGGCCCTACCTAGGACCTCATCAATTTCATCAGCGATTTTATGTTCCATCGCTTGATCATTTTTTGTATCAGTTGATGTTTCATCGCTGTGCTGAGAAAATGTAATGTGTACCAAGACTTAACAACATAAATATGATTATTTAAATTACTGTTACAATGAATAAGCATGGATTTAGTACTTTGCCCACTTTGAAAAAAAAAACTCATTCTTTATGCTATTACTCCAAAGCTCTCCTTAATAAGGGGTTAGAGCGGAGCTCACTTAACTTGATGTTACAGGTGATCAAAGTGGAAAGCTTAAGGTGGCACTATAAATTTTTGTGAGATGTTACAGGTGAATCTTCATTTGCTACGGCTGCTTTAAAACAACCCTGAAGGCTGCTTACAACTCTCTTATAAATAATTAACCTCAAAAAAGGTTGTGCTTACAAAACGCTGCCATGATTATGAATTTTTGAGACAAACAGATTGAAGCAAGGATAAAGTTCAACGATAGCATCTAAACAACTAGTTATCATTTCTTATATAACACTACCTTTCTCTTCCCTTTGATGGCAAATGCAGGCCTGACTTCATTCTTAATTTTTTGCAATTCAGCTCTTTGCTTTTTAATCCTCTCTTGTTCTTCCTGTTGATTTAATTGTGCAGCCTTCATTTATAACCTACCTAAAATGCTTCTATGAATATGGTAAAAATTTAATATGACTGATAATTTCTGATAAAAAATCACAATTTAACATGATTAATTTCAGAATCAATGGGATTACTAAACATTAACGTGAGGTAAATACATGAACTGGCAATCAAACAAACAAAGCAATAAGTTACAAATTTATTGGTCCAACAATACTTCCCAAATACCGGTACCTTTATTTTATCCTCTTGTTCTTGCCTTGCTTGTTTTTCGGCAAACTCTGTCACCCAGTCTGGTGTGGATGCTATGTATGAAGTCCATATATAAAGAAAAAAATAGTAATTTTCCACGTTGGGTACAGACTGTGCCTTCTGATCCATATCCATCAATTTACTATGATTTGAGAAAACCTTGTCCTAGGGAACAACTTTTCTTGTTTTAAACCCCATACCACAACCCAAAAATGTTTCCCAGTCCGGTTGGCTCCAGAGACCACTCCTCCCTGGACATAATTGCATAATTGCCTTCAACCAGCATAATTGCCTTCAACCAGCATGTGGACAGTCACTATTCCAACTGGTATTTAAACAGCTAGTGTGATAAAAACTAAACTCATAAATACATTATACATTTACTTACACGAGTTTGCTTCTTTCTTTGCTACGGCGTTCTCCCTAGAAAGAAAAAATATGGTTTTAAACTAGTAATAACCAAGTGCGGGAGACAACGATCAAAGGTCAAAACACTTAAATAGCTCCAATGCTGTACTTTGCGCAGGTTTTAAGAGAGTGTCAGATGGTCAAAACATGTGTGATCAGATAATGAGGCTGGTAGAATAATTTTGAAATGCACATGATCAAATTGCATTCTGTTTATTCTTGTTGGAAGTCCAAATGAATGCTGGCTTTCATTAGATCGATCGATCATTAGATCGATCGATGATGTGAATAAATTTAAACCTAAATCGAAGACCTTTCTTTTTAAGCGAGTTTACGAACTATCTTAGGTTTTTTATTTTGTATTTTTGAGACTATGTATATATATATATATATGTAAATGATTCTAGGATTTGTATTTTTTATCCAGACCTTTTTGAAGCATTGTAAAGCGCTTAGCACTGAAAAGTATAGGCGCTATATAAATATTATTATTATTATTATTATATTATGGCTTCATGTACATACACTGTACATGCGACGCATGCATAATAGCAACCTTGAGATTAGGGTTGCAGGCTCCTCTTGTCACCCGCAATTATTTCAGTCATGGTTAATTTCCTTTTGGATTGGCACCTATACTATCCTTTTAACTGCGAAATAATTAAGCTGACTGAGGTATCTGTGGTGGTATTTTTCATCTAAATCTTCGTGAGATGTACTAGTGACATTTTCAGTGTGGTGATTACTACAACCACAGATCTTATAACATTACTGCTTAAGTCTATGGTTAGTTTCTATTGTTTTCAGCTGTCATTACAATATTATTGCCCTTTTTAGCCATGGTGAAGGGAAATGATGGATGAAAATTTGTATGCATATGTTGCTAAATAATGGGGTGGTTCTTGCTTTAATTTCCAAACGTCTTAAGCAATGTTATTACTTTGAAGTAGGTGTCAGAGGTGATTCTAGCATGTGGAACTTAGATATAATAAAATTATTTCTCAAGACTAAAAGTTAATATTAAATTAATCAATATCAAAGAACCTACATGTCGTCTTGTTGGAAGAAAAAATCTCAGATCCCCCTATATGAAAACCTGCCATCCTTGGGGTGAGGGGGTACGGATAAAAAATAGAACGTCCCATTGTCTAAGATCGCCAAAAGGTACCTTATATTTTACCTTTGATCACCAGGTTTTCTTACGTTCAACAAAGCTTTGTCCAACTCCTCCTGCCGCCTCTCCTCATAATTCTTGAGCCATGTTAAGGCTCCACAAATCAAACTTAATGATTTCCCCTGCAAAGAACAAACCAGGTAGATAATAAAGGATGGCTGGGCCTTTCCTTGACCTGAGCCACCGTTAAATTACACACTTTCTATTTTATAATTATGTCGATCTGTACACAAATTTTACACGTCTGTGTTAAAGTTCGTTCACCTTCATATATAATCACCTACCGTTCCCGTCGGGCTTTCAAAAATTCCGACATTACAATCGTCGAGCACGTGAAACAGTGTCGTCATGAAACGTTCTTGGATATCATATGGCGGGAAAGGAAAAGGGAAAAATATCATCGGATATTTTGCTGCTGATTCACTTCCAGGCAATCGATGTGATGCAGCTTGTTTCAGATCATAATTTACAATTCCTTTTTTCCTCTTTTCATCGTTTTGTAGCTTTTCCATTCCAAATCTTTGTTTAGCTTGCAAGATGGAAGAACGACAACTTGTTTTGGTTCCCAAACTTCGCGCGAAAACTCACTTAGCCTCGCTTTAACACGAAGGGCTGACAATTTTTTCCCTCCGGGTAGTAGACAGCCATTAAAGCGATTGGCACAATCGGGAGATTTAGATTTAGAGTGACACTTGCCCAGAAACACGAAGACTTGTTTAAAGAAGCATTTTCAAAATGATATTTTGCTTTTGAATATTTCTTTGATGCCCATAATATACCGTAAAACGGCGAAAATTATTTAATCTGGGATATACCCGTCCCTACCTTCTCCACCCTAAATCCAATGTCAAGCACTTCCTCAATTTTTTTGCACAGCGAGCGCAAAATTACAGTTTCGAGCAGTGCTGGATTTCGCGTTTTATTTTTCAACCCTGTAAGATGGTTTTAGGATGATTACACCTTCATAATCAGAAGGAAAATTATCAACAACTTTGTTTTATTCCCAAAGTTTTGGTTCAAGCTTCAAGTCTACATTGTATCTGCAAATATGTGCGGTCGTTGTGGACTAGGATTTGTCCCAGTAGCTTTGGCTCTTTTTTCTTTGGCAACGTTCGCAGTAACGTATATCATCTCACGTTTTCGCAATGACACATCATGGTTCCCCGCCATAAGCGACACGGCCGATCATTCTCCTGAAAGCAATGTGTTTGGATTTCTTTTCAACATGTGCGCTGCTGTGGCTCTGTTGACAACGTTTATTCGTTATCTTCAACTTAGACACGATGCCGACTGGAATGAAAGAGACAGGCAGCTTCTCATAAGACTTAACAAAGTGGCCATGCTTTTTGGAGTTTTGTCGAGTCTTGGAGCGTGCATAGTGGCTAATTTTCAGGTACTTTGTGAGCAGCTCTTTCTCTCTAAGTTCAAGTTTGATCAAGTTTATTTTATCCTTGCTTGGTTCAATTTTTTATGGGTCAGTCAATTCGCAGCGTGCCGCGTGATAATCAAACAACTGACGAGCTTAAAATGAGTGCCTTCTCCTTTATACCATCGAACCGTTTCGTCAGTGTATTAATATATAGTTACATTGATCATACAATACACAAAGTTTATAATAACTTTTAAATACCTCGCAGAGTTTTCTACGCCATTCTGCCTCGAACATTCACGCACAAAGATACATTGATTGTTTTCCTCCAAATGCGAACTGATCATGGTGGCGGGACAGATGCAAAAAATACTGGGTGGGGAAGAGATAGAGCGAAAACCACACAAATCTGTGTAAAACATAAGGTATTAAAAAAATTATTTATAGAAATATCTAAAGCTATCAAAATATTCATATTTTTAAGTGGAATATTGAAAAAGGAACGACATTCACCACTTCTAGAAGAATTGACAAATGCCCCACCCCCAGTCAGAGGTTTTCTGACAAATGCCAACCACCGGGAATGGCAAGATGACCAATGCACAACAAATGCCCGGGGAGTGGATGGGCGCACTTGGAATTGACTGAACCATTATTCTCCTGTCCCCAGTCATTCAAAAATAAGGTGGATAACCCAGTATCCACCCAGCTGCAGTTGTTCAAAAGGTGGATAACTTTATTCACTGGATAAATCGCTATGTAGTGAATAACGCAATTGTTTTCTGTAATGTATATCTGCTTGAAAGTGATTTAACCATTTGTCCATTGCATAGCGCTATCCAATGTTTAAACAACTGGGACCTAATAAATGTATCCACCAGGGCCGGGTTGTTCAAAGCTGGATTAAGATAAGCCAGGGTTAGTGCAAAAATTTGACCTCAGAAAAAATAAATTCAGTTTAATTTTTTTCATCTACAATTTGATGATTGGATACGCTAAAGAGAACAACAAAAATTATCCAAGGAAATGCTTTAGACAGGGCTTCTGATAGGTCGCGGAAGAAAAAGTCAAATTTCGCGGGATTTTTAGGGACAAATTCGCGGAAAAATCACCCCTGTTTTGAACGAAAGAACATCAAATCTGGATTAAAATTTAACCCCGGGTTAGCAATAATCAGCCTTTTAACAACTAGGCCCAGGTCCCAATTGTTCGAAAGGTGGATAATGCTACTGATGCCTCAGATAAATTTCTATCCGGTGGATATGGTGTGATAATGCCCTTAAAACTATGGAAAACTGAACCAAGCTTTAAAATATCTACTGGTAAATTTTCACATATAAAGGGTGTACATATTAGTTTATTGTCATTAATTCAAAATATTTTGCCGTAACCTAATTGGCTTTAATCCACGGGCTAATTCTTCATAAGCTACTTTCACTGACCATAATTTGGAAGATGTAGGCAATACACCAAGTCTAACAAAGCTACTCTAAGCTAACCATACTACAACCAGCCAAAAAGAAAAGTGTGATTTTATCAGGGGTTTTCAAAATGACGTCACCAAAATTCAAACTAAGAAACTATCGATTCCTATGAGTTTCTACTTTCACAAGGTATTACAGCACCTAAAAACCTTTATTTACACAATTTTTCGGTTCCAAAGGGTTCTTCGTTTTGCGATAGAAGACACTTGAATTTTCAGGCTTTTGCATGACGCAGCATTAAATTTAGCGGACAGCGTGGAAAGCTCTTATGTGGGTTAAAAACTTTACCTGAGTTTTTGAGATTTTGGGATCTAAACGTTCCTTGTCTAAGCAGGGTTGTCACTAAGATTTCAATTTGCCGGGTAAATACAACAAGTAGGTGGGGAATCAAATGGCTAGGGATTTCTTTTGGTTCTATTTTTCTTCCATTTTCCTATCAAAGTAGCCGGGGGCCATGTTCGGCCCCCGGCTCTTAATGACAGCCCTGCTAAGAATAAATATTACTTAAAACTTTATGAGTTCCTCAAGCGATGAATTCACGCATAAGTAGGAAAACTCAGAAACAGATGTTTCTGTTGGTTTCCAGCAGCCATATTAATTTGTGCCCACACACCAACATGGTTTCTTCTTACAAAGCCTTATAAATTTGGGTAAAACGTTTTTTTGAATATCTCACATATGAATTATTGCACAGACCTGATTCTTGCTGAGGCTTTTTGTATATTTATGTTCTTTCATTTCCCAGATTCAGAGAAAACAGAGAATACGCTGATTGTTCACATATGTAATGTGGAAAGAACCGCAGTTCTATTCACTTGTTACAATATTCAATTTCTACTCATGAAAAACATATGAACTGTTTTGTAGTGGATTTCAGCCAGGGAAATACTAAAAAAAATCAAGCAGGTTTGAGGGGGCTTTATAGAGAGGGGGGCTTATCTGAGAGAGGAGTGGCTTTAGAGGCTTTGTGCTAGGGAATATTGAATACAACTTTAACTGAGAGTGAGGTCATTACGGGGAAATCTCAGACCAAGGCCTTGATGTATTGACCAAGCAATAGCGAGGTCAATACATCAAGGCTTAGGTCTGAGATTTCTCCGTAATGACCAAATGGATGAGGTTAAGAAGTCATTTATTATAATTATGGCCTTTTCATTATTGACCTGGGCTAACGATTAATTAAAACCAACAACTTGTCAGCGAATATAATTAATGACTTGTTCACTCGAGCCCATGTTACAGACAGGTGACACTGGTCAGCAGATACCCTTTTGACAGCTGTCAATTGACCAGAACAAAGATGTCCATAAGGATGTCCAGTATCAAGTTAAACACAGATTGTGTATGCCTTGGACACCTAGCTAGTAATGCCCAGTCAATATAAGAAAACAGCCCATCAGAGCACGCGTACTGTTGTAGCCATATGGTAAATTAGTTTGAGGTTAAGTATTATCAATGAAAATTATTATATAATTTTTTGTAATATCAGACATCACTTTGTGAAGGAACTTATTCATTAACTTTATGATTTATTGTCTTGATATTTTTGTCGAAATGATATAAATGCCTTCTTTTGTTTTATTGTTTTTCTCTTCTTACAACAGGAAGATGCAGTTGCTTATGTGCACATTATTGGTGCCCTGATGGTGTTTTTATGTGGTATTGTCTACAGCTGGGTTCAATCCTTCATCTCTTACAAGATGAAGTCATGTGGTCTGATAACCAGCACTCTACTGGTATTACGACTTCTCCTGACCATTGGAGCAACTGTGTTCTTTATTGCCTGTGCTGCAGCAACCTCCTATGCAAGTAAAGACTGGGTGCGTTACCATGCCAGTGGTAATACATATCCACAGAGGTGGGATCCTAACGATAAAAACTACATTCATCATGTTGTCGGTGATGTGTCTGAGTGGCTGACGGCTTTGATGCTACTGGGATTCATGGCCAGTTTTTTTGGAGAGTTCAGATTTGTGAAGATGAAGATTGTAGTGTCAAGGCGCACTCAGCAGTCTGTACCGCTTGCAACTGGCATGGGCTCAGATGATCCGCTGTACACGTCTCTGTATGTTTAAGTGTTACAAAACCATAGGATTAAGAAGATCATGAAAATACTGTTTTATAAGAAAATATCAGTTGCATGACTGTAGGTGTAAACTAGGAAAATACACTGCAATAGTCCATATAGTTTTCAGCTATGTTAGGATTCAACTTAGTTTATAAATTAACACAAAGAAAGTTTGAATCTCAAGACTTGAATATGGGCATAGTCCAGCATAGTCCCTAGGTGTTTCACCGCCTTTGAAAGTGGAATCTAAGAGATCAACTATGAACTAGGCTAGGCAAAGTCATAAAACTTGAGCAACTTACTGGTGAAGTGAATAGAAGAGAATCGTACATGATTGGTGAACTTAAGTCACGTGAACCGACGGCGTGTCATAATGACGTTCTACTTCAGTTTCTTTGAAAAAACAAACAAACGCACAAACCCACTCTAACCAAAACAAGAGGACCTAATAATGAACACTTCTACTAAAATGTCCACTAAAATGTTCTCAAATGGTCATAGGACCGTGTGCACAGATCTAAAAACATTGTGAGCAATGGCAGAGCGGAAAATTGCACGGAAAGTTGCGTTCACTTTGCTTTTTTTTATTCCCATTTGATGTTACTTAATGTCTTTGCTAAATCTGCCCTATACCTGGTAAAAGAAACCACTGAGAGGTTTTCCTTATGTATTTCGTCAAACAGTGTCTTATATGTTTTTTGCTTGTTTAATACAGGGTTCGCACACGCTTGAAAAGCCGTTGAATTTTAGGGGAAGTCCTTGAAAAGTCCTTGAATTCCACTTTTCCTTGAAAAGTTCTTAAATTTTCTTCAACTTTGAATGTAGTGGCCTGGAAAGAATTTTTTGATGCTTTTTGGTTGTCCTAGACAGAATATAAATCCTAGCTCAGAGAATTTAAAGGTTATTTACATAAAGTGCTCCTTGTTTTTTGCAATAATTAACTATCAGTTTAAGACAGGTGGACTGAAAAATGTAGAGAAGGTGGTGAAGCAAACAGTTCAAGCCTTAGTGCACTTTTGTACAATCTGTGAAATTATATTCCTAGTAGGTGGTCCTTGAAAATTTAATGTGATCCTTGAAAAGTCCTTGAAAATTGGTTGCAATTTTTTGTATGAACCCTGTAATATCTCAAGTGGCTTAAAAGGGCATGGCTGTCTGTTTAGAGTTATAGCCGATTGAAAAAAAAAAATGTTTTTGCAAGGATTCACTTCTTCAGGTGTCAAATGTTAGGTTGGTGATTTTTATTTTGCCCTTACGGGGCTTTAAGCTAATATTGAATTGTTTGTAACTAAGTTATTTTTGCCTTAAAGGCGAGTGGACAGGTTTTGTTATGTTAGTGAAGATATGTAGTTACAGTTGTTAATATATATTACCAAAATGGTTTTGAGTTGTAACTTATTAAAGAACATAGGTTTGTCATTATATCTGTTCAATAAAATAATAATCTGTCCTCATCTTATCCTGTCAGGCGCCAATCCGGACCGATTTTTAACATTCAAAGAAAACAAAACTTTTGGAGTTAAAACTCCGGAATTTTTGGGTGGGCATAACGCAGACCTCTCTAGACTGAGCTTGAAGGTTCAACAAACCACGACTCACTCGACGGCGGTGAAAAGTCCTTGAATTCTCAGCAGGCGTTTTCAATTTTCGAAAAAAAAAGAATAAACCGTCGTCCTCCAGATAACGTCGCATCAGAATGTTTCACGTCGCTGTCTTGTAGTAAC